AAGAATCGCGGGCTTGTAAAAGAATCGCGGGCTTGTAAAAGATGTGTGTAAATTGCTGGACCTGCAAGTTCCTAGAAGGCTATCTTGCGTGTCATGACTCTGGGCTAACATTACCGGTGTGAGATACCATCGTAAGTGTAGTCATGGTTAGTCAAGGATCACCTGCCAAGAGCCAATCAGAAGCCTTCAGCAAGTCTTGGCTACCAGGTGCCTCAGTTCTCGCCAGGTGTCAGATCCTAGCCGACATGCAGGTGTGCATGGTGGCCGCGTTGGACAGGCAATCGGATGTTCAATTTAGCCACACCTGTAGCCAAGCGCTGGCAGGTGGCGGGTGATCCCTGACTAACCATGATCCTTGACTGCACTTACGATGGTACTTGACAAGTGAGAGGACCCAAACACTGGTGGGTCAAGTAGTCCCCCGTTATAAGCATTGGCCCCACCACCAACGTCCGTGGGGGTTCAACCGCAGTCCATTGGACTCTGCAACCTCTGTGCACTCGCTGCTTGCATAACACCAGAAACCAGTAGGGCCCCCTGTTGCACCAAGCGATTTGAGTTGGCTGCCGTTGAGAAACTTGAGCCTGCGTCTGCTGCAAATCTTATGAAAGAAACTTGTTTTCCAAAACGACATTCGACGCTCCTTATCAAAATTTTGTGAGGCTGTGCTGGACTTTTGGAGAGCTCAAATACTCGAGCGATATGTTGCGAAATATTGCCCCTCGGCCATGGAGGGACAGCGCGTATGGACAACAACCGTCGAAGAGCAAATCAGCTTGATTACCAATCTTTTCAAGGCATCGGAAGTCTAAATGTTCCATTAGCAACTTAATCGCCAAGTAAAAAGGACACCGTTCAGGGGATGATCTCATATTACAATACCAAGTACAGTACAATCTTTTGTTGGACCCCTAGGACCCCTTGTCCGTGTGTGCCTCAGACTTGAACAGACTTGCCATGTACTCCTCTCTCACAAACGACCGACATCCGAGATAATCCATATCCGCTATTCCTCCCAGACAATTTGGAGCAATCCTTGAGTACAGTAAAGACTACTAAGTACCACGCTGAGCTTACCGGGCCACCCCCTGAGCTATCATCTGCTTGGCGTTCGTCCACCACCCATAGCCAACCCCGAGACCGATGCCAATCGCAACGAGAACCGCCATCCTGTCCGCGGAAGACAACCTGAGAAAATAAGTCAACAATTATGAAACGGGAAAAGAAAAGCCAACTGTCCGGCTGCAGTGCCAGCGCCGCGTCTTACGTCTTTGTCTTGCGACCAGTGAGTTTGTTAATGAGCCTTCCAATCAGGTCCACAAACAGCAGGTTGAGGAGCCACCGAAGCCAGCCGCCTCCCTGGCTCGTCTGTACTCCCGTCAGGTGGACAGAGTCGGATGTTTTGGGTGGATTTTCCTGCGCACCTCTCCTCCTCAGCTGTCCAGAATCAGTCCCGTTCTCCATGGCCGTCCCAGTGCCGCTAGCCGAGGGCGCCGGCTGTGGTGCCGCGGGTTCACCGCTCGTTACTTCTCCAGGCCCTGCTGACTCGGGACTTTTGGGGCTCACTTTACCCTCGGCAGCGTGAGCATCTAGCGTGGTGCTAGTGATGTCGGCGGGGGCCTCGACAAGTTCGTCGTCATTTAGCGGGGACGGCGAGTCGTTGGGTCTCACGACTCGGCGCTGCTCTGGCTTGACAGTCCTGGGGCTTACTCCATCCGGTAAGACGACCCCTTCATCCTCGTTGTTAGATGGAAGATTCAGATGCTTGGGTCTGGGCTTCATATCAGGATTAGAAAACACTACCGCAGGGGGGAAGTTGGCCTCTTCTTCCCCGATTGGTTCTTCGGCCTCTGATATGGAATGAAGCGAAATAGACGCGGGAACCGAGCTCACAGAAGTGCGACTCGACCTGGGCGCTTCCGGCTTGATCGAGACGCGCTGGCCCAAGGGCAGGGGTTGGGATGCTGTCAACGTGTAGTCACCCGTAATATCCTCGGTTCCTCGCCGCGAGACGTTGTAGACTGGGGAAGGAGGGCCGGTGTCAAAAGGCTGGTCCACCTGAAGTCCGCTCTCAAGTTTCCGAACCGTGTCCATTATATCTTCCCGTTCGGAAGGGAAGCGTTCCAGTGTAGGGTCGTTTGGGTCAATTTCATCAGCATCAATTTCCCCCAGAGCCGCCCTGCCTACGGCTAAATCTTCCGGCTCAGTGTCCGCTGGCGTCGCCTCTGCGCTCGACTCATAGAGCCCAACGCACTCGTGGGCGAAGAGGGGAGACTTGTCGGCAATGTATTCATCTTGATCCCCAAGGAACTCTTCACCCGGACCCTGAACCTCAAATGCAACGTCCTCGTCAGGGGGTTGCTCCAATATTAGAATTGTGTTCTAATTGGTCAGCCTATAGCGTATCACTATGAACGGTGGCGGGAAACACACCTCGTCGTTATCCAGAGTCTCGGCGCTGTCGGCTACTTCCGCGGCGGTCTTCGCCGTTTCCGACAACGGTGTAGGCGTACCTTTGCGGACATCACGGCTCCAGGAATCGATTCTAGGTGTCTCGCGCTTTGGCACCTCTTCGTGAAGGGAGGCGGCAGAATCCGCAACCTCTGCAGCAGTTCTCGCAAATATAGGTGTGCCTGACCTAGAACCGCTTCCATCCTCAATATCAATGACAGATCGGAGATGCTTGGAAAGTGGTTTGGTGTCTTGCTGCGTTTCAAGATTCTGAGCAAGATTCTGCTCTGCGAGGGGCTTCACTTCCAGCACATGGTTCGTGTTGCCAGCACCATCCGTCACCGTCGGGGAGTTCCCATCCAGCACCCACCAGTCTCCATTGCCTAAGCGGAATTTGTATTGGATTGTTGAGCCAGGTTCACACAAGACTTCCTTCTTGAAATGGTGTTCCCCGTCCTCTTTCGTTGTATACTCCATCTCGTGAGGCTCCCATGGCGGAGTAGAGAATGTGCCCGCCACAAAGACTGGCGGCTCTGTGCCAGACTTGTGGTAGGTTAGGACAACTGGAATTCGGGCAGTCGCCATGGCAGGAAGGCAATAGATCTAAGTTGACGGTCTGCGGGGCGACGGATGCATCAAACACAATGCTCGTGCAGTGCTCTCGCTGATGCTAATACACGTGTCCGAGTAAAGCGTTCGAAGGGACCCCTATAGGTGGCTAGAGGTTAGCCGTTGCAAAAAAAGAACCTCTGTCGAGGGCTTCAGAGGGGGTCTGTTCAAAGAAGCGGGCAGCTGTTGGCCACAACTACCTTACGTAGCGAACGGGCGGTTCAAGGCATGGCCATCACGCCACCACAACTTGAAGCGTGGTACCAAGGTAGGTCAATGGTGGGGTAGATAGGGTCTTACAGCAGGAGCATTCGAAGGCAGAATAAATTAGAAGTAAGTACCTTATTCTAATGTCCAGATCCGTTGAAAATGTTTGTCTGCGTCCAGCCGAAAGCTCATTTGCGGGACGTATGCACAGGATGGATAACGATCAATGGCTATAGTGCCTTGATTATGTTGTTACAGCGATCAAGATCTACATGATTCTCGACGGGAGAGGCGGCCACCAGAGAGGCTGAGACTTGACTTTGGCTCACCGGGGAAGTTGGATCTTGGAAGTAAGCTGAGGTAAGATAGCGCAGGTAGTGAGCCAATACTTATCGTTGAAAGGTGCTCACCTGCAGCATGGTGAAGAGGAGAGATGGGGGAGTAAGCAGCTAACCTGCCCGGTGGAAGACTTGTTTTCTCATCCATCGGCCCTCTACAATCTTGGTGGCAAGCGAACCTCGATGCTACTGATAAGGTAGAGCTATGAGGTAGTTAAAACGCACTGACGCAGATGATGCAATTTGGGAGCTCTGGCTCCTCTTGGCAGCTATTGGCACAAGTGCGGTCCCCATCTTGGGGGGATCCCCCGCAGAACTCCACTTCCTGGTAAAGTTAGCGTTTACTAGCGTCATCGACATTACCATCTTTCAATCATTTTCGGAGGAAAGAAAAGGTCATCAATTGGGGAGCTCCTACAGGCGCGAAGCTGGGTATCACTATATGTCTCGCCAGGTAGTTTAGGAACTGATTTGGCCAAAAAGGACGAACCCACCGCGGCACGTCCGACGTTGCACACTGTGAACAGAGCTTCAAAATTGTCAGGCCTCGTCAGGCCCTGAACATCTCCCTTTCCGGGCGCCTCCATGTCTTTTGCAACACGTCGAATGTTCAACCACGTCTAACCAACGAGCCGCTCGCCATGGAAGGCCTGCCACCAGAGACGATTCATGTCAAGCGTAAACGTGGCACTGATGAGGACCCTGTGGACTTTCTCCGTTCGTTGAATCCACGTTATCCCCCGTCACTTTCTGAACTTACTGACGGCTGTGACGGAAGGGCTCGACAGGAGCAAGCGTTACCGCAGCTTGTCTGGCGATATCTCCTGGGTGTACCGGCGCAAACAGACTGAAACAGAACCTCCGGATCCTGCAGCCCGGCCCGCTGTTCCCGAGGCGCCCACCATTCCTTCCATCCAGCCGACTCGAGAAGGCGACGAAAGACGACTTCTTGGTCAGACCCGCAAAGTAACTCAAGTCCAAGCTGCAAGCAATGTTGTTGGCACCCAACTTCGGGCGTCAGCGCCTCCGGAACTGCCAGCACCGTCCGTTCTGACTCGCGCGACCCCGGACCAGCTGCGACGATTCCATCTGTCGAGATCCAACTCGCCGCAGCCGGCCGCTGGCGTAGCCAAGAAACGAAGTGCCCCAGCCGTGTTTGTCGAGCGGAGCGCAAAGAAGCGAGGCGAGTCACTGAAGGCTGTCATTGAAGAACACAACGCAGCCCTTGCGGGGTCAACTCAGGCACCGGATGACTCTAGAGCTACCAAATCCCCCACACCCGCATCCCAGCAGTTTGGGAATACAGCTAAGCAGCCCGGCTCTACTCAGAATAAGAGGCCAGGAGTCAAGGCTCGCATCAAACAGTCGACGGGTTCAAAGCCCTCCCTTCCTCCCTCTATGCGTCGTGAAGGCGTCAATATGGAGGAACTGTCTCGGGTTATGGACAGCTGGACGCTCAATGAAATCAACAAGAACATCGACAAGATGGAAGAAATCGAGAAGAAATCTAAATCGAGCCCCGTTATGTCACGGTTCCGGCCAAAGGCCCCCAAGCAGCGCTATTTCGAACGTCATCCAGAACACAGGGGCGAGCAAGGGCTGGAGAAGGGCGCAAGGCAAGCCGCAGCGGCTGCAGTAATGGATATCGACTCCGAATATACGACAGACGACGATGATTACGTGATCGAGACGTACGAACGAGTCCCCGCCGAACGACTGCGAGACGAGGTAGTGCCGGCTCACCGCGTCGGCTTGTTGGTCTTCGATACGGAGCCCGATATGGTTGAGTTCTATTATGGCAATGAAAACGATAGTGAAGAAGAGTTCCTGGAGGACGAGGAGGATGAAGATGGTAAGTGGGGTTCCGCTTCTTTTGAGTAATGTTCTCCAAGCAGACTCACACAGGGGTATCACGCAGCCGAGAACCATTACACGACCGAATACCCCGACGAAGACCTCCCTTGGGATGATGAGTTTGACCGGGGCGCGTACCACTACCTGACCAGAAACGCCTCAGACTTGGAGGAGTTTGATGAGAGAGACTTTGTTGATGGCTTGGACGACACTGATTTCATCAACGACATTTTGGAGAGGAGTGACAACGCGGATGGATTACCCGGGTGACACCAACTGGCAGTGATGACGGGCATACCGTATAATCGTGGACAATTTGGCCATAGCTAAGGCACGTACTAAGGCAAACGACGTCTCTAATCAAGCTTCTACCCATTTCAAACCCTAACTTCGAGCTCGCATCACATCAGCAAAGTTGAAGCGCATTGCAGGGTGCCAGGCTGGGATTGGTCGCCGGGCTTAGAGCATGCCTTAGCTATGGCCAAATTGCCCAGGATTATACGGTATTCTAACTATATCCTGCATCCAGTTGACCAAATTATTCCTCCTGGTGATGAGATGAAATGACTGTTACTCTGCACCACCAATGCGTCTTGTGCAACGTCCATGGCACCAAGTATTATACCAGTCCAATCTCTTGCCAACTCTCCTGTCCATGGCTTTCCGGACTTTAGATATTGCTCATGGGACATTCACGAGGGCAAAAACACGCTAGCAATACCTCCATTGCTGCGTCTCGTCAATTCTTTGGTTTCTAATACAAGATTGAGCTATGCAGTGGGGGAGTATAGGAGGACGCCAAAAGGAAAGTGAAGGGAGGAGAAGAACCTGGAACAGGGCAGGTCAAAGATGATGGCAATGCTGATGAGGTCGGCCGTGATGATAAGTACCTTGGTGATGACTAGGCGACCTGGCAGCCTGGGACTACTGCTCCCGTCCCGCCAGGGCGGTTGGCAAGGGGTACACGACTTGGACGGTCCCCTAACATGGAGGGTGAAGTTCCGCCCAGGCTGCCACGATGGATTCAAAAGGAAGACAGGCAGGAACAATCCGGTGATGACACTGGGAGCAAATGAGGTCGTTGGATATACTTGTGCCAGCTGGAGTTGCTGTTAGAAGGGGTAGTAGAGAGGATGATTTTTGCATCTAAGTTTTGAGCTACACTAACAGCCATCGCGGCCTCTCGAAGTACTGTGCTCAACGTAATCTAGGACTACTAAGGACTTATCTCGCTCCTTAAGGATACCTACCTTACCTTACATTACTACCTTACCTTACTAGAGCCTAGCAGTGAGAACACCATTCCAACCTGGAAGGTTTCACCGGATCTCGCAGCGTTTTGTAGATTCCCACCCTCCATTACAACGCCGCTGTCACAGTTGCGAAGCTTCAATGTACTGAGAGGGTCAGACTTTGGGAAGCAACTTGCCTAAGGTACTCGCTACGCCTCAAAAGGACAACCCGCATTTCAACGGAGTTGTAATGTACGCTAGCTACTACGGTAGGTATTATTTGATTTAGCACAATTCCATCTTCAGGATTTCACAGCAGCAGACAGGCACACGGTCCCGACCGCTCGTCAAACCCGCCGACTACTGTACCCAAAGCGTCATCGTACCTGGGGCTGCAACGCAAACCCGGAGGGCTACAGCTTACCCCTGACACTCCCGGATCGACTTGTGGAATCATTGTTTACCTCCAACATTTCTCTCGCCCGGGTGCCCGCATCCAACATGCTCGGGCCATTGGCGGTGGTCTCAAAAGATTCGTCCCCGGAAAACTTCCTGTAATCAGCGTCAGACATGGTATCCTAGGGATGTCATGTATCTTTTACTCTCATGACTCACCAGCCTCGTTCTTCACCCAATGACAGATGTGTGCAGTCGCTGTTCAGTTCGCAGTCCCAACCCCCGCGGATTCCTCGGCCCCCTCTCCAGCCCAGGGGCGAGGTTTCCGTCACCGACACTTGCTGCCGCCGCCGCCGATACAGACTCAGCCCGCATGTGAAGGCCCGAAAGTCCTCGACCTCAACATCATCAGGCATTTCCCCCGTCAAGACCCGCCCCAGAGCAATGATGACGGCGGCATGCGTGCACAGCAGGACGGCTCGTACGCCGTCCCGGTCACATTCGGCAATCACGGCGTCCACGGCCGCCGCTACCCGGTCATGCAGCTCGTCAATGCCCTCTCCCATGCGGTTAGGCGTGACTGCTGGCCTGTAATCGGGCTCGAGCAGATCCGGAAACAGCGGCCTGAGCGTCTCGAGGCTCGCCGGTGTCGGATGCGCAAACTCCGCAGAGCCGTACCACTCGCCCAGGCCCGTCTCTCCTCGGATCCTCAAGGGTGCGGATGAGCCGCCGGCCGCAGTCGTGTTGGGGGCCCGCGCCTTGCGAACAAAGGGTTCAACCGTCTGCAGGCAGCGGTAGTACATGCTCGAGTAGACACGCTCGATGGGCGGCTCCACGACCAGCAATCTCTCGGCGAGTTCGTTCGCCTGGCTGATCCCGTGTGCCGTCAAGGCTGGATCGGCCGGGTTGCCGGTCGGAGACCTTAGGGTGGCTGTGTAGTCGCCATTGGATGGGTTGACGACCCAGTTTGACCGAAACTAGCACGAGGTGTCAGTCATTGAGTTGAAGGGACCGCGTTTCTTGCTGTTGTCAGCCCCTTGGGATTCATAGTGGAACACGGGAACACGTGCGCAGCACGATATGAGCTCTCTGGATCCGCATGTAGCAGTGTTGCGACACTTACCCCGTGGCGAGTAACATAGATCACCTTTAGTGTCATGGTAGGCCGCGGTGCGGTGCCTCTGTACTTGGCGATAGGGTTTCTTTAGGTATCCAAGAGGATCCTTTCGGTGATTCCAGGGTCTAGGTCCAACCCATTCCTATAAGTTGAGTAAGTAATTGTTCAACTATTCCCAAGACCGCTTTTGAAGCTTCGCTAATAGCAGCCAACTACTTACACAGTCCAAGGCAACCCGTGCCCAACGCGTAGCTACGATCTTCACCTGCGCCGCTCGCTCCTCACTTATCGGGGTCAGAGTCAGCTCGGGAATCCGTATCTATATCTCGGCTTGCTATGTAGAGCAATGTGGCTTGGCTGTACGCACTCTCATACGGAACCTCCACGCTGCACAGAGCAAGGTATGAACGGGGTTTGTCTGGTTCTGTATTGCAGACGAAGTAGAAACCTTCCGAAACGACTTTGGATCTGAGACAGATGCCGTTCAAGGAGACGCTAGAATATGGTTGAGGGAAAGCACAACTTGGAGTTGGCGGTGTGTGTGAGCCCCTGGCGTTGAGGGCTGGGGGAATAGGGGTACGTACTTAGTTAGAGGTTAAGTCAACTATTGGTCTTCCGGTTTGGGACCGATTTAAGTGCTGTACTGTACCTACCCTTAAGAGGCTTCAAAATTCGGCCGTCACAGCGCAGAGCCGAGGTCCACGGCAAGGCTAAAGCAACCCTAACCCTTTCTCCGCATTGGCCCCCTGAGAGACCTCCTTGGCCCCCTGTTTTAAACAACCTCAAGTGCTCTGTACGAGAGAAAACCGAGGCAGTTGGCAGTGAGTTACATCTGTTTCCAATATGATAATTACGTAACCTATCAGCAGCCGTGTTGCTATTGCATCCCCAACTGCAAGTTCGCACAAGCGGTTAATTTACGATGCAACTGACTGTGTGTCCATGTCTCCCCTGTGCAGTCAGCATATTACCGCCCGTGATATCCCATCCTGGGCAAACCTGACCGACATTGACTAACGTTGCCTCAACTCTTTCTCATGCTCAACCCAGAAATTCCTGCATTCTCGATGGCCCCAGAACTCGACCCACCACTCCCCAAAGCTATCCTCCACCTCCACATCGACCCGCGCGACCCGCTCATCGCGCTTCAGGCCACAAACGACGCACGCCCGCGGGGCAGTGGGCACCCCCTTGGCCGTCGACACGGCCAATGATCCAACGTCAGGAACCCTCAGACTAGCGCCCTGCGCGGCGTTGACGGCCGCGACGACAGCCCTCAGCCGGCCGACGTTCGCCTTCCACGCGGTCACCACCTCGCCGGCCTCGCTGTCTTCGCGGGCCGACTGGGAACGGTCTACGGTGGCGAGCTTCATGCCGCGCCCGCCCGAGGACGATGCGGCGGCTGAGATGGACATGGCCTGCGAGAGGAACTTGTCGCGGTGCCAGCGCTGCTTGCGACCTGCGACGAGGCGCGCCGCGACAGTGGCTAACATCAGATAGGCCCGCAAAAAGGCTAGCGTGTTTGGGGAAGAGACGACGTGCTGGTATGCTGCCGAGGACGAGGGAAGAGTGAGCAGAGGCTTGAGCAAGGAGGCGGAGGCCAGATTGAGTAGCTGTGGCATAAGAGAGAGGAGGATGGCGGGCGGCGGGATGTTGGTCGGCGGCGGGCCTGATTTGTCGGGCGCTGGGGAGGGTGGTGGGCGGGATTGAGATCGCCATTGCGCCGTGTAGTTGGTTTTACCAGTCTTCTGGGAGGCGGATACATCGTCTGTCCCGCCCCAGTCTTGCCAGTCCCATTCAGGGGCAGCGGCCGAAGCTGGGGTCGGATTAGACTTCGTTTTTGAAGGGTTTTTAGATGTCAGGGGTTTTGAACCGGCGGTCTGTGCAATATCGGGGAGGTCCTTGAATTCCTCCCATTTGTTTCCGAAGCTGTCATCATTCTCGAAGGAGGGCCAGGCAGTCACCGGGGAGGGCGAGGCCTGGTTAGGCTCTGAGAGGACTCTTGTTGCGGTAGGAAGCTGCACCTGGAGCTGTTTCACCGGTTCGGGCTTCCGTTCCTGAAAAGAACCGTAAGGGGACTTTGGTGCCTCTGGATAAGATGAGGCCTTCCCAGGAAGAGCTGTATTTGACAGAACTAAACCTGGGGGTTGTTTCTTTGTCGGTGCTGGGGTGGGGTCTAAGAGCAGGAGATCCTGTGATGGTTTCGCTGTGGCGGCCTGGTGAGTTTTGGAGCCATCCGTCCCAGTTTCGAAGTCCCCAAACTCGTCGTCACCAGTGCTATCTACGTCACCTTCCGCTTCGAAGTCGGCATCGAAAAGGACATTTGGGTCCGGGTTGCGCGCCGGTCTCGGCGACTCCTCAGTACGGGCAGGTTTCTCCCACGACGGCCGTTCCTGCCAAGGCTCAAGGGCAGGCGTTTCCACCGCCAAGTCGAGCAGCTTGTTGCTCAAAATATCAAGAGTCGAGGCTCTTGTGACACGGGCTCGTGGTGGTTGGGCCATAGAGGCCGAGACAGCGGGCGGAGGAGGGGAAGTGGTAGGAGCCACCTCGAAATCACCCCAGGTATCGTCATCCTCGTCCGGTTGTACTGTCTTCTGGGCGCCTGGGAGCGAGAGACCCTGATCCTGAAAAGCTCCTTGGCCTCCTAGACTACTGAGATCTGCGCAGCCCGTGCTCATCTGTGGCTGGGCGGCCTGTACACGGAGCAAATCGGTCTGCCGACCTGCCGTAGTCTGCTGGAGCGATGTCCATGGCGCGGTTTTCTGGATGCCCTGCGTCTGTGAAGCAGAAGACTCGACACTCAATATCGAGAAAGGATCACTTGGGGCCGGCGTGGCGGTGGCCGATATGCCACTTGGCGTAGGCTGGCTTTGCTGGGTGCCAGATGTTTGCGGCGAGTCTCCAAATGCCGCAAAGAGGTCGGCCGACATTATGACAATTCGAGACTGTCCTCAGCTCGCGTCGCCGAACACAGAGCGAGCGGACAGGAGGACATGGCGAGAAAGCTGAATGAGAGAATGAGAATCAGGGGTTCCCCGCCGTCATCGGGAGCTAGGTGACTTGGGTTCGGGAGCTTTGCATGTGGCGGGGCTCTAGATGCTCAGCCGTCCACCGAAGAACGTTAGTTTGTTTGCTGGCCACCGCGAGTTCTGCCAGGGTCTAGGTAACGTTTGCCTCTCTAGACCTTCGCTCTCTGGAGTGCCAATGAACACTCAGAGAATGGCTTTGCCAGTGAGTCACTCCGTCTCTTGTCTTTATCGAGTGCGATGCTGACCTTGTGAGAAGATCGTAGGTAGGTTATCTGTGGCCAAGGAGTTGGGAGTTGCAAGTCTGGAATTGTTCAGCGGATTGGGTGGACACCAGCACCATTGGGACCAGACACAGGGCCAGGAACAAGCCTTGAAGACCCTTGCTCGGGGTTATGCGATTGGGTGCTGGTCCACTACTACCCACTCATGAAGCCCCACCTGCATGTGTCCCACTGCAGCCGGACTCCAGTAGGTGACGACGGGACGACACTCAGCGTCCAGAGTGCTGCACACGCAGCAGTATCTACAACAGCATGGAGGATTCCAGGTTGTCACCTTCAATTTCTTCCATAGCTTCAAAAAAGGTTGTTGCAGCCCATCGCATAATTACTTCGCGATCTCCACCATCGGTATATAAACCGTAGGTACACTACAATACCTACTACGTAGCCTCTCAAACTTGAAGAACACACTGACAGAGTCCGATGTCGCAAAAGGGCTGAGATCGGAATATGTTACTGCTGAGTACCTTATGCAATCATGAAATCACTGGCAGAGGCAAAGTACAAATTTACCTGCTCGTTTCACCCCTCCCAGGCTAACCTGATCTTGGTTCCTTTGCGGAGAGCGAACGCGCATCAAGTAGCATCAATAGCTAACATCCGCCAGGTCGAGATGGAGTCAAACGTTCAAAGATGGATCCAACATCGAGGACCTTCAGCGGGCACTCAGGTTCAACGGTCCGAATAGTCCATGTGTCGCCGGTCTGCGGTCCATATGCTGGAAGGCCTTCCTTCTTTTCCGGTCCCAGCCCGCTGAGCAATGGCCAGAACTGTTGCGCGAGACGCGTGCCTCGTACGGCGCAATATGCGATGGGCACTTGAGGTACATACGGCATCCCGAGCTGCTCGCCTCCGTCTCGGTTGATCCCCTGGCCGATGACCCCGATTCGCCGTGGAATGCCGTGCGCAAAGACGAGGCCGTTCGAGCCGAGATTCTGCAGGATGTTCGCAGGCTGCCGGACGAGCCCTTCTACCACGAGGAGCGCGTCCAAACCATCATCTTGGACATATTATTTCTCTACTGCAAGCTGCATCCCAACATAGGCGGCTACCGCCAGGGTATGCATGAGCTGCTCGCCCCGATCGTCTGGGTTGTGGCGCAGGATGCCGTCGACCCTTCGACCGTCACTGCCGACGATCCCGCCGACGCTCTCATCGCCGAAATGCTGAGTTCCGAGTTCGTCGAACATGACGCCTTCTCCCTATTCTCCAGCGTCATGGACAAGGCGAGCACATTCTATGAGGTCGCGAGCGACAGCCAATCGGAATCACTACAGAGGAACTCTATTGTCGAAAGGAGCAAGTACATCCACGAAGTTGCTCTGATGAAGATTGATGAGGAACTTGCAATACATTTGCGGAACATTGAGGTTCTGCCCCAGATATTCCTCATGTGAGATTCCTCCCTTGGGCCCTTCTATAACTCGAGAGCTAACTATGGCAAGTCGGTGGATTCGCCTTTTGTTTGGCAGAGAGTTCTCGTTTGAGCAGTTGCTGGTCCTCTGGGATACTCTATTTGCCTACGACCCCAACCTAGAGCTGATAGATCTCATCTGTGTCGCTATGCTCCTCCGGATCAGGTGGACTTGTAAGACACACTAGCCTTCCCTGGAACCTCCTGGATGCTGACCAGCTACGCAGTGCTCGAGGCCGACTATTCTGTTGCATTGCAGCTGATGCTGAAATACCCAGCCCCAGACCCTCCCCATGGACCTCATACTTTTGTTGACGATGCCATCTACTTGAAAGACCACCTTGATGCTGCTGGTGGCGTCACGCTGATATTCAAGTATACCGGCAAGAGCCCAGCCCTCACGCCCGTACCAACCCCGGGTCAGTCGCGCGTCTCTACGCCTTCGTTCCGTGGGTTTGGTGGCTTGCGCCAACGCACCCTGGGTGCCAGATCGCCGCTCTCGTCGTCATCTAGGCTTTTGCAGCAACCTGGAGGCGTTGAGGCCTTACTACAGGGAGCCGCCAAGAACATGATTGAGAAGGGAGAGAAGCTCGGCATCAACCAAGCCGTGCGTGATGCAATGGGCGAGATTCGCCGGAATGTCCAGGGTTTTCAGGAAGCCCGTGTCCCAACTCGAGGAGGCCGCAGTTCGTTCGCCGATACCACGAATATGTCGTCGGAACATACCCTAGCTTTGACCTTGATGGAAAGGAGGAATCGCCGACTCGCGGCCATGCTAGAGGAGACGATCACGAACCTCAAGCTGCTGGCGGTGTCGGGGTCCCAAGACGCAAAAGAGAAACACGTTGAGACTGTGGAGGTTGCCGCAGCTAAGATTCAGCTTGTCAAAACTTACTTGGAAGATCCATCACTCGATCTTCCTGAAGAGGAGCTTCCTGCTCTCAATACGCTCACCATCTCGACGCCCAGAGAGGTTCGGTCGCCGACTGTTGCACTCGATACCACCCCTGTTGTAATGGCTTCGTCCGCTGTGGAAGAGACGAGAGCAACTCTGTCGTCACCATCATCTGGGAACGAAAGCAAAGCGCTGCCCCCTGTGCCAGAGGATCCCCCGACACCGCAAGCAATCGACAAGTCAGACATCATGGACACCGATGTAACTGTCGACCCCATAGTGGCATCGCCCAAGTACGACACAAATCCGGCGCTTGCCAGCCCTGTCGCCGAAACCGATGGCCGGAGCTCGGATCCTATCCTGGCGGCGCCTCCGGAGCGGCCCAAAGGTCCGATACCGACGCGGTCTACTCTAGCTCAATCGTCATTTGCCTGGATGCTAGAACCGGATACTACCACCTCATCCCTACCACGCACCACTCCCTTTTCTTCGAGCACGAAATCACCCAGCGGAGGAAGCAACAGCAGCCAAAAAAAGCGACACAACCCCAGCAGGGAAAGGAATGCTTTTCTTTTCGGAGAGGTCACTGCCGACGGGGCTGATGAGCTGAAGCTCTCAGCAGATCAGATATTCGGATTGAAGCCTATTCGGAAAGGTGGATGAGAGTGCAAAGCTGTACCGCATGAAGAACGCGCCCGGCAGTCCGGCTTGTGCCCCAGAGAACCAGATCAAGGGCGAGCCTGCAGTGCCGCCCAATTCTCAGCGACTCCATGTGAGACGATCCGAGACGATTGACCTCATATTCCCAGCCCAGGAATGAACAAGTGCCACGGGTCTCAATATTGCATGTGAGGATGCGGAGTTGTTTGGACACGGGGGATCAGTGCTCGTCAACTCGACGTGGACAGGAGAAATATGGGCAAGGATATCCGATCACACATTTCCCTTCTCACCTAATGAGAACGCCGCGTTTACGTGGTAGGGAAACGGCGGCAATGTGTCAGGGGCGGTTTCCACCGCAAACGAGCCGCATCTGGGAGAGACTACAGAGAATCCAGGGGCTTGAGTATAAGCTGGCTTCTACGGGCCATCAACTGTTTCGGCGATCTTCCATCGGACAGCTGGACAAACTCGTTCGGTTTCCACATCATAGCAGTACGATAGTGGCTCCGTGCCTTCCGGGATGCACCGTCAGCGTCTCCATCCGTCAGCGGCCGTTTGCTCACCCCTAGATGGGCACATCTGGGCTGATGTGGGTTACACAGCCGATCGCCAAGTCCCAGCAAACAGGTACGCGAAACAGCCTCTCTCGCCATTGCCCTGGGCTGAACGAAAATCGGACGAGCAAAGCAGCGAAAGGGGTCTTGACCCGGCCCATCGGGTCGGGGAAATTGTGAGAAATTACAGCCACATTCCGATCGGAAGGCTGCGCGGGGTGAGGAAAAGCAAAGGTAGAACGCCGAGCTAGCAACTAGAGATCAGGGTGTGTGTTTCCAATGTTCACATTATCATCATACCACACTAATACCATGACAAACTCAGGAGCTGCATCACCCATCCTCTCGGGAGTTCAACGCGTACCGCGCATGTATCAGTCAGCAAGCCACCCCAACTGCTTCCCATGCCACAAGCAACAGAAGGATGCAAGCTCCCTGTGGCAGTAATGTACCTTACCTAGTACCTACATCTACGAATTTCTATAAGCCACCCGTCGCGTCCGCTGCAGTCAGCCCCCCGAGCGTTGTCGGGGAACGCACCTGCCGGACCCGGGCCTGGGCACCCAAGTCCGAGCGACGCTGCTGCAAGTCAGGCCCAGGGTTATCCATATGTGCTGTGCTAAGGCCTCGTCGGGAATGGCTGTCTATCTGCCCTGCACGCCTTGACTCTTGTTTGGAGCGGCTTTTTATCTGCTCATCTGGCAAGGTGTCTCAATGGAATAGCAGTTGCATAGGACGCCCTCGAGAACAACTGTCACCACATCCCAACTGCTGGGACATGCATACATGCACATACACATGCGTGCCCGTCTGCAGTGTGTGCGTATTGCAGTGGAAGTGTATGAAAATGAATGTATGTGACTATCTACATAGCGTAGCAGTCTAACGTTACCCCCAACAAGCAGAAGACGGCACCCGCTGTCATCAACCTGACAGGAGGCAACCCCTGGCTAATAGCACAGCTAAGGACAAGGATTGGGGCCGAACCCGCTGCGGCGGGACAATGACATGGACAGCAAGTGAAGACGCGACGCTAAAGACACGACCCTGAACCTGAATCCTACCTGATTGACATTGTAACCGTAAGGTAGCACACTCCACGCTAACGTGGCTGCTAGCAGCAGATGCTACTCTGACAACGGCCCCCGATTCCAAGAGGACACGATGTGCCATAATGTTAGTTAGGCTCTACCGTGTCTGTTGACGGGCGGATGGAGAGAGACCTGGGCCATGGTTTGTGCTGTTGATGGGGCCTCTACTTCGTACGTGCGAGATGGTATGGGACAAAAGTTGTCAGCATCAAGATGGTGGCTTCGTATCTTTCGTAGATCGCCAGAGATCGTAGTAATTGGTGCCGAGTGTTTATCAAACCGTTCCTGACAGTAGCCTAGAGTGGTACAGTACATATATACATTCACAAACCTTGCCGGGTGTACACTACCGGAGGCTGGGAAACAGAGGATCCGCAACTGCAGGTGAGAGGAGGCTGGAAACCCGATTGGTGGTTGATTCAGCAAACATTGGACCAAAGATAAAGCTCTCTTGGAACTCTCGTTATTTCCGTCCTATCACGGATGACGAGAGATGCGGGTGATCTCGCCATTTTGTCCACTTACAGTGGATTTGTATTTATGTACATACACAACGCTTTTCAGCCAGACATAGTGTGTATTATAGCATATACCAATGTTGTATCTCTCTCGCTGTTGTCTGAGGATATCCATTCTCACTCACCAGCAATTGATCTCTTCCGCTGGGCACTCGCCATGCAGCGTGGTTCGTACGTATCGTACTGTATTACCTTTGCACAAGTCTACAGGTGTATCCGTAGAGAATGGGGTTTGAACCTTCCGGCCTTAACTTACCACACAGACTTTGGCATGGAACTTCAGCAGCGGCAGGAATTGCCTAGAAGTGGTGGGCTACCAGGGTGTGTCATTGGTCAACCGGCCTCTGCTTTTCCATTCTCGGCCTAGTCAAAGGGAAGCGGACTGAGAAGCGGGCCAGTTGGAGAAAAGGCAGGCAAGTGCAGGCGAGAGAGAAATTCTCCTCATTCAGGAATTATAACCGATCGGCCTCGTAATCATGTGACACCGAGTGTGTAAGTTAACGTTACGTATAATACCTTTTGCCAAATGATAGAATTATAGGTAAATATATCCAGTATGAGAAAGCAGAAATGAGACAACTTGAGTGGTTCACGAATATGCATAATAGGTGCCAGATTCCTGGTGCTGCTGTCATCACACCTGGGCATTTCGCTGCCGTCTCTTGTCAGATAGCGTACGTAACCCAGAGTGCGAAGGCCAACTCGGACGTCCTCTTCAGTCACACCGCATCTCTTATTCCCAGTGTTCCCTCCTGCTGTGCCCCGCTTAGCTCAGCCGGTTTGCTGCATCGCGTACCGGGAGTCGCCTGTTGAGGCAATTGTGAAGACAAGGAAAAGTACCGCACATTTGCTGGCCCCGCGTACAATGGGTATCTTATGGTTCTTATCTGCGATTCCTGAAGTTCACCGGCATGTAATTGAGGTTTGCCTTACTACTAGAACAAGGCAGAGAAAGGTACAGTACACGTGTAAGGGACAGAGCTCAGGTATCTACATATGTGGGTAGAGTATGTATTGTATGTACAATGTGCAATACCTACCTGAATTATGTGTTCAATCTTCACTTGACTGCAGCTTCCGTACCCCGACAGTTATGCCTCGGCCGGCCGTAAGGAGCAGTGCCGTGTTCCAGTTTGTGTCATGCACGACTGCATGCTTTTGCATCAACAGAACTCGCAACCCTGCCATTGTTGACTTTGCGATGCAGTGACGGTGGTTACAGGGAGAGTCAGACGAGCCGCAACGTCCTCCGATTCAACGAAACAGTGGACTGTGGGGTACCGTCTGTTGGTTGGCTGTGTGCTGGAACCCCAAGGCACCACTGACATGTCAGGCCAGCATGACTCTGGACAGCGGTGGTTTATTGTGATTATGTAAGCTACGTATGTGTGTACGGAACTCATACTGTATGTACGGAATTCGCTCTGCTGATACGGAGTAGTATACTAGCCGTTCTTCTTGTCTCAGGGGAAAACCCTATATGATACGTACTCCATACATACACTACTGTACAGTACAAGTGGAGTGTGTCCGTAACCCTTCTACCAAAACGGCAACTGATTTCGATTCTCACAGAACCTAGCAGGCCTCATTCATGATTCCTGCAGAAGGATCAAGCTGGCAAGCCGTTTTGACAGTTGAGCTCCGGGTTACCTACACGTAGGGGGTTCATGCGCGTCTCTCCACGTCCACATGCCAATGTCCATGAAGACAAAGACACTCTAACACGTGCGGGCTGATCAGCCCAGGATGGTTTATCTCTCTACAACATACGAAGTAGTACATGTTGTCTTCCATCTAGGACCCATCGCGCTAAATGTACGAAAAAAACCGGGTAACAAGAGAAATCCGGGTTTGCCGTCTAACGACATGAAGCCGACGAGGCTACGGCGGAATCGATTGCAGCAGGTCGGCCAAGCGTCTTGCCGGCGCCTCTTCCCAACGCTTTTCGCCGGTAGCATATTAAGCAAACAAACCTCCGAACCGGGATTGCGCAATGCGCTATGGCAACTTCATAGCCGATGTCTTCAGCGGCTTGGATCTTGCGGAAACAATCTAGGGAAAATGGGTTTGAATTCGCCAATGGCTTTGCCCTGACGTGCATCGAGTCAGGCACGGCTTCTGGCAGGTTTGCCCACCATCTCAAATGCCGTCCATGTGGAGTTTTCAGGGTCTCGGTTTCGGGCTTGTGGACCTTGAGGAGCCGCACTTGGGCTGAATTGTTGCTCAGCACTCGTAATCTGCCCCTTGCCTCCTCTTCTCATCAGTTCCACAACGACATCCAGGTCACGGGTTTACCTTTTGAGCTGGAACGAAGAGGGCCTGATGTGCCCGGTTGGGACATGAGGGACATGGCACGGATATTCCCTGCTGTATGTCCAAGATCCCGAGTCTCTACTCCGAGTATTGTATGACAAGCGTTACCCCAGGGTTCCCTGATTTGGAGTCGCTGTTCTCTCTCTTTGGTTTTGACTAAGGCATTACACGCGGCCTGCTCCTCTCTTGGGTGGATGAAGTCTTTGTGGAGCCGTGCAGCGTATACCAAATATGGCCCATCCATGCGAAGAGCGGCATCGATTCGACTGAGTGGGAGAGAGCAAGAACCTACGGCGCGGTCAAGTCAAAGTGTCGATGAACGTACCAGGATTGGGTGTATTAATTTGGTTACCTGCGACCACAAGCAATGAGTATCTGTCGTCGTGATCCCGACTTTTGTTCTCGTCGAGCTGCAGCTTGCGTGCCGGGTGCTCGGGTTGCGGCGTCCATTGGCCATTTCAGCTCATACATAACCGGGATGAATTTTTCTTGGACGTCGTCCTAGGGTGGTGGGTTAATATATCGACCCGCTTGAGCTGGAACGGAGTTGCGCCTGCAATGTCCAGTGCTGTGATTTCTTTGGTTACAAAGTAGGTAGCGCTGTAATTAGCGGGTTGTTAGTTAGCTTTGCTTAAGTTAGCATGCTGCTGTTCCTGCAGGGACCGTTGAACTGGAGGGTTGCTCCAAGGGCCGTCCCATGGCTTCATGTACTCCATTCCACGGTTGCTTAGGACGTCATGGTTTCATGGGAGCCCGTGGTTGGAGGCCGAGCGGTTTTCGGATTGGGACGACACCCATTGGCATGCAGGGGCAGGCAGCTTGCATACATCCTCAGGTTCCTGCGCCTGCCAAGTTCGGGGTAGGCTTGCGGGTGAGGTGGGTGCAGCGCTTCTGACTTCCAGAAACGAGCTTCGAATCCGTCATCGACCATGTCAAGATTATTAGGCCCTATCGAGTCACAGAGTGACATGATTGTTTGGTTGGAAGACGCGACCGAAATCTGGAAGCCTCTGGCTACGTCGTCCTGCTGGGATGTACTACACATACACCGCCCTCAGTACTGACGGGAAGCTTTGGCGGAGGGGAACCCGGGTCAACGGGCTTTTGATGGGGAATCCAAGGCGGACGTACCGTGCCTTTGGTAGAACACACCAATGGACGCGATCGCGTCGTGCCCTGTGGGTGCTGCAGTGCTCGTGTGCATCTAATCCAAGACGAAAGATGAAGAAATCTGGCACACTCCCTCCTGTTGCAATTGCGCAGTCAGTCGTGGCATGTACGGTGATCGCTGCGTTTCCCACACCCGGGTTGTTGGTCGAGCCAGGCGTGCGGCTAATGTCGAATACAGGTGATATAAGCCGTTGCCGAGCCGAAGATTATGAAGCGAGCATGGTGATTCACAAATCACAATCATAGCCGCATCTCGGTCAATGCGGGCCGATACCTTCTTCTTCAGAGCCAACATCCAGGAAATTCATTGTTGGTTGCCATTTTTCTGTGCAATCCGTTGGCGTTCGGATGATGATTCCGAACTCCCTTTGCCGACCCGGGGTTGAAGAAGCGAGGAGATTTCTCTTTGCTTCATCGGTCTAGTACACTGCACTTCGTACGCTTATTTGGTCAAATCCCATGTTGTATACCAGCGCCCTGCCCACTGTTGAGTTGAGTCCATGTCCCGGCTTTCTGGGAGTTGTTGGATGCCGGGACAAGGCCCAAGTCATACCCCTGCAAGACACCCGACTTGGATCGTATTGGGAACAGAGATCGTAACTCTCGAAACACCGTGCAATTGGCCAGTCTCTCCCGTGATATTGGACTCTTGTCACCGGTCCATGCCTCAACACACCGTAACTGCGGTAAGGAAAAGCGCTGGAGCTGGCGCTGACCTGTCCGCCCTTTCGCGGCCTTGGAGCCCATCAGTGTCTCAAGTTAGTACTGTACTGTACAGTGCAAGATACTGTAGATTGAGTCGACTTAAAGACGACGCTTGTTTCGGTGTGCTCTCCGTTTTCGGGCGAGCCTGGAATCCTGAAGTGAGATCCTGGTAGTGTAGAAGACAGGGATCTAGAATTCAAACACACAACTTCGCACTTGTGAAGCAACATGCGGAGGCAACGAAACACCGACTTACGTATCCAAGGGTCGAGGGTAATTGTCGGTTTGTTCTTGGGTGAATGCCCAAAGGAGCACCAGAGCATGAGATGCGACAGAGTTATAGAGTACGAAGTACTGTGGTAGTTGCCAGCTGTGTATTTGTCTTCGTAGTACGGTATCTGGGTCTGTGGAATCTTCACTTGATAGGAGCTGCAGGAGAACTGCCTGTACATACAGACGAGGAACCTCTTCAACTTGGCGTTAGCATACGAAGTACGGAGTACGAAGTGTCCGTAGTGTACAGAGTATGTACTGTACAGTACTGTACATATTCGTGTATACATTCATGGGGGCTCTCTCACCGTCTGCCACGTAACAATACCCCTGAAGAATGTTTCTGCAGATCTTCGCTGCATTACACTAGTTCGAGATGAGCGATCCTGCGATGATCTCTCAAGAAAAAAGAACGATCTGCTAGCACCGCGCGCCAAATTTCATCGGAACTGACGGTCGACGCGTCCTACATACGGAGGACAGAGGTTGGAGATTTATTTTTGTCGGAATTCTTTAGGAATCATTTGCCCTGGTTGTTGTCGGAACCTTCTTCCGCCATCGCGGTTCCGTTGGGCACTCTGACTGGAGCAAATTTAGCCGGTACTCTGCAAGCCGTGGCTTGAGTGTTGGCGGGCATATCGTTGCAATAAACCGACGTTGGGAACCTCCAGCTCATGAACCTTCAGTGGAGGAGCGTTGTTCGAGGCCAAAGCCAGCTCTAGTCTTCTTGAGTTCATGGAAGACGTGACCCGGTGAGTATCTCTGGTTGTCGACTGAGATCGGGATTCGAGTTATGAGTTATCGTAGAAAGAGAGCGCCCACCGGGCATCTATGTAGGTACCTTAGTGACAGTAAGTTACTGCCTAGTCAAATTAATAGGGCAGGATGTGATTCGTACAGTAATTACCAAGTCCCTGAGACGGTAAGTACCGCGTCGGGTAGTCGCCGATTTGGCCTTTTGGGCGGGGAGAGTTGGTTCCACCAAGACCAAAGGCCAAGCATCAGAGGAAGGAACCGCTTTTCAGGTTCTTTCTTACCTCAGACCTGCCCAAACTGGACAAGAGGAAGGTTGTATGAACCCACAATCCACGCAACCCCACCAACACCATGGAAGTCATGTCATTTTCGCGTAGAATCGATCCGAGGGCCGTTGGTAACGCGCCACGACCTTCTCCATACTCCGCATCCCAAAGTGTTGGAGATGGATTGTGATGCTTCATAACGAGGAGTTGCCCTGACGCCACATGCTTCCTCGGTTGATCGGATCGACCTGGGCAAGCTTGCCCTGTGAGCTTCGGCTGCAAGCTTGGAGCCTTGGATGTTAACCTTACCATATCCAACCTCGGTCGGGGGGACGACGCGCCTTCCCCAGACCAAGAGCCGCGGAACCCACTCATGATCGGGCTCCTGGGTCGATCAGCCGCCGTGGCAAGTTTTCGAATATCCAGTCGTAACATAACGGCATCTACTAGCCCTATCTCAACCCTCTTCTGTCACTGTCACGGTCTCACAGATAGCCTAGTCGGCCGAGTGTTGCTCGCCGCCGCCCATTACGGCCAGCATGTGAAGTGTCTCCGTCAAAGGCCACTGATCAGCAGTGGTCGGTACTGTACGAGCATGGCCGTCATTGCAACTGCAATGAATGTGCGGCATTCAGATACTTGCCGGCATACATCAGCTGCACCTAGTCGAGGATACCAGCGAATCATATATAGATGGCGCTATATTTGTCGTAGGGTTGTGACTCGGTTCCAAGACGGAGAGACACTACCTACCTGTACGCACGACAACTCGCGAGGTTGTATTGAGTGGAGGGGACAGCACGCGACGACTTGGCTGGGCCATCCCGACGTCTGGAAGCAGCGCAGAATACCCAGCAGTCCGTCACCGCGTAATCGACATACATTGACGGCCGCTTGCTTGGCCGCAATGCTCCTTCCCGCCGCAGCGCTGCAACGTGGACCTCGTGCGCTCTGTATGATGAGCTGCGCAAGGTAAGGTAGGTAAGATGGTCTAACATAATAGTATACATAGACACTCCGCGGTTCCTCCATAGTCCAGACCGATCAGGACCACCCATCAACAACATGTCTATCGTCGGCTGGCAAAGGCTCTCTCGCCGTACCTCGGGCCACGGATTTCTCTTTCCTTCTCCGCTACCTATGGGTGTGTAGCTCGTCCAAACAGGTTGAATGATTTGAGCCGGACGGCGGCGGCATTGACTGCGTACTGCAGGCGCTATATTGGCTCGCAGTGCAACCCTGGGATATTTTCCCGTCCCTCCGTCTCTCCTTTTCGAGTTGCACCTTTTCGTGAAACCAGCCCAACAAGCTAGGATCCAGCTGTTCTGTCATCAGCGACGACTGTATTGTGAAATTACAATGCGAAAGGCCGTTTTCCGGGATAACCTGGCCGCCCGTCTCTTGACTCGCAATCTTTAGGTTGATTGACAGGAGGGACTGTCATCCGAACTCACACGGTCATGACACGAGTCCAGATACTTCTGCAATGTCTGTGTAACTGGGTGGTGCCGTCAGCAGCGGAGCACCGTTTTGGACGGCGTAAACACTCCAATACTGGATGTACATACTCCGTAATACCGTTAGGCTAAAAGGGCAGCTACCGTTACAGCGCCAAGCCGCTGGGAACCAAGACAGTCGGCAGCTGGGGGTGCAGGTATCAGGCCCCATGCAGGGAGTTTTTCTCAAGCACCCACAGGCACCCCACCCTTCTTCGCTCCACGGCGATTCTTCGACGGCCCTAGCCATCAACCCCTGCCGTCCCCAAAAGGGAGCAAACCAGGGCTCCCTGGCGGTCGGCACCAAGCCGTTGGCCCCAAGGCGTGCGTTTTTGTGTGAGAGCGTGCGAGGGAAGCATTGCAACGAAAGAGCAGCAAGGATGCGAAGTCAATCACTTCAGGGAACAATAATATAACTATGGGGCCCCGGGCACCTGTCGCTGTTTTCCCCCACAAACCCGGTGTGTTCCCCGGTCATATCTCGCCCTAAAATATAATAAATATAATCTCTGATCCGGGACACCGACGCCGAAACTCGCCGTCAACTGTTGAGCATCGGTCTTGCTTTTGTTTTCGGCAATTGGACGCGTCCCACGGACGGCATAATAACCTTATCAGCACATCCCGGGCAACCTGGAAATCTGACAGGGCCGACGCTCTGCCCGTCAAAAAAGCTGGCTGGCGAGCGTTGGTAATGAATCCAGTGGGTGTCGACCCTACCGCGACATTCACGCTCCACTGACGGGGGAAGCTCCCCCAGCTGTCTGCGGGTTTGGATCGTCGACCACTCGAGGCTGTTAGGAGAGACGCAGACCGCCCACCATGAACATGTGGGCGGTGTCAAACATGCCCGTGTACCGGGTTGACAGGGACACGCGGCGCAAAGGGGACAAGAGTTCGACGAGTCATGGACTGGAGAGTCCCCCAAGGGAACGGGAGACGGCACCGCCCGCCCCTGTGCCTGATATCGCTCCCCACCCCAACCACTACCCACACCAGATTGACGGGCTTTTGGATCCTGCTATCGATGGCCCCCCGTCACCAGAAAGCATCCGCGCGTTGAGCAAGCAGATGAGGCGATCGTCGATCCGGGACAAGCATCACAGCCACCAGACAACCTCGTCTGGCTCGTCTTCGCTGCGTTCGTTGACTTCAGCCGACCGGCCCTCGTGGGAGAACTCGTTGGAGGGCAAGAGCCTGTCGAGAAAATCCTCGGGACGATCCACATCCAGCAGTATGCCGTCCCGGGACCGGCCTGACAGCGTGCAAATCTTCGGCAAAACAATTTTTAGCCGGAGAGGGCGGGTGAGACGTGAGAGCAGCGCTCAAAGCTCGTCGACCAGTTCCATGTACTCAACCGAGGCAGGGGCCGACGCCTCGATGCCGCCTCCTCCGACCGCTGTTTCGAGCCGGGACTCCACCATCCCGGCCCTTTTCGGCCTTCGCCGGGGCGCCAAACAGGACCAGGCCGGCGAGCCACAGCGCAAATTCCACATCTCGGGACCATACAACTTCCAGCATGTGACTCATACGCAAAAGGATCATCTTCCGGATTTGCAGCGGACCAACCGAACCGTTCTGGCTTCCGAGTTTTCGCAGCTTCGAGTTTCTCCGGGCCCCGCCACCGGGGCACCGAGGGGAATCGGAGCCGAAGACATGACCTTTTCCGACTTCTCATCCGAGTCGCTGCTATTTGACGAAGGCCACGGGGCAGCGGCGGCTTCCATGGAGCTTCAACCAAAGCATTCTCTCGCTAGACCTCCGTCTGTCCTCCTAAAGCGCAATTCGCCCCGCCGGCTCCTCAATCGCTCTCAGTCGCAGGAACAGTTGGGTAGAGGCATTCCGCCCCCGCGACCACCGAGGTCGCCCATCGACCAATTTGCGGCCCCATTCCCCCCTGTGCCACCGCCACGGGTATCTAGTCGGATGTCAGTTCGCCATGAACGACTCGACTCGGTGGACAGGCCACAAACCAGTGCCAGCACCCGTTATCCCCAGCCGTTCCCTTTGCTCTCCGAAACTAACAGTCCCCCTGCGGCGTCTTACGGCTATGTGCCAGGTACCGAAATGAACGTCATTCCCGAGCACACGTATTCGCACGTCATGAGCCCCCCAGCAGACGACGCCAACTGGCCCCTGCCTTGCCCGAGCAGCGCCGCATCCGAGTGCGCCCTTCCGAACGTGCCTGAAGAAGATGAAAATGCATTCGTGTCGAGGAAATGCAGAAGCAGTATCGCCAGCAACTCATCTCTCCGTGGCAGCCAATCCGTTCCGATGTTGAGGGTGTTTTCCAATCGCAAGAGAGACGATGCGACCCGCCGGTCTAGCGAGGCCTCAGATACACTGGGACGGTTCGATTTGTTTGCTGCGCAGCGAGCGCTCAAAGCTGCGCTAATCGAAGGAGCCGAAGTGCTGCCCCGGGAGAGCTGGGAGGACGACATTGATTATTGTTATGAGCATGCCGCAGAGGCGGATTGCGACTATGAGTGGGATCGTCCATCATTCGAGATGAGCCGGGAGGATGACAGTGCGACGCCAGTTGAGGACCAAGGGCGTCTCGAGTCCTGCGGACCCTCGCCCGCGATGCTTACACCCGGGCAGTTTGATGTTCCATCTCTCAGTCCTGTCAGCCAGTTGTCGTTGGCGACGGCACACGAAGCCATCACACCGACTGTAGCGAGCAATCTGAAAGCATCCAACTTCTCTCTGCCACGAGTCGATTCAAAGCATCTGCTCCATGTGCGGAAGCCATCCGACGCATCCAGCTTCAAGGAATCTCATGGCTTCACCCTGTCACCCTCGCTCTTGATCCCCATGGACTACCAACAGCAGATGATGGCCTGCGAGGCAGAAAAGCGCAAATCGTCCGACTTTCCGTTCCGTCCCTTTGACGAGCCTGCTCTTAGCATGGATCCCTCGGCGCTCCTTCTTCGGTACCGAACCAGCGCCTCAACGACCGCCACAACCGAAAGCGCAAGCTCTGCTTTCGAGAAGCACATCTCGACCGCGTCGACGTCGACTGACTTCACCCGGCTGACCGCCAGCACCACCTCGCTCGAGATGGAAAGCTATCCCGCCAAACCGGAATCGCTGCAGCGGTTCCCTTCATTTGAGTCCCAGGGCCGGGTCGAGAGCAAAGGCGCCATGCCCTTACTTCCTGAAACGGAAGTGGCAGCAGCTCCATCCAACCGCCGCCGCGAATTCAGGAGCCGCGGCAGCGAGTCAAATCTGGGTAGGCTTGCCATGGATGAGCCGTGGCCTGGGAAAGCCAAGAGCTCGGCCGCGGCAAGGCGTGGGCGCGCGAGAACCACCAGCCTCAGCACGCCGCCTCCGCCAACCCAATCTGGGGTATTTCCGTCGCTCCAGTTGACGGGAAACAAGATGTAGCGAACACGATTCCGCATCGATAGTGTCCCGTATATATACCCGAAATCCATCCGATACCAAATTGGGAGTGATTTTTGATCTCCAAGACCATCAGGCTCAGTGTCAGACGAGCGCTGTTCATCTCGAATGTTTTCTTTGTATGAATTATCGACCTGTTGTTGTCAAAATTAGCATATGTCAGGCTTGGTGGGCTTAAAACATAGATATGGGATCTGGTGGCGCAAGAAAAAAAGAACAAAAAGCAAACCTCATTTTCACGGAGCAATCTGTCGTGTCTGTTTCAGCTTTCCGTCCTTCGTCCTTTCGTTTGGTAGCCTGTGAAGATTTCCTTTGACATCAACAACTGACACAACGCATGTATCGGACGAGCCCAATTGCACGGGTACGACAACCCGGTGTCCCATATTGCTCTTTCAGCACCGCTTTTACAAGCACGAACGTTCTCCCGCATCTTCATCACCGCCCTGATTTGCGCGCAGTGAAGCTCCAGGTGTTGACTGCGGCGACTAGCCATCCCGAGTGGAAAGGAAGGAGAATAGAAGAAGGGATGCATGGGGCCATGGGTGCAGCGCGAGGGAAGATGGTGGCGGCAAGAAAAGACAAAACAAGTCGCAAGCGCCCGCTCCTACCCCCTACCTACAGCATGGATCGGTGCCGGATTGGATCGGAGGCGTCTAGACTCTAGAATCTAGACGGTTTGAGTGGGCTGCACTTTGCCAACTCAGCCCATCCAACTTAGTCCCCCCGACCAATCGATCACCAGGATGGATACGTCAGCATCGGATTTCAATGCACACACTCTTTTTGCTTCTTCTTTTCATTTCCCCTTCTTCTCAGAAGTGGTTGAGATGACGGGTATGGAGCACCACGACTTGTTGCAAAAGACAATTACATTCAGGAAAAGAAAACACATTCCAGTACATATTCAGGATGAAAGGGTCCTTCGCGTGGCTATAGTTGGAAAGGGAACGGGGATGGAACGGCAAGAACTCATCGCTGTTGGATCCGCCTCGCTCCCTTGGTCTTTCTCTTCCTGTACCTCTGTCGGTTTACATCCATGTAAGAAACTCGCCTAATTCGTGCGATATCCAGTACGGAGGAAAGTGCGCAAGAGCAAAACGCTCTGGGGGACTGATTGTCACCATACTAGTATAGCATACCGTCTGGTGAATGTCAGCACCAACATGAAAGACGCTCAATGTCACTACTAGCCTTCGATGCCCGTAGCGTGCAGCGTGTTCCAACCTTGCAAGCGACCTAACCCACCGACGATTACCAACAGCTTGGTTCGTCCAAAGTTGTCAAAATCTACATCATATCCATACTAAGGTAGGCACGTACGGATAGTAGTAGCGGTTTTACACTAAGGTACCTTAGTTCAACGTTATGACGACATCCAACTGCCATCGCATGTCCCAGTCCCAATGATCAACGGCTCGGCTATAGTTGAGCAGCAGCAACATGCGCAGACCAAGGAGCAGTGTGCGAGTTACTTCTGGTTTGTGTGGTGGAGGTTCAAGATCAGGAGATGCCGGTACGCTACAGCACTGTAGCATCACGTGGTGTGGTACTTCGAGTCCTCCCTGAAACCCCCTCTCACCGTTCCCTCCGGCAACTAAACATGCACCCCTCACAATGTTCCTGACAAGGCAGCTCAGGACATGGGAACGAATCTTGCTCTTGGGCGGCCCCACCACCGTTGGCGGCTCTAGTGAATCATCATCATGTGGCTCGTCGGATTGTGTGACCGCCGTCCGAGTCCTGAGCAGTGTAGAACACGGAAGATTGTGTGTGTAAGAGAGGCGATGTTGTTTGGGCTGCTGGTGGGCAGGTCTCAACCTAGCGTCCCTTGAATCCGTCCTTGAGCATGCCTGGCACATCTGGCAGTTGGCGAATCTTGAAGAGTGTGTTGTATTGTATGGGCGTGCGCAAAGACATTCGAGTTGCCTTGATGTCTGAGTCAGAAGCAGCAAACTTGAATCCGAATCCATTTGTGGCGTCCTCAAGAATTCATGAAGTCAAAGGTTGTTGTAAACAGACAGACTGTCCGTGTAGTCAGAGACAACTTTTGGTCTAGTCTTCTCCTTTCTTTAACCTGTGGCTGTGTTTTTGTTGATTTTTAGTCTACCCCTTTTCCCCGGACGAAGTCGCCAACCTCCGCACTAAACGGAAAGGCCCGGTGGCCTGTGAACCGCACTGGGTGTTAGACGACAAGAAGAATCACCGTGTATTTTCACAACCGACAATGTGGGGATATGAGAATCCACGGGCCAGGTAGGCTGAGGTGGGAGAGCTACGGTCATGCTCGAGATTTGCAGATGCGGCACGAGGAGATGATAGTTGCGGTCAGAGCAAGGAGAAGATATAAAGCAACCTGGGAAATATGCTCAGGCTGCGGAGCACTTACATAGATTAGCTCCGCAGTCCACCCATCAAGAAAGAGGGAGGAATTGGTAGGGTAAGTAAGTGTGCCATTAGGTAAAGACAAATGTCGATAAGTACTTAGCTGAGTAAAGCCTGAGTTTTCCAGCTTCGAGGGGAACTTCGATTGGGTTTAGTATTTAGAGGGATTGAAAGGCTGTGTTTCAGGTTGTTGGTCAATATTGGTAGCTTCCAACTGGAGGCAGGGCTTTTTGGAGCATACCACTAAGGGAAGTCCACAGGGGTTGCGGTTCGGGCCGAGGCATCTCGTCCATGGACGCCAGTAAAAAGCAGTCACGCCCTCTTAGGAATCCCTGGCTCTTTCCATGTCTCTGTGGACTACGTGTACAATCAAGATACTACCTTAAGGTACTTACTGACATTAGGCAAGGTATACTGTCAAGGAAGGTGGACCCAGGCATGCTCGTCATGTCGCCGACAACAAAGATCCTCGTCTCGCCTCACACTCGATGGTGACATGGAAGCTGCCACCTCTTCCCTCCTTGTCCACCGTTTTTCTAGTACATTTCTAGTACGGCCCAGGGCTATAGAAGGGCCGCCTACCCTAAACGACGGGATCGGGCAATCATGACATTGCCACTCCCTAAGTTAGGTAGCTCGCTTGACGCCATCCGCAGTCGGAGCTCGCGATGTCGGTTCCTTCCATCCGCAACTGCTTCACAGTGGAGGCCTTCTATCTCTTTTAACTCAGATTTGTGAGCCTTTATGATGCCATACGGCACCTTCTGGACTCCTGTTCCAACAACCCCCTTGGACAACCTGAACATGGCAACTTCGTGCCCACAGTCCCAGACTTCGAAACGTCCAGGAGGAGGCAGTGTTGCCATATCCCCTCGGTATTCCTAATGGCCTAATCAGGGCTTATGGTCCCTCCGCGGCCCCAAACATAGGTTTGGACTCAGATTTGTGCATTTGCCAGCATGCGGTCTGTTAGGATAACACCGTACGGTTATTCAGAGCGCTTTTCGGATGCACCGCCGTCTTCCGGAGCAGACACGAACAGGGGTAAGGTGCCAGTATTGGCTGCAGGAAGGAGCTAGGCCAGTGGCAAAGCTCTAGAGTGAGCATGGCCTATATCGAGACGTGGTTGGCTTTTATTCGTGCTGCCGTTGCTTCTGAACTCCCTTGGCTGGGAAAGGCCCCGAAGTCCTTTCTCCGCCCCAGCCGGCCTGAACAGGCACTGGTATTATCTAGCACTGCGAACATGAAGACGGATCTCACCAGAGCCAGGTACCGACTGCTCCGGAAGTGATTAAGGAAGATGGGCCCGAAAACCGCGAGAGCCTCGTTACTATTAACAAAGCAGAATGCCAAAGCCCTAGGGTATGACAGGTGACAAGTAAAGGAAAGCCCCGACTCGAACACAGGCAAGCTGAATCCCACTAGGCCGCTGTGGGAAAACAACAAAAAAAGCAGACCTGGGTTGAAGTGAGCCAATGACGGGGAACGGTGTCGAGGCAGCGTCGCAGCTCTGGCCGGAAGCTGAATCTAAGACGGCAGACAGGCACCCCCAAGACCCCGCTGGCCGCGCCTACTACTGCATGCCCGTCGCTGGCCGAGAAAGGAGGCACACAGTATGCCAGGTATATAGTGCTGTTTTCTGCCAATGCTCAAGCAAAGCGGCCTGGAATTCCCCTGTTCAGCTTCCAGGTTGAGGGCACGGCGCAGAGTGCTCGGCTAGGCAAGGTCCCCGATTGTCAGAGGACAGACACGGCATCATCGCAGCTCCATTCGCTGACTACCGGACTTCCTGGTAGAATAGAGGATGTTCTCCGATCTAAACGCCATCCCATAAAATCCAGCACGCCATACATGATCAGCGGGCCGGTGGGCAGATCAATATCATCTCAACGGCTCTGAATAACCGACCTTTCTCAGAATCGCACCCTGAGCTGACGGTGTCTCGGCCTTTCCAAGCGGCTACACGCGGAAGGCTTGTAGGCTTCAGTCAACCGCTAGAAAGCCGTTCCCAAAGCTTTTGTCATTCAGGATAGGATACTGAGTGTTAGAACTTCAAGTTTGATGGGAGTTCCTGAGACCTCTTCAAGGCCCGAAGCGAACAATACTTTGACCTCGACGCCAAGCTACCTTACCATTACAAGACGTCTCATAGAAAAAAACTGACTGTTGTGAAGCTAATACTACTACAAATATCGGGTCGGTCCCGGCTCGTGCCCGTGGAGTATATACGGTAGCGGCGTGCGAAAGAACATCCGGCATCATGTCGTCCCCCAAGAGAACGCGAAGAAAAGAGGGCAAGAACAGTGAAGGCACTGAAGGGCAGAATCTGCCTACATATACACAACGAATGCCGTGTGTGCCACCCCGAGATAACCAGATGCTGCTTTTCGAATACGCCGTTGGGGACCCCAGTGTATGTATATCTTGATTAGCCCCCTTCATAATCCTCACTCCTCAGGTACGGCACAGCTCCATTGAGCTTCTCGGACGTTCTGCGAACTAAAGGGCGCTATCCTTAACCCGGAGAACCGGGGTGGCAGAGCATTGCGAATTTGCGGGCCCTTGCGGATGAGACACCGGGTGGTGGTGTCACGATCCGACACCCGGACATGACGGGATGAACCCCATAAACCTACACCAGACACAAGCGTGCCCAGCCCAAGGCCCTGTATCCATCGAGGGCAAAAGCGAAACAAGCCACAGCGCTTGAATTGTACATTAGTGTCAGATTGTCTGGCGGTGGCCGCTGACAATTGCATATACTTATGCACAAATCGGCTGACTTTCGGGCTGTAGCACCTGATTTCCGGGCCATCCCAATTCGGCCCCGGCGATCTGGACCGGCTTGGCCGGCCGTATCAGCCCATTCTCTCCACAGCTCCATTCTCGGGCGGACAAGCAGATTTCAACGGTCACTATGCCGGCGTCCCACTGGCCCTAGAGCAACCGCCGTCTCTGGCAACGAGGGCGGAGGCATCATACCCGGCACCAGCACGGTTTGCCAGCCTTGATGCTGCCGTTGCGGGCAACTCCCATCACAGTGATGACGGCTCACCGGCTGAATCTGCATGTTCGAGTAAAGATTCATTTGGGTATGCGCCGCGCCAGAATACGCGGGACCTATACGCTGGTGAATACGTATCAACGCCCATGGGATTACATGGTGCTTTTCAACCGGACTTTGACGTCCGTCCCTGGCCAGGAGTTGATGACGGCACCGTGAGCACGACCCGGCTGGGACCAGAATCAACAACGTCAGATTGCGTGGAAAGCCGACAAGTGCTGGCGGAGCCGCTGGAAGACTCTCTGTATGACCACGAAGCAGCCGTGTACGGAACATTCGAAGGCAGCGATGGCTGGCAGGAGCAGCGACCCCGTCAATCGGACCGGGGTATTCAAGGCCCGCCGCGCAAACGCCCCAAAAAGTCAGCGGAGCAAGCCGTGTCATCCTCGGCATGCAAGGTGCCGCAGACGGCTCCCGAAAGTGCAAATGCTCCCTCCACCGGCACCAAGCTGCGCAGCGCATCACGCACCTCCAAAAACGTCCAGCACCGGCCCGAGGAGACGCCCCGAGAGCGCAAGTCGCGCAACTCACACAACCTGGTTGAGAAGAAATACCGCAACCGGCTAAACTTGCAGTTCGAAATACTCATGAACGCGCTTCCCGAGTCGATGCGCTCGCCAACTGGTCGGGGCATGTCGGGTGGCGGCGGCCCGGACGGTGGCGGCCTCCAGCAGCATGAAGAGAGTGATCTGGGCGAGAGGCGGCTTAGCAAGGCACAGGTCCTGGACATGTCGGCTACGTATATACGGACGCTAGAAAAGGAGAGGGAAAAGCTGGAGTGTGAGCGCGAGGACTTGCTGGAGAGCATGCGGAAGCTGAGGCAGGCGTTTGTCAAGCAAGGGTTGGATGGAGGTAATAGGGAAGTCAGAACGGAGTGATGGGGGAAAAGGGGGCTGACGGATGACTGCATTTTACAACGGAGCCCTGAGTTCTGGCTTCGACCAACCCCGTCTCATTCTCTTGTTGTTGTTGTTATTAGTCCTATTTACTGTACCGGACTGTCCGGTGTCCGTCCCGTTGCTTCAAGCTGAAAGGGGGATAAGGGGTGTCTAGTGGGGGAAGTGGATGATATCAAGCCCAGCTCAGGTCTGGAAAACACTGAAGGATGCAGGTACTATCGAGGACTGGTTAACTTGGGCATGGAAGAATAATGACTTATGATCGCTGGCCTACGATATACCTCAGATTATCTACACGAATAGGTTGTAGGCGACGTCTCATTCGTCCTGATGTACATTTTTTACCGCAGCGTGCTGTAATGGACGTTTGACTCGATTAATGCTCATTGAACGCCCTGACCAGCATTGCAAACTGTATAGCCAAATCAACCGTGCGCCGTCCAAAGCCCTAAAGATCCCAGGATATACCGGTACCTTTTCAAATAAACGCAGCCCGAGAAAGCCGCCACTGCGAGCGCCGCCAACGCCTTCGAAACGCCCATAGTCCCTGCCCGCGCGTGGGGCTATGAATGTATAGCGTACGCGCAGAGCCAAATGAGAATGAAGAAGAAGGAAGGCGAATCCACTGTTCTCCAGCTCCTCGCCCTCCAGCCAATTCTTGCCTCCGCTAGGTCGCGCAACTCCTTTCGACAGCTGTGCTGGCGCGAGCATATAGCCATGGGCGAAACTGCCCCGGTCATTTTCCAAAGTAAAAATGCATCCCATCCAGCGGCAAGACAAGCAACACAAGTCGCGTTCCCCCATCTCCCCCTGATCAGGCTAGACCACGTACAGCGCGGGTCGCTATATCCAACCGGCCCCGCCCCAAACGCCTCGTATCCTCCGGGCCAGCTGGATGTCCTTTTGCATGATGGTGACGCGCTTGGCGTGGATGGCGCAGAGGTTCGTGTCCTCAAACAGGTGCACCAGGAAGGCCTCGGCCGACTCCTGCAGCGCCAGAATCGCTTGCGACTGCCAGCGCAGCTCCTCGCCCGTTGGCCGACAATCCAGGGCTATCTCGCGGACCTTTTGTTCTCAACGTTAGCTGGGGCCGTCCCGGTGGGGGAGTAAACTAAAAGGGAAAAAAAGGGAGCAGACAGGGAGGGATCTTTACAAGACGGGCGAACGGTAGCTTCGACATGAGCAGATCTGTGTTGGCTTGGTAGCGGCGGATCTCCTTCAGCGCGAGGGTGCCCGGGCGGTAGCGCCGCTTCTTGCCTTGCGGGATGGGGTCGCCGGCTAAGGTTTTTAGAACATGGGCGTGTTAATGCGAAGCTTCTGGACCAAATTGGATTTGAAGAAGGGGGGGAACGTACGTTGTACGTCACTTGTCCGTGGTCTCCTTACTGCTACTTGTACTTGTGCTTGACCTTGTGCTTGTGCCGGCGCCGCCACTCCTCGCCCTCCCCGCGCTGCCGAAGCTGGTGATGGTTTTGCCCCCCCAGATGGTCGGGCTATGGCTCGTTTCGGCGGCATGACTGCGATTGGCGTTTGCGGAGCGAAGGTCCCTTAAGTATAGCCAGTGACGTGACGCAAATGGATGCGATGGAAGCTCTGGAAGCTTTGCGCCAGGAGCGACTGCGAACTTGGATTGACGGCGCGCAAATTGAATTGTGCGGGGAGAAAAGTGGAATTTTCGAACAACTTCTGAGTTCGAAAAATGCTAGCCTGTGAAGATTTCGAAGTGCAAGTAGTAGTTCGTCTCAGTCAATTGCAGAAGTGCGACGAGCTCTCAAATCAGGGAGGTTGGGGAGCTTCTCTTCACGACTGCAGACCCGCCGACGCGGGCGCAACCGGGGTAATTTCTCGCGACGCGTAACTAGGGATTGACAGGGGTTTTAATGGGTGGCGTAGAGTACTCGATTAACAGATTCATTCTGATACTTGCATATTCGCCACTTTTCAGTTCGAAGGAGGTGGGACTGTTATCCCTCGAATGCTCGCTGAGCCCCTCGTCATTGCTTGGATAAGGCAGCTGATAAAGCCGCTGTTTGGATGACATGCCGAAAGGACACCTCAACATCATCATCGCCGCCATCTTCCACTTGTAACTCGGCGTACCCACGTTCCATCGCCCAGTAACAACGCTTTACATTGTCGGCGAATGCGCCTGCTTTTCTACAGCAAAGCGCGCCTTCCGACGAATATAAGCGCGACTCGCTGACTGCAGTTCCGCCGTTCCTCTTGGTAATTCTCTGAACCCGGCCAAGTTACAACTTGCGAGACACCAATTCTAGCGCCAGCGCCGAACAACTTGTCGCAATCATGGACCAAATAATGGGCGGTGACGGGGGCTTCCCACTCGAGACATGGTTCTGGGAGATGCCCGTCTGCACAAGGTGGTGGACAACGGCGACAGTCTTGACGAGCGGTCTTGTGCAGTGCAAGATAGTAACTCCCTTTCAGCTCTTTTACAGCTATCGCGCCGTCTTCCAAAAGTCGCAGGTCAGTTCACAAACCCACATCACTATAGCCGTTCCTTACTGACTTACCTGACCTCAGTACTGGCGGCTCCTAACGACATTCCTCTACTTTGGGCCCTTTTCCGTCGACCTTCTTTTCCACGTCTACTTTCTGCAGCGTTACTCGCGGCTGATCGAGGAGTCATCGGGACGATCTCCTGCCCACTTCTCGTGGCTACTCCTCTTCGCCATGACCAGCCTGTTGCTGCTCTCGCCCTTCGTGTCGATGCCCTTCCTCGGTCACCCGCTGTCGTCGACGCTCGTCTACATTTGGTCGCGCCGTAATCCGGACACGCTGATGAGCTTCCTCGGGCTGCTCGTCTTCCGCGCCCCGTACCTGCCGTGGGTGCTCATGGGGGTCAGCCTTGTCATACATGGCACGGTGCCGCGGGACGAGATATTGGGTGTTGTTATTGGGCACATTTGGTACTTCTTTAACGACGTGTACCCTCCACTACATGGCGGGTCTCGCCCCCTTGACCCCCCCATGTGGTGGCGACGCCTCTTTGGTGAGCATTCTTAACACCCGGCCGTTTGAGGGGGGCTACGCTAACCCACGTGTTGTAGAAGGTCGACCGCGCGATGAGACTGCCAACGGCATCAATAATGAGATTGCTATGGCCGGGGCTGAAGTTCCTCAGCCAGAAGTTCGATGAACCTTGTATCATGATCCGAAACAGGGTGGAGTGTTCTAGTAGTGTCGTGGATTCAGTGACATTTTTGCAATTCTGGTTGCCTGGCGTTTGAGGAGCAGTGGGTAGTGCACTCTTTACGGAGCCAAGGGCATTTGCATGATACTGGCGTTAGGAGGGGAGGTTGGAAACCAGGAAGACCTAAAGCGGGCAACTATGTGAAGACACAAGACGGATTGACGGGTCTGCGCCTCTGAGTAGAGAGACATACCGTCCTTCAGTACCTTAGCAGCATCAAGTAGAATATTTGCAGCCGATAGTGCGAACATAACGTACTCTATCATGAAATAACATGCTTTGCTCAAATTCAATGATCCCTCCCAGACATCGCTCCTATGCCAGGAACTGCGAAACATACTGCTTCCTGTGCGGGTTCGAGTCCAGGTCCTCAGACCGGTTCAAGGGTGTCCATTTGGGCTCGTCCTTGAACAGCCGCATAGCATGAACGTACTGTGTCTTGTCAATCTCCAACCTCGTCCCCAATCTCATCACTGGTACGTTCAATACATACATTGCTCTCATCCGTGGTAAACCGGTGATAGATCCCCGCAGGCAGGATAATCAAGTCGTCCTAGGCACGCAGGTTAGCCATTTCAACCCTTGTCTTTCCATCATATCTCCCCCCTTTGAGGGAGCGGAAAATACTCGCCTTCTCCAGCCAAATCCTCACCCAGCGATCACCCTTGTCACGCACGTCAAAGTAGCCCTTGCCGTCGCGGATGTAACGAATCTCCTCGTCTTCGTGCAGGTGCTCGTCGAAGAACATCTTGACTTTGGTCTCGTACGCGTCGCCCATTTTCTCGGGCGAGACGGTGATCTCGTCCCGGTTCTTGTAGCCCCGCTCGGCGGCCAGAGCATCGACACCCTCGATGGAGTCGATGTGGTAGTAGAGCACTCCTATCGCCGAGAGGTCGCTGGCCGACAGGGCGGTGCCCGAGTCATGTGGGAGGCGCTGGTCGCCCTTGAGTGCCCGGGTATGTGAGTGCCATGTAGAAGTCTCATGGTGAGAGCATTTGGTTGCTGTTGAGTGTGGCTTACTGGGAGGTTGTCATAGAGGTAGGCTTTCATTATGATTTCTGCTTTTATCACGCTGTCTTGGCAGCAATTGGGGGATTTTGACTCTGCGGGGTTCACGGCTTCCCTAAATTTTGGTGGTGAGGGGCATCACGGAACGTTCTGAGGCGGCTTCGAAGGACTCAAAGTGGGATGTCATGTGCTAAGGCAATTACTAGACTGAAATTGGCTCAATATGTCTACACTACAGCTGACATGCAATCTCTGAAGGCAGAATGCTGAATCTCAGACTCCATTGGCTGTGACGTACATCGGCTCATCGGTTCTTGCGCGAGAGAAACTGTCAGATTGCACCATCGACGCCACCTTGTCAGCGGTGGGCTCGCGCACCGCCTCACTTCGCAGCTCGGTTTGTGGCAGTGCACTTGTGGGTCTTTTGCAAATTCGCAGACAGGCACGGGCCAAGCAGTTGGGGGTATATATTTCCGTTGTTCCACCCAATTCTTGAACTCTTCTCTTCTTTCTTTCCTCGCCCTTCGGGGCATTTGGTCAATTTGAAACGATACAGAGAAGATTAGCATGGCCCCTGCACTAAGGATGACACGCTACTCAAAGAGACGCTACCAATTTTTTTCACTGTGATCATGGCGTTGAGTCGTGACATGGAGAAGAAATTCGATTCTTCCTTATAATTGGCGCATGGGCATGCATGTTGATATCCTCTGGAATGTTTTGAAGGTTGTCCGGTACGGAGTAATTCGCTCAGATATCGCCAACAAGCATGTCTATCTCGTCTTGTCTTAAACGTCCTATTCAACGATGCTCCAAAGTTTCTAGACTTCGTATGGGAGCTCAGGCAATTGCATACCTAGGCACCTCTGTAGAGTGTTGTACGGATAGATTTCTCCTCATTGTTGAAGTGCCGGCTTACCAACCCGAAGCGTCTGACTCGCTCGGATTGCACCCGAGGATCTCCAGCCCTGCAGCTAGAAAAGGTACATCGCTCTTCCCGCTCCCACGGCTCCGGCTCCGGCTTCAAGTCTCTCAGGTACTGTGCACGTGATGTTCCTGTTCAGTGCAAACTTGTATTTTTGAAGACTTTGATTCATCGGGAATTCCGATCTTCTTCGAGCCTTGCGCTCCATCCTTCTCCCACCATGTTGCCCAGAGCAGTGGGTGATCCCCAGTACTTCTAGAACCATGTCCGAGAACTGACTTTTCCAGGTCGCCGCGGCCTCGAGGGCTCGTTCGCTCGGCCGCGCGGGCAGTCGCTTCTCGAGTCTACGAATATTGCATCGAGTTGTCCCGCATACACCATTTTACACGCCCGAATACCGTCGTTCGATAAGCTCGACAGTCTCTAAACCAGCTACGCTCTCCCAAGGCTCCGGGATAGAATACCCTTTCATCAATGCCCAAGCAGAAAAAAGGACCCCGCAGACCCTGACGGAAAAGATCGTTCAGAGCCATGCTGTCGGCTTGCCGGAGGGGAAGATTGTTCGGAGCGGCGACTATGTACAAATAAAACCCTATCGATGCATGTCCCACGACAACACCTGGCCTATTGCGAAAAAGTTCATGTCCATTGGCGCCACTCAAGTGAAGAACCCGAGCCAGATGGTCTTTGCGCTCGATCACGATGTCCAGAACAAGACGGAGACAAATCTCAAGAAATACGAGCAAATCCAAGCATTTGCAAAGACGCATGGCATTGTCTTCTTCCCTGCTGGCCATGGGATTGGCCACCAGGTCATGGTGCGTGTCTGTACGGCTCCGAAAGCGGACTGTCATATGCTAACACCACGTCAGGTCGAAGAGCTCTTTGTGTGGCCCGGAAAGCTGTGCGTAGCTTCAGACAGCCATAGCAACATGTACGGCGGCCTGGGTTCTCTGGGAACCGCTATAGTAAGGACGGACGCGGCGTCAATCTGGGCAACCGAGAAGAGCTGGTTTCAGATCCCTCCTGTTGCTCAAGTAACCTTCACGGGGACGCTACCTCCAGGTGTCACTGGTAAAGATGTCATAGTTGCTCTGTGCGGGCTCTTCAAGGACGACGTCCTTAACCATGCCGTGGAGTTCTGTGGATCTGAAGAGACCATGGCCAGTATCTCGGTAGACAACCGACTTACAATCAGCAATATGTCGACTGAGTGGGGTGCCCTCTCTGCAATGGTGCGTTCTGGATTCATGATTGACTGTAATCGGATCGTCTAACCCGTCTGCGCTTGACAGTTTCCGATAGACCAGACTCTAGAACGCTGGCTGAGGTATAAGGCCACAGAGGCAGCCATGTTCCCAGACCGTACTACTAGAGAACGAATCACGCACGAAAAGATTGATGAGCTCTATGCCAACCCTGTTCAGGCCGACCCGGGAGCGCATTACGCAAAGAAACTCTACCTCAACCTCTCCACCCTCTCGCCTTACGTATCCGGCCCCAACTCGGTCAAGGTCTCAACGCCCCTCAGTGACCTGGCGCCCAAGAACATCAAGGTGGATAGAGCATATATCGTATCCTGCACGAACTCGCGAGCTTCCGACATCGCCGCAGCTGCCAAGGTCTTCCAAGATGCTGCAAAGGCCAACGGTGGCAAGATCCCTAAAGTTGCAGACGGAGTCAAGCTGTACATTGCTGCGGCCTCTGCTCGTGAGCAGGAGCTTGCGGAAGCCGACGGCAGCTGGCAGACTCTGTTGGAGGCTGGGAGCATCCCACTCCCTGCGTCCTGTGGTCCTTGCATTGGACTGGGTACGGGGCTGTTGGAGGATGGCGAGGTCGGAATTTCTGCTTCAAACCGGAACTTCAAAGGGCGCATGGGTTCTCGAAACGCCCAGGCTTATCTTGCTAGTCCGGAAGTGGTGGCTGCCAGCGCCATCAGCGGCGTGATCTCGGGCACGGGCGTATACAAGGCCCCCGAAAACTACTCTGGTGTCGAATTTGGCTACGGCACCGGTTTACCTGCGACAACGGAGACTCAGCTCAGCAACGCTCTGGAACAACTCGAGTCGCTCATCGATAGGGTCGAGGCGTCCGCTACTGATGACGCCTCAAAGGCCACCACCAAGATTCTTCCCGGGTTTCCAGAGAAGATCAGCGGTGAGATTGTATTCTGCGATGCCGACAACCTCGACACCGACAACATTTATCCCGGCAAATATACATACCAGGACGATATTACGACGGAGGGCATGGCAAAAGTCTGCATGTCCAACTATGACCCTGATTTTGGGCAGTCTGTGAGACCCGGCGATATTCTTGTCTCAGGTTTCAACTTTGGGTGCGGGTCTTCACGAGAGCAAGCTGCTACTGCAATTCTCGCCAAGAAGATCCCGCTCGTTGTGTCGGGAAGCTTTGGGAACATCTTCTCTCGCAACAGCATCAACAATGGGCTCTTGGGCTTGGAAGTTCCGCGTCTCATTGAGCGCCTGCGTGCTACTTTCGCCTCGTCGGACAAAGTGCCAACTCGACGGACAGGTTGGACGCTGACGTGGGATGTTACCCGGAGCGTCGTCGAAGTACGGGAGGGTGAGAATGGGGACCGTTGGGAGGAAAAAGTGGGTGAGTTTGCAGAGAGCTTGCAGGATATCATCGCAAAGGGCGGCTTGGAAAAATGGGTCAAGCACGAGATCATGAAGACGGAGGCATAGATACCATGTAAAGCGACGTGGAGTTGACATTATGGATGCTTAGATGAGTATGCCTTCTATGTATAGGCTGTAGACGGACAGCTTCGTGGATAGCGCCTATAGCATTTATCCATACCACAGGAGTCGCGGTAACCCACTACAAGAAAATAAAGAATGTAATATGATCTACCTTAGTCAGGCTTTTAGTAGAGGATGTCCATTCTAACATCGAAACAAATAGTGAGACTTTGCATGGTGATGCGGTTAGACTGAGCCTTGATAGGGCCGTATTGGGATGAAAGCACCTTTACATCATGTTCTAGACGACTAGCAAAGTTGGAGCTGAAACTTCAAGTTGAACTTCAACTTGAAGCTCACTGCAGCGGCCTCAGTTGCGATGCACAGTTTGATACTCCGTTAATTGACACGGTGCCTCCACCCCATCGTGCTGCTTCACGGAATGCCATTTGCCAAGCAAACCCCGATACTATGTTAACTATGTACCTACCAGCTACACTCTATGTCTCGTGAGAATGTCCAGACACCAGACACTCTATAGCTGAGCACACACAAAACTTAAAAGACATCGGCCATCAGACGTACCATGACTTGAGAATACATGAGGCAGGCGAATGCGTATTCCTACCGGCTTCGCCTTGCCTTGTTGGTTTGGAGCCTGATCAAACCAACAGACGGAAATCCCGCCCACCATGGACTCTCGTAGCATGCAGGACAGCGTGTCTGTCTCCGGGTCCGAGTCTGGCAGGATGAAGCTCCAGCTGCCGGCTAGCTGCGATCCGCCACAACCGGGGGCTCCTGTGAAGCAGTTGGTCTGGATTGTGAGCAATCGCAACCCGCGTTTCCCAACTCTCGCGAAATATACTTGAACACGACTGACCATGTCCGCAAGGTGTTTGGTGGTACTGGCCACATGGGCCGCTCCCTAGTGAAGGCGGCACTGGCCCACGGCGACCTCGTCACCACGGTTGGCCGTGTCTTCGAGACAACGCCCGAAGCCATGGCGCAGCTGAACAGCGAGACATGCCTCGGCCAGCTCTGCGATGTGCGTGACGGTGCGTCGGTCCGTCGGGTCATGGAGCGCACCCTTGAGCGCTTTGGCCGCGTCGATTGCATCGCCAACTGCTCCGGCTACGGCGTCATCGGCGCGTGCGAGGATCAGGACGAGCATGACCTGCGCAACCAGTTCGAAACCAACTTCATGGGCACCCTGCACATCGTCCAGGCCAGCCTGCCCTACTTCCGCCAGCAAAACGGCGGCCGCTATCTTATTTTCAGCTCCACATCAGGCGCCCTAGGCGTGCCTGGGCTTGGTCCCTACTGCGCGACAAAGTATGCTGTGGAAGGACTGATTGAGGGCATGCTCTATGAGGTCGACCCGTTCAATATCAGGGCAACCCTGGTCGAGCCAGGCCTGGTGAGGAGAGATGAACCGGATTCACAAACGAACCCGCTTCCTACCTGGGGCCATTTCCTGATCAAGCCTGCCAGCGAGGCCTACTCGCATGCCACATCTCCGGCGCTGCACGCAAAGAGGATGGTGCAATGGTTGGGCGACCGGCAGCCTACGAGCGCGGTGAAGTGCGCAGAGCTGGTGTGGCAGCTTGGTCACTGCTCGTACCCGCCACTCAGATTACTGCTGGGAAGCTATGCCATTGAGAGTATCCGCGACCGGCTGAGATCGGTGACCGAGGAGCTGGAGGACTGGAAGCATCTCAACTACCCTGTTGCGCCGGATGCAGAGAGGACTGAGAAGGCGGATAGGGAGGATAAGGACGAAAAGGAGGACCGGGAGGACAAGGAAGAGCGGGATGTCGACGAGGAGAAGGACGATGACGATGTCATGGAAGGGATGAGTCCTGAAATGAAGGAAACTTGAAAAGCCTCACGGACCAGCGCTGAATTGCCGCGGTTGCTTCTTTACAGTACAGCGGCTGTACTATTCATCGTATGTATACCTAGCATTTTGGAGATGATAGCTTTTGCCATCTGTGCCCATGATACTCTATGCAATGCCATCCGCTGCAGCTTGCCTTGCGACAGGACCCAGTTCCGGTTGGGTGTTGAGTGTTAACGTGTTTCGACACTGTGTTATTCTCGCCAGTGGCATTATGCATGGCTTCAATTCTGGCCAGATAAATATGGATTATTGCATAATGCAGCCAGTCAACGGTACTACTCCGTAGGTAGACGCCGGATTACCTAATTATCGGGGCAGATCCATTTTTACGAAACGTTGCACTTGCGGTCCGACAAAGCCAAAAGGGGGAGCCGCGACCAGGGAAGGCTGCGATGTGGGGCTGTGGATTTTCGAGTTGCAATTTAACTAACAAGATTTCCTCCCCCGTCACTGCATTTCTCCTGGAATACGCGTCCCCGGGCCCATCGACGAGCACTTGATCTTCCTCCGTATTCTCCGGGCGTCAAACAGGTGGCTACACCTTTGCTTGGTTGTCTTCAACATTGAGTGGCGCCGCTCTGCTCTCATCGGCGAGTCGGACGGTAAAGCACTGCTCCCCCGATCGTTTATCTGCCCGCATCGCATCCGGTCAAGTCCCTCTCTGTTCGACAATCTGTCGCCAGCGCCGCGCCGGCTTCTTGAGTAGAGTTTCGGCGTCCGCCCTGAAACCGCTCGTCGCTCGTTAACTAGATTGGGACCTCTGCGGATATAATACAATAACGATGTCGAACAAGAAGAACGAGGATGTTGAGATGCGCGCCGGCGTCGGCGGCAATGACTTTGGGAACGAGAAAGACCCATTTCTGGGGAGGAACTCGCCCGCGAGTCACCGGTCCCGTCGCGATCCTGGCTTCTCGTCTTATTTCGACAAGCTTGATCACAGCCCTGGGGCGTCAATTCTGGCCTACTGTCTCGCCTCTATCAGCATGACTGTTGTCAACAAATACGTCGTTTCCGGCTCGGCTTGGAACCTGAACTTTTTCTACCTCGCTGTTCAGGTACGTTGGTTAAATTGAGCAAGGCTTCAGACAGGTGATTAATATTGGTACTAGTCTATTGTTTGCACATTGGCGATTTTGCTTTCCAAGCAAGCGGGCTTGTTGAAGAACCTGGCTCCCTTTGACTCGACCAAGGCGAAGAGATGTACGTCAAACTCCATCCCACCATACTCTGTACACCGTGGGCTAATATTCGCGACTAGGGTTCCCAATTTCGCTGCTGCTCGTTGGCATGATTTACACGGGTGCGAAAGCTCTTCAGTTCTTGTCTGTGCCGGTGTATACCATCTTCAAGAACCTCACCATTATCGTCATCGCCTACGGAGAGGTCCTCTGGTTCGGTGGCAGTGTTACGCCCCTCGCTCTGCTCTCCTTTGGCCTGATGGTGCTCAGCTCTGTGGTGGCAGCTTGGGCTGATATCCAAGCTGCCATTGATGGCGTTCACTCGCTTGAGGCATCCGACGCGCTTGCGACCCTGAACGCCGGCTATGCGTGGATGGGCATGAACGTCGTCTGCACTTCCTCGTACTTGCTTGGCATGCGTAAGGTCATCAAGAAGATGAATTTCAAGGACAATGACAGTAAGGCTACCGTTTCGAGTGTAACGACCATGATGCTGACTTAGCACCTAGCCATGTTCTATAACAACCTGCTCACCATTCCTGTCCTTATTGTCTGCTCGCTGCTGGTCGAGGATTGGTCCGCCGAGAACCTTGCGAGGAATTTCCCCGTTGAGACCCGAAACAAGCTGATGATTGGTATGGTTTACTCCGGCTTGGGTGCCATCTTTATCTCATACTGCTCGGCTTGGTGCATTCGTGTTACCTCCTCGACGACATACTCCATGGTCGGCGCCTTGAACAAACTTCCCATCGCCATCAGCGGCCTAATCTTCTTCGATGCGCCCATTACTTTCGGCAGCGTCACAGCCATCTTTATTGGCTTCGTCAGCGGTCTGGTCTATGCATGGGCTAAGGTCCGGCAAAAGGCACAGGATGCTGGCGTCTTGCCCACCAGCAACAAGCCCATGATGAGCGCCAGCTCGCAAAGCAACAGGGACGCCGCGAACTCGTGAGCAAGGAGCGTCACTAGCTTACTACGCCCGCGGGATACCCACCTCGACTGTGTCAGGCCTTGATTTGCTTTTAGCCCCTTGCGCTGTTATGACAACAAAAAAGTTGGAGAATCGGGGCGTGTCTACGCCGCAAGTTCTCCTTTACTGTACATTCATTCTGTTCTCAGGCGGACTCCTTCTGTGTTTCGCCATTTTAGTTGACTTAACTTTTTTTTCCCCGCATAGAGCTGGTATCACCTTGGGGACGGACAAATAGGCTTGGGATTTTCTCTGGTTGTATCTGAGACGGCGCACCTCAGATGGTATTTCAAGACATAAACGCACGCATGACCGGCGTTTGGGGGGTTACGGAACGTCAAACGACTGCCGGCAGACCGGGTCTTTCTTGATCACATGTGCTGTGTTGTTACCCCTGGATGGATGGAATGGAAGAAAACAAGGAGATGGGCGGGTCTAGCGGATGGGGAGGTGGTCTGATGGTGATGTCGAATGCTTTCTCTGTGTTCGCTAGGATAGTAAAGTAATACAAAGAACTTCTTGCGTTCATTTCTTACGTGTCAAGCTGTTCTAAGGATGATGAAAATGCCCCTTGGACTATAACTGTGTTTACAGAGATAACAGAAGAGACAGATCATTCGACAACCAGGTACAGTACGCTGAGGAGCGATTGAGTGAATCTTGATTTGCAGATGATGTTCCATGGATGAGCGGGCAGAAAAAAAAACATACAACACCAGGGATTCGCTGGTCGTCACCGACCCAACTACTAATCTGGCCCTTACTGGTTTATCTAGGGGAGAGCGGACGGGATCCCGAGCTTTCCAGTAGGTATGGTCGTATGTGCTGGGATAGCATCATGCTTTAGTTTATATTCGGGCCATCGGTTGCCTGCTGAAGCACTACATACTGCTTCTGGTCCTGAATGCGCAAGGACAGCAGGGCCCGAGGAAATTCCGGTACACACTTCGCCTGGCTTCTTTTGGATGATCAACCTCCAAGGTTCGGACGATCCTAACCACTGCATAGACCCCTTAAGTAATAAAGTACCTACAGAAGAGACAAGAGTCATACCTGTCTCGTTCGGTAATACCGGCCTTTGGAAGAGGTTACAGGTGATTTGCACGATCCAATCATTTGCAAATTTTGAATCTAGTGGTTATAGATTGTCCAAAGGTCGTCCTAAAAACTTCTTGCCCATCTATCCTGCATGCCTACCGGCTGTTTGTCGTTTTAGATCAAGACCTTAGATACACAACCTTACAGACCCCCCTCAAGCAGAGTTTGAAAACACAGACATTGGCACCAACGCGTTCTCGCTCTCGCTCAAGATCCACAGATTCCTCCACCACATGACAGCACCAGCGACTAGGAGCACGTAGTACGCCACTGACCAGAGGATAGTGTGCCGTCTCCTCCCCTTGGCATCGCCAGGAGCTCCATTCCCATCCGGCCACGACGACTCGGGCTCAACCCTGCCCCATACCTGCGGCAGACCCATGCAGTTGCAAAAGGCGTGCACGGCGCAGACGGCGAGCAGCGAGCCGGTGCGTACAAACAGGAAGGTCGCGTAGGCCCCGAACAGGGTCGTGTAGCCGAACTGGAAGACGGAGCGCAGCAGCGCGGCCGACACGGGTACCTGGGGGTGCGTCAGGCGGAACTCGTAGAAATGGTGCACGTGCGCAAGCCCAAAGATGACGGGCGACAGGAAGATGGTCTCCTTGATGGGGACCTGCGCGAGGAGCATCAGGGGCACCGAGGCCGAGCGGAAGAGAACCTCTTCAGTTATCGGGCCCTAGGAAGGTTTGTTAGTGGCGGATGGTGAGGAGACGAAAGTTGGGAAGGGAAAAATGGGGAAGGGAAGACGCAACCGCCACGATGTTTCGCCAGGTCGTCCACTCCTCCCAGACTTCCTTGATGGGTGTCAGGTGGGCCCATTCGAGCCAGCCGCGCTCGACAAAGAAGTGGCTAAAGAGCGGGCCGGCAAACAGGAGGGACGTGAGGAGCAGGGTCCGGAGCGAATCAACCACCCCGGCGGGCCACACGCCTAGCTGGTGTAGGGCCACGGCCGGGGTAGCGCCGCCGCTCCGGGCAAGCACCACATAGGTGGCCGCGGTGCAGATGACACATGACAGGGTCACGGAGCGGATGCGGGCGCGGATGACGGACGGTGCGTCCCGGGAGAGGGTCGGCGACGGCCGGGTCGTGGGGGACAGATAGAAGGGGATGAAATAGATGAGGGCGTACACGGCCAGGAGGACGGAGGCGGTACCCGTGGTGATGGGCGGGGGTGGAGGGGTGGGCTCTGTGGTAATCGAATGAGGTCAGTCCTATGGTTTCAGAGTGCGTAGTGTACTAGTGTGTGGGTTCAGTAATTACTTTTGCTCCAGGGATTGAGCTTCTGGAGGACTTCCCCAACGGCAGGCATGTTTGGATTTTTGGAATCCGGCGACTGGTAGCCAAGGCTTCACGAACTTGTAGGCGAATTCGATGCGTCTTGTCGGTACCACACACACTCACACACCATGCAACTACCTCCTTGCTTAGACGCCGTCGCAGAAGCGCAGAAGCGCGCTACTAGTACGGTGTCCCCGGTGCGTGAAAAGGATGAAAGGCCGCCGGGTTCGGGAGGTTCCAGCGAATGGACAACGAACCGCCAAGTGATCCTGTTCTCCACACTTTAGTCCCGCCCTGTTTCCCGAAGATCTCCTAACGCTGTTCACTAACTTCACTGTATTTTCCAGGATGGGATGACAGCCTCAACGACACCAATCACTAATTCAACTGAAGCTGTGCTGGATCCGGTGTGGGCGAGATCTGGAAGAAGACGCTCAGCCTCCAGCAACTAAAAGCGGGAACTGGACGAGATCTTTGGTTTACACTAGATCCGGCCGCATTTCTCCCTCCCATTATCCTCGCCCGTTCTCTTTGATCACAATTGCATCTTCATAATGGCCCGTACAAGAATATGTTTAGTTGATCCGCATTTAGGCAGGTGGCGTCCAACCGTGGCTCCAAGTGGGCAAAATCACATGCCATACACCACACTTCCCCTTTCTTCATCTGCTGTACCCCAGATCACGATGTCTGGTTGGATGAGTGCAGGGCGCGGGCATGACAGCCTATAGTATTTGATGGAACACGAAAAGCACGCGAAATAGCCACGCGCCGGTGTTTTGCAGCAGTGTTTAATTAGAGCCGCTCCGGCAGGCTTCAGCTGCTCAGCAGGACGCTGCGGTATGTGTCTCTTGGCACTTCCATTCTCTGCCACCGCCGTTGAACACGTAGCAAGGGACCCATTTCGGCAGGACCCCTCTGGTTCTAGGCCGGACACCTCCAGGGAACGAAGATCTGAACATCTTGAGATATCGGGAGGTGATCGTGGCAAATCAGCCGAAGAAGACAAGTCGGAGATGATAAATCGCTAGAGTCTAGTTGGCGCTCACTGCCCAGAGGCGAGCGTCTCGGAGCGGGGGACCTTCGGATCATTTGGACGCTTTCGCAGTGAGGCGTCGCCTTGGACACTCACAAGCGGTGAAGCTGCTCATTCTCCTGGCGCCGTCGAGACTGGGATTTGCTGCGGGTTGGCGGGCGCGAATCCTTTTGTGCACAGCTGCAGCTCTGGAGGACACGAATGCGGGCAGGAGTTCAGGAGTGCAGCAGTGCAGCAGCTTGGAAAACCGGGGCCCAAAGCCAGACACCGACATGGCAACATCCTTGACACGTTCAGGGATCGTGAGGCTCTGGGCCCGGCTGGTTGCAGCATCAGCGACCCAAGTTGTCGGGTGCTAGAACAAGCGGGCGAACAACAAGCCAGGTTTGGCCCAGAACAGCGACTTGACGATGCTCTTTAAAATTTAGTGTGGGATGACAGGTCTGAAATCTGAATGTGAAATGAAACTCGACAACTCTCAAGTTGACGATACACTGGCAAATTTGGGCAGCCCCGGCCCAGGCTTGTGGATGGGCCCGCTAACGCACCAGAGCCCGCACACTTGCGGCGACTTAGCAGCGACCGGCCTCAATCCTACCTATCAGGGCATGTCAACTTGTGGGACCCGAAATTACACAGAAACTCTTCGTGAGCCTTCCAAAGAGCGTGCGATTACCGGGCCGGACGTGGGTCTCTTTTTGGAGATGGACTCCAGGGAATCGCAGTGGCTGACAGGGCAGACGTTGGCCAGGCGCCCACCCAATGCGCCATATCCCTATCCATGGATGTATGTACCTCCGTATGTAGGTCAGTTAGGTAGTGTCGGCTCCTCTGTAGTGCACCAAACCTGGAAGTGGACAGCGGGAATATTTACAAACTGGGGAACCTTCCATTTGGCGTCCATCCAAACTTTTGCAAACCTCGACGGTCTCTTCCCTCCGGCCACTCCACGCCGCCTGCCTTTCCCTCCCTCCTTTTCCTCGCCCACCCCACGAGGCGGATTGTTGAAGAGGAGCAGTACACTGTACGGTGCCGGTAGAGATAGGCGCTCGGCATAGCAATGCATCGATTGGACCTACGGTGCTTCACCAGACGCCGCTCTTCCACCCACCCAATGTGCTCCAATTGATATTTGCCTCAAACGCCCTTCCAATCCAACTTACTCCAATCTTTAACCTGTTTGATTTATTTCTCTTCTACTCGCTCATTTTCGTCTGCCTGTATAGGCGACATTTCAGTTCTCTTAATCTTATTTTTCTGCCCTGTTGTTGCGACACTCTCGTCACGATTTAGTTCTGGCCCTCCCAAAGGCCCCTGACGCCCTTTTGTATTATAATTCGAAGACGAGGAGGGAGGAATCGCGCGTCGCAGCTCGGTGCAAAGGCCGTGCCCGATCCTCGCCTGGCAGAACGCATGACACAGATATGGAACGGATTTGACTGCCTGGCCATTTCTAGATTGCGACCCGGACCCGGCGGATCGATAGCCTCCCGGCCTGGAGCACCGACCGTCTCAGTCATCACGCCAGAGCCATGTCGGCGCCACCAACCCGACATGGCCCAACAACTCCGCTCCACGAGCGATCGAACCCACAAAATAACAGCAGGCTTGCCATTCGCATCGTCCCTTATACCCCGCCCAGAATCGATGCCGAGGATCGAGCGCCAAGCCAGGCCTCTGCTCGCGACAATGCAGGTAGCCGATACTCTGGAAATTCCAACGACCAGGCCAGTAGCGATGCTGGACATGGGAGGCGTCAGAGTTGGCGGGATGAGGTGACAGACAGCAATGCTGGCAGCCCGGGGTCTGCATTGTCATCCCCTCCCGCCTCGGCTCTGTCATTGGGTCGATTCAGGCATGAAAGGGTTTCAGGCATGAAACCCGTAACCAGCTCGTCGGGCGTGGGGCTTGGAGGTCCAACCCCGTTGGCTCTGAGGTCACCATCTGAAGTTTCAACTAATATCACGACCGTTAATGCATCAAAATTGCAGCAATCCCGCGCTGACGACTCGTCCTCGCCAGCGTCCACCAGCTCCAAACATTCAGGCTCCTTGTCCAGGCCCAGACGAAAAGCTTATGTGACCGTTCACGCCGACAAAACCTTCTCCCTCGTCCAACATGCCCCGGATTCAGATGTTTCTGGTAGCCTCACTCGCAGCGTCAGATCGCCTCCCCTGTCCTCCACTTCGAGAACCCCAAGCGCTCAGGAACGCCCCTCGACCGATCTATGGAGCGATGGTCAAAGTACCCCCTTGACAGGCGCAAGTACCACCATCCTCGACCAGAGCTTTTGCGACCTGCCGTCGACGGGTGCTTCTTCTCCTGCGCCCTTAGCTGAGGATCCTATTACTTCATCGCCGTGGAACTATCGCATGGTCGGCGGGCTCCGCAAAGTACCCAAGACACCTGACCTCAAGCAAAAACAGCCGTTGTACAACACAACAGCGCCGTCAGCCGAGACGCTTCTAGCTCCGCTTCCTGAAGCTACCGGCCCTCAGGACGAAGAAGAAACACCCACACGAGCAGTGGTCGCCAAAGCGTCGTTTACGTCCACCTCGTCTGAACAAACGATCGATACGGTGTCTGAGTCAACCAATTACAAGGTTTACGGGCCATCTCCCGTTGCACAAGAATCCAGCGACAGCCTCGTCTTCAGCTCCGGAAGCCCTTCCAATTGGGAAGTATTGGGCCGGTCCTCTCCAGCTCCCTTGCCAAGCAGCCCGTCGACGATCCCGCGTGGGAGCAACGAGAACTACATCCTACACGGCGCTCCGTCACTGTCCCCATCATCCTCTCTGGTTACCGTTTCCCGGAACCCACGACCCGCTTACTCTCAAGAGAGTTTAGTTGTCGCACCTCTCAGGCCGGCCAAGAAGAGGTCATACGAAAGGTTTGGATATTACAAGCAACGCTCCCGCGAGACACTCCGGTCCCGCACCGGCTCCGTCCAATCCCTGAGGAGTATCTCGTCCATAATAACCGGTCAGGATCCTTCACAGGCTCTTCTGTCGGCGGCCCCGGCATTGATTACTCTCAGCTCATCATCGACTCGGGCCGCCAAAGGAGGCGACGCGGGAAGTAGTTCCCAGTATTTTCCATGGTTGAATCCGCAAGCGCCAGAGTCCCGCGCCCCCGGCCCTCGCAAAGCCATCACACAGCGGCCGGCGGCCCAGATGATTCAGGCTGCTCCTCACCAATGGAGCTCCCAGCTGTCAACCGTCATGTCCGAGAGCGAGGGCGGCAGCGAGGGAGACCCTGCGCGCTCAGTATCGCCTCTGTCGGACTCGAGCGGGCATCGCCGTCGCAGCAGCCTCGGCTGGGTGAGCTCCATGCACAGCCGTCAGATGCAAAGCATCTCCTCTTCGATCGCTGGACAACTTGAAGAGGCTACGACTGCTAGTGACTCATTGGACAGACCACAGCAGAGCTATTCCAGAGCTGGCCCCTCGCAGATGCGGATGGTGCGCGACCAAGACGAACATGGCGATGGGCTAGCGGATCTGGAACACAGGCCGTCAAGGACAGGGCTTTCGGCGCTTTTTTTCGGCGGCAATGCCTCGAGCCGCAATCTCCATTCGAGCGGCAGCTCTCGGGCCAACAGTTTTACCTCCTCAATCCCGGCATGGGCCAAGTGAGTACAAGTTCCTGCATCTGCCCAGAATTGTTGAATGCTGATATGCGTCGGGCAGAGTGTACTACGGCTCTGGAGAGCGGCGATGGCTGGGACGCTCTCCGTCCTTTTTGAGCGTCTCCGATGCTGGCGAAAGCCGGCCGCCCAGCTCGGCGATCCCTGGTAGCGAGTCCCCGAACACGGACCATTTTCCGCAGGCTATTTTCAGCCCACGGAAACGGGCGAGGGAAGTTCAACCAGCGGCGAGTCAGCGCCGCGCTGCGAATCGGGCTTCCCTGGAAATCACCCCAGCACAGCCCGCTGAAGATTACCGCGTATATCGATCGGTGAAGCCCAAAACGTCAAGTATCTGGTCGCCGCATCTTCAAGTGGACCGCCGGGCAAGCCGGTACTCGGCGTGGGACCCCCCGAGCGTGAGCTGGTCGGCGGACAGCGGCATTCTCGGCAAGAGGAATGCACAGGTGGTGCTTTTCATCGTCGGATTCATTTTCCCTTTGGGTAGGCCCTCCGCATCTCACCTATTTTATTTCCGCTCATGTCTTCTAATGTGGCGAGAACAGCATGGATGATTGCCGCGCTACTTCCATTGCCTCCTAACCCGAAGCTCCAAATGTTCGAAATAGCAAACGGCCCTGGCCACCCTGCATTCCGATATCACCAACAACTCGTGGAAGAGGCGAGATTTGAGAGTGCCAGATGGTGGCGGAATCTCAATCGCGTCATGTCCTTTGTGGGCCTTCTCATAATCGGTGCCGTGGTCGCACTTGTAGTTGTCGGTGTACGGCAAGGCTGGGGACGGGCTTGACGGAACTGAAACATCCACGCCATTCCTCGCTCCGCTCGACCCCTGACCCGGACAGTCACATGGTTCCGAAGCTCATTCACCGGTTTCACTCTCTACATCTCATGATCTTCACGACACGCTGCACGACGGGGAGGTTCTGACGCCTGATGGTTTCCTATCGAGACTCTTGTCATTAGACTCCTACGATGCGCCGATCACACGACATCATGATCTGCCAGCTTTCGCTTTTTTCCCACCGCCCCTCGCTGGGGACACCTAGCCGACGCTATCGTTTATTCTTTTGCTTAGCCACTTCTACTTTTGTATTACCACCGTACCATTATCATCATCGCCACCCAACGATCGCGTCGAGCATTTAGACTCTCAAGACCCATCTACACGGAGGACAGGCGCTGGCTTTGAAGGACCGAGGCATAGTCCCACTCTCTCATTTTCTTTTACAAGAAGGGTAAACCTGGAAAGATACCCCGTTGTTGTATTTTTCAGCGAGGAGTCGGGTGGGCTTGGATTTTTTTTTTCATTTCTTTCGGTGGGGCAGGACTCGTTACAGAGCCTTTGGATGCTTGCTTGACAGAGTGTGTCTGAGCTATACCATACCCTTTTTCTTTCTTTCTTGGGCATCTGTCATGGCAGGAAGAACGCAATATGATAATGACATATAAAGCTCTTAAGGGCGTTTGTCCGCTCACTAAGAGTGGCACGTCCCGATATTAAAGCTTAGTAGCTAGTTCTTTCTGTTACTTCTCTGGTCATACGATCCATCTACATGGAAATGTGGTCGGATTGTATGCGGATTACGATAGGCTATGTAGACATAATGTAACTGTTTACACTACTAAGTACATATTCACCGTATGAGCTGGTGACGCTTAGCTGTCGGATAGATACCTATTCAATCGAATTGAGATCTAAGTAGAGGCACTTGCCCTTTCTATGGGTCGAAGGAGATAAGCCCATAGCGCTGATGCTCGCTCATCTTTCAAATCCATTACGCGACAGATTCTCTCTCAAGAGACATCGCTCGCTTCCACTGACATGTTACTACCTATCCAACGATGCTCCCACTCCGCTCCATGCCACATCACCCCTTTGCTCAATCATCCACACCGCCTAAAAAAACTCCTCATCACCTAGCTTTCCTCTCGCGAATCTCACTCACCACGTCGTCGAGCTCTTTTTCCAAGTCCTGGGTGATACCCATGACCGGCTCGCGCGAGGCGAGGCTGTCCGAGCTGGGCGATCTGAGCTTCGCATCGGCACGCGCATCCCCGTTCCCGGCACCGACCTTACCAGCCCCATTGGCCTTGGCAACAGCCCCACTCCTCTTTTCGAGCGCCCTGCGCAGGTGCTTCCGCGCGGGCGAGGCGAAGAAGGCGGTCAGGGCAGCGGTGCCGACGATGCCATAGAAGTAGACGCGCGCCCAGGCCTGCAGGGAGGCAGGGAGGGTGAGGAGCATGAAGGGGGCAACGGCAAACGAGAAGGTCAGCTGCGTGACCAGCCAGGAGGCGATGTCGTAGTACCGTTTCGAGGGCAGCGGTTGGTTCGGGTTGGTCGGGGAGAAGAAGAACGGCCGCAAGTGGCGGCGCAGGTCTGTGGATGTCAGTAAAGATAAGGATCGATAGAGAAGATAACAAGATGGGAGGGGAAGGGGGAAAGGGGTTTCTGACTTTTGGCAACGGTCTGGATGAAGCTCGCCAGAACGAAGGAGAGATAATATCCCGGGTAGAAGCCATGCCAGAAGGCGCTGGTGGTGAAGGTGGCCAGAGTGGCGCGGAAGCCGGGCTTCTTGCCGCGAGGCGTGACGCGTAGATAGACGTAGTTACGCAGCCAATTGTTAGTGTTGATGTTCCAGCCCCCCAGGTAGGCGCGCGTGTTCTGCGCAAGCTCGACTTCCCAGGGGTTGATGTTTCGTAGGCGGTCCCAGGAGACCTTGCCCGTCGCCGGATCCACCCCTTTGTACCCCAGCCCGGCGAGAATGCAGGCCCCTTCTGTCAAGGTCCAGACGCCATAGTACTTTGTGCGGGCAGTGAAGCCGACCATGTGCAGCACGAAGACGCGTCGGAGGAAGCCGTACTCGAGGTAGCGGTCGCCGAGCAAAACTTCGTGATGGTAGTAGCCTGATAGTTTTAGAAAAGAAAAGATCCATATCAGGCCAGACACAAGCTTTATCATGGCCGGAGTACCGCTGCGTGGGATCTTTCGCTTTCGTCTAGTCGGCGGCTTGTGGGCCGGGTTCACGGTAGCGGGTATCTCGAACATGGAGGTATCGAGCCAGCGACGGTACTCGGCGAAGTCGAAAGCCGGGCCGACCATCAAGCTAGGGAAGAAAAACACGAAGCCGGCATAGTCGAGAAGACTAGGCAAGTCTACCAGCCGACGGTCCTTTTGGAAATCGGACAACTCTGCTTCGGGCAGAGCACCGTCGGCCACGTTCCAGCAGAAGGCGCTGAGCTTCATGACCAGGACCATCTGGGCACCCGTGATATCCACCGTGCTGGGGCTATTTGCGGCTTGCCGTGCAATATGGTTCACACTCATGTGGCCCATCAAGAAGACGAAGCCGATCCATGGCATGTAGGGGGACCCGCGGAAGAATTTTGCGATGGCGTAGGCGCCTGCGGCCGAGATAAGAATCGTTCGAAGACCATCCCATAGGTCGAAAAGGCCGACAAGGTAGAATATGGAGATGCTGATAGGGATATTGTGTTAGCTGACTGCCTAGCCCTATTTCTCTGAGCGCGAACCCCATCACGCACCTCAGCGAAAACAGGTTCTTATACTCGGGTCGTGCATCGGGGACTCGTTTCAGCAAGCCGGCAAGCGGGTAGGAGAGCAGGAAGGAGAAAATTAGCTTGACTGATGTGCCACAGACGGGTCAGCCTCGCTCCATTCCATGACAACTCTGACCTGTGGCATTCTTGTATTCTCGAAACAACGGAGGAGAGAAAAGGGGGGTCGGCATACGTTCATCGGGGCCGGCGCCAATCTTGTTCGCCAGGTAGACGAAGGCTGGAATCGGTGGCAGTGTTAGCCAGGATACTCCGAGTCAATATGGCCCCGTAAGGAGGTGTCTCATCCGTACGGGTGTGTATAAACGGTATCATGGTGATGGAATCTGGAGAATAGGCTTGTTATGCAATCCCATCACAGCGAAATATCGTCGACCAGGTCCAAATGGGATCCAGCGCCCCTCACGGAGATGGGGTGTCAGTATTAGGAATAATCGAAGGCAGGTGTAGGTCAGATCCACCACATCTAGAAGATCATAAGATGGGCTGGCTGTATTTCATCGCAACTTTTATATGTCGGATCAGGCCGAGCAGTCGGATAAGTGCGCTGTCTTTTAAAAGGCCGGCGCGTCGCTAATGCCGGAAAACGATGATTTTGGGCAGGCCCACTGGCGGGCCGTTAGGTCCCGCTCTGACATCACAAGACGGGACTCCAATCGCAGCAGGTGGGCCTTGCACGGGGCTTTGGCACATGTCAATCAGCGGTGGTTCAAAAACCCCACCTTCTCAACGCTTTATCATACCGCCAGGGGTCTTGTTGGTAGCAACTCGGCCCTCAACAAAGGCTACAAAGGGAGAAAGGCTAGGTACAGTAGTAGGTGTGTGGACTGTTTATTACTGCCCAGGCATTCATTACTATCTCATTGGTAATTCAGTCAAGAGGGCCACATGTAGCGAACTTTCCTTTCTACTACAGTGGAGGGCTAGTTGAGCATAGCTAGCTACAGCTACCTCGGATGGATGTGGTCCTCCTCACGTTTTACCACACAGAGCACTTGCCCAGACTCTGCTTGCTGCAGTTGCAATTCTCAACAGTTGAAGCACCTGAAACAAAGCAGGGTGCCTCTGTACCATGAGGTTCGGCAGCTCTGCAGGCCTTCTTCTATCGCGGCGGTGTGAGTAATCACATGGATGGCTCACCTAAGATCACCTGCCCGGCCGCGGCGCAGAGGCGGAAGGATGCCCCGTCCCGGTTACCGCACAGTATCACGCTGCGGTCAGCATCTGGTCTTTCTTTCGCCAAGTCCAGGAATGCCTCATGTTGGGACGTCAAGGCTCATGCCAGGCATGGAGCCAGGCATCGGCCCCGAGATTGAAAACACATCTTCTGCCCGCGGTCGCCGTCGATACCTCAACGAATCCTGAACCCTGTCAGCTCGCGCATCCTCCTCAGCTTCCACTTCTTTCCGAGCTTCCTCTCGTAGATCCTTGGCAATGTCTCCTCCCTTGGCCTTGCTCAGTGAGCGCTCCACGTCTGCAATGACCTCGTCGCCGCCGCGTGTATTCTTCTTCCGCGGCCACATGCTAGGCAGAGCAATTTCCTGGAATCTCGGTTCCACACAGCGCTCGTCAAACCACCGATGGAGGCGAGACTCGACCAGCTGTGCGATCTTGGGGACATCTTGTAGCCTAGAGCGACTACCCAGGAGGCTGCGGATGGAAAAGTCCAGCCTGTAATCATCAAGAAAGGTAAACGTCATCTTGGTCGGAGTGTTCTCGGATGGGTTACTAGGAATGAAGGATATAGAGAGCGTGCCGCTGAATCGCACAACCGACACGGCTAGTGCCACGGGTAAAACAGCGCTGAGGCGCTTGGGGAAATTAAGCAGCAGCTTCGTCTCGACCGCCAATGTTATCATGTCGCTCAGATCAACATCCATCCGGGCTTGCAGACGTGCGCCTTCCCTCGTAGTCATGTTCGCGTCGAATGACTTGCCTGGCCCAAAGGTGAGGCCATCCTCGTCCATGGGGATGATGCGGCAGTTGCTGAAGATGGGGAAGTCTTCGCCTAGGCTCAGCTCAGTCACCCGAATTTCATCGACAAAGTCTGGCCTTGAGGTGCCATTGAGAGCCTTGGTGAGCGATGTGAGAATTGCATCGTCGTGCTGGGCGTCGCTGCGGAATTGAGCAATCGTCTGTGCGACCAGCACATTGAACCAATCCAGGCTTTCTGGTTGATGGCTGTCTACCTTGTAGTATGTCTTGTCGAGAATGGAGCCGATAGTCAAGTTTGGTTGGTTCGCGCGCAGGATGCTTGATTTTTTCTTGTTCAGCGTGGGTTGCTGGGCAGGCTGTCGAGGGTTGGTCGTTCGCAGGCTTAGCAGCGATTTCTTATGCGCGAGGGTCCGAGAACGCCGCTCAGTGGCGCGGAGAGATGCCGTGACTTCGGGCGAGGGAGGGTCGCCAAAGATGAAAAACTTGATGAAAGCGGCGAGCAGGAGGACTATGGAGAGTTGACCAAAGATGAATCCTTGGGTAAAGGAGAGTCTGCACCAAGCAAATATCCCGTCAGCTCCTTTCGCCTTTGATTCTTCAACAAGCAGCCGCAAGAGACTTACGTTGGTTCAGATCTGACCGGACATACATCTTGTGTTATACTTCCTGACATGGCGCTCATTGATGAGGACCTGCAAGACCTGAGCGGTTCAGCGGCAGACAACACCCAATGCGTTGCCAAATGGCGTTTCAACTTTCCAGACTGCCGACGGATTCCCCAGACAGAGCTTTTATCTTATCAGTTGGTGGCATGGCCCGAGGTACGGTACCCACTTGATGTCTTGGCGCGCCTGCCGCAGGCAACCTCGACCGGAATGACCCACAAGCGACAAAGCCCCGCTAGCTTCACGCCGAGCATGGTGTAGTACAATACACAGTAAGGCGCCGCTGGAGGTCTACTAGACAGGAGTTCCTACACTGCTTGAGAAACTACCTACCTTAAGTACTTCAAACTTTTGCCCTCTCATCCAAGCTCTTACCCAACATCCGGTTTGAAACATTCCAAATGTGGCACGACCTTCTCCACGATGCATAAGAGACCTGTTCTTCTGCCCGCTCTCCAGTGACGATCGACGTAGCTCCATCAAGTGATTGACTTGGTTAAACATGGATGTGGTGCAGGCCGCAGCGGGCTATGTCACCAAGATGGTGTCGGCCGGCGACAGCACGACGAGTGCGACGTCAGCCAAAATGAAGATTCTGCTGCTGGACAGGGAGACACTACCGTTTATTTCAACAGCCGTCACGCAGTCGCAACTGCTTAACCACGAAGTGTACCTGATGGACCGTCTCGACAACCCGAACCGCGAGAAGATGCGGCACCTGCGCTGCCTTTGCTTTGTGAGGCCGCACCCGGACTCGATCGGCCTCCTCATCGACGAGCTTCGGGAACCCAAGTATGGAGAGTACCATCTCTTCTTCAGCAACGTCGCCAAGAAGTCTACCCTGGAGCGCTTGGCCGAGGCCGACGACCACGAGGCGGTTAAGCTAGTCCAGGAGCACTTTCTTGACTATGTCGTCATCAACCCGGATCTCTTTTCCCTCAACATGTCCGCGCCCATGCACCGGATATGGAGCGGCAACCCGGACACTTGGAACACAGATTCGCTGCAGCGGGCAACCGAGGGAATCATTGCTGTTCTTCTAAGTCTCAAGAAGAAGCCCCTGATCAGGTATCAGAAAACCAGCCTCCTCGCTAAGAAGCTCGCTTCTGAAGTGCGGTACTACGTCAATCAAGAGGACCAGCTTTTCGACTTTCGTAAAGTCGACGCACCACCTATTCTCCTGGTTTTGGACAGGAGAGAGGACCCCATCACCCCCTTGCTCATGCAATGGACTTACCAGGCCATGGTACACCACCTGATCGGCATCAACAACGGTCGGGTAGGCCTCGGCGAAGGACCTGACATACGGCCAGAGCTCAGGGAGATTGTATTATCTCAGGACCAAGATCCCTTCTTCAAGAAGAACATGTATCTCAATTTTGGCGATCTTGGGAGCAATATCAAGGACTACGTTGAGCAATACCAGTCCAGAACCAAGAACAATGCCAATATTGAGACAATAGCCGACATGAAACGATTTATCGAAGAGTACCCCGAATTCAGGAAACTTTCAGGCAACGTGAGTAAGCACGTCACGCTTGTTTCGGAGCTGAGCAGACGAGTTGGCACCGAGAACCTTCTCGAGGTCAGCGAGCTGGAGCAGAGCATAGCTTGCAACGATAGCCACGCGGCCGATCTTAAGGTAAGCTCCTCTGCTCCCTACCCCCTTGGCCCAGACTTAGCCAAACTGACCTCCTCTCAGAACATCCAAAAACAAATCCAAAATCCCTCCGTCACCCCAGAAAACAAAGTGACCCTAGTAGCGCTCTATGCGCTACGCTACTCAAAGCACCCCTCCAACTCTCTCCCTATGCTCATCGATCTCCTCACCGCAGCAGGCGGCGTGCCCGCCCGCAAGGCAGACGCCGTGACCCGCTTGTTAATCTACCAAAACTCGCTGCAGCAGTCGCCCTCTACGGCGGGGGGCATTACCGAACTGTTTGAGTCGACGGGCCTGTTCGGCTCGACGGGGAACCGCTTCAAGGGGCTCAAGGGCGTGGAAAACGTGTATACACAGCACTCGCCTCTCTTGGAGACAACGCTGCAGAATTTGATAAAGGGCAAGCTTCGCGAGGCGCAGTACCCCTTTGTTGAAGGGGGCGGCACGACGAAGGATAAGCCGCAGGATATCGTTGTTTTTATTGTGGGCGGGGCAACCTACGAGGAGGCTAAGATGGTGGCTGGGATCAATGCGTCAAGTCCTGGTGTCAGAGTTGTGTTGGGCGGAACGACGATACATAACGCGGCGACATTCATCAACGAGGTTGAAGAGGCGGTCGCTTCATGGCCCGAAGGGGCTGGTGCTACTGGGCGCAGGCGTTGATGTTTATACAAGGAGTGTCCTTCGGTCTGTTTGAATCGAAATTGGCGTGATTGGTTGCATAATGGGCTGTATTCCCGCTGCTGGAGGTGTTGTCTCATTCTCAGTCAAGCCTTCGCTTGAACTAACACTCCCGGAATGCGGACGGAGTATTCATAATCTAGAGGGAAGGCTGTAGCTGTCGTAAACCCTGGCATATATCGGTCGCACGGGCCTGTGTGCTTGAGTGACTGGACGATGTATGTATGTACATAAAGTCTATCCAATGAATGCTCTCTATTCCTCTAACACCACCTCTATCACCTCTTAATGACAAAAGACCGCCCATATGTTCAGTTACTTTCTTCTCTTATGTACGCGCCGTTTCCCTGCTCTTGTCATATCCTCAAACTAGGCGACAAGAATCCATACAGCCAAACCCAGCCGCTACCCCTCCTTCCTCACTCTTATCTCCCTTGGTGCGCAACAAGTACCCCGCCTCCTCGTTATGCAACACTCTCCCACTTTGCTGATCCCACAAGCACGTCCCGTAGATGCCCAACTCGGAGATTACCCCGCCCTGCTCCAGCTTTCCGTTTCTGAGTATGATATTCGAAAACGGCGGCGGAGTAATCAGTTCCATGAGGATGTACGTTCCCCAGTGCTCCGGGGGTATCTCCTGAAGCCGCTCGGGGATGGCGGTCCTGTAGAAGTTGTTCCCGCCGCCCTCGCGCTGGGGCTTCATGACGTATTTCTTGCACTCCTCCGGGTCGGTCGCCAGGCGGCGGGCCTCTTGCCCCGCGGGCGAGGCGGCGTCCAAGGGGTAGATGTTTGCAAACGTCTTCCAGAGGGCAGCGAACCGGTCGTCGTCGGGCACGAAGCGGCGCAGGGCCGACGGCGAGGACGAGACCGACTCCGGCGTCGCCAGCACCTGCTGCACCTTCTTCATGCCGGCCAGCTGCGTCAGCACCGAGGGACAGGCGATGGCGGCAGAGCGCTCGATGCGATAGCGCGCTTCCCAAGCGGACGGCGTGCCGTAGTCGGAAGGGCCGTAGCCCGCGCGCAGGTAGGCTACGGCGACTTCAAATGTGCGCGAAGGGTTGTGTGGCGGGTGGTAGAGGAGCTGGCGTTTCGGGGAGGACGGGTTGAGGCTGGTGTGGGCCAGAATTTGGGAGAATGGGAGGCGGAAGACGGGGATGGAGTCGGCTTGGAGAGCGTATTCCAGGTGGCGCTGATCAAAGATGTTGCGCTCGCCGTCTTGGACGAGGAACAGGACGCAGGTCGGGTGGCCCAGGGCGGATTCTCCGTATGCTCGGAAGGCAGCGCGTAGGCCGGCCGCCAGACCCTGCGCGCTGTCGTTGTCTGGGAGGTCAAGTGATGATTCTGGCATTGGATCCTTGAGGAATGGATACTCGGTTTGTGCGAGGTACCTTGGGTGTTGTTAGTGACGGCACGAGCAGAGCCGGGTGAGGGGGAGAGAATACTTGTGCAATAAGGATGTCTGAACCGAGAGACCACCAAACGAAGAGGCGATAGTGTTGAACTCGACCTGTTTGATTTGCAGCTCCCCTTGATCCTGGTGGACCATGTAATCGGAACGGAACAGGCCGAGGGCAAGATTCTGACGATAACCGGTCAATTCGACACAACTACCACAACGACAGGAGCCGCACCTGGACATAACCCTCGGCCTTCACCCGCAAATGCACATCCCAGAGGCTGGCAATGAAGTCATCGCCACCAGCAACCCTGGCGCTCTGTCAGAATGGGCCCGGGAGAGCATCTCATGAGCCGGCAGCGGACCCACTCTTGTACGAGACCACTGAGAAACTCCTCGTCCTGGCTGATGTGGGCATAGAGCTCATTGTACGTGGTCTGGATGGACCTCGCCTCCTCAAAGCAACCCTTCGGAAAAGGACTTGGAAAGAGAGTGACAGGCGCGTTCACGGCCAAGATTCCCTCAAGGTCATTGCCTGCTAACGAGGGTGGAGGTCGGACGGTCAGGCCGTTCGCGACAGACCAGTCTTTGATAACCTGCACCAAGTGTTGTCGTTCGAGATCATCATCCAAAGCTGGAGGATAACAGCCCGCAGTGAATGAAGACATTGTGCGTCTACGGGTTGGTTAGCACTTATTGTTGTGGAAGAAAGACTGCCCAGATACAGAAGCAGCGACGGAATCTCCTGAGTCCTGTTACTTATGGGGAGGGAGGTCTCCTGCTCTGCTTACAAATTGTATGATGATTTATCCTTGATTTACCCTCTAGCGGTCTCTGACGCTGACCCGAGGGACCCGATGGTCTTTTGGGCGTAAAAAGCACCAAACTTTTCCAGTTCGCGGGTAGAGATTAGAAAGGAATTCAGTAGATGCCGGGAACAAGCCGAAGCTCGGCTTCATTGATATCTCTGCCCCCGGCTTACCTTCTGTCCCGTTTGGTCCCCTATATTCGAGGATGGCCAATAGGACATGCTCTTGCATTTTCAACAAACACCCGAAAATCCCATCTGGCATCTGCAGTCTGTTGCCCCGCAATCCCGTGGTTTATCTGAGCGGGGTCACCGTTATTATAGTAGCTTATCTTATCAAGGTCGGACCAGGTACACAGTGTCATTCTGTACTGGAAGGAGTAAGCGATGGCACCAACTGTCGACGGCCAGGCAAGCCCGGCAGGCCAATGCAAATTCACCAACTCACACCTTTTAAGAGCCGAGGACCATCCCAATGCCTGGCCGCCACCACCTGGCGACGGGAGCATTCAGTCCAATTGTTTGATGTTACAGTATGACGGTACATATTAGCACTATGAACAATCATTAATGAAGTACCTTAGTACTCTTCTAGCCTGATTGGTAACGTGAACACCCGTCGTTCTTGCACTTGACCGTGACCGCACGCGTTACCGTTGCTGTCACATCGATGGAATTCATTCTCGTCCCCAGCGCCTGCCCACGTTATATCAATGGGCTTCGTAATCAGATCGACAATCATTGTTAGGGACTCACTTCTGAACTCGAGCTTGGAGTCTAGCCGCCGACCTTGTTCGTGGCCTGGCCCCGACCGCCTTTAAAGCTTCTCCTAGTTTTTCTCATCTCTTGTGTCTCGATGCGTCCTGAGGTCTTGACCTAGTCACCCCTCGCGGCTAGAGTCACTGCAAGTGCAAACGGCCAATTCTTGTTTCGGTCGCTCTACTTTCTCCTAGACACTTTCAAATTTCAAAACAGGCACGGTTTTCGACTTCACTCGGGAACAGAAATTCGACTCGCCAGCTGGGGCGCCTTCTGCGCGTTTGCAACCACCGAAACCTCCATCATTTTTATGCTTGACCCTTTACCTTGGTCGCCAAATTCCACCCTGGCGCTTCTATGGCTTCATAGATGCGAGAGCCAACTATCATTAGTGTCTCAAGTCATTCAAACGGTCGCATTCAGTCCATCAATCCCCGCTATTGGCTGGGCTTGTCCCATTTTCACTAGGCAGTCGTGTGGGAGTCGACCGTTAGCAGTTCCAACCCGCAACAGCCATGGCTGACCACGATCCATCCGATCCCTTTCTTTGGGATGAAAATAGAGTGGTGCAGGAACTCTGTACTACAAATAAATCTTGGACAGCGCCTTCGGCCAAGAAACTCTCGGATCCCGTCGCGCTTGAGGCAAAACTCCGTGACCGTTGGGTTGACGGACAGACACTGCTAACCTATGACGAAGTATTTGGCTTCGACTCGCTTTGGCAAGCCTTAGAAGTGAAGAAGCTTCCCGACCGGCTGTCCATAGAAGCAGCCATTGCGCAGTTCAGGAAGCGCAGCGCCGGCTATCATGAGTGGAAGAGGGCCCAACAGCTAGCGGATAGCCAGACTTCCGACGGCGACAACCTCGGTCATCCCATTAAGTCTGGTTCACACACATGCACGGGTCCCGACTCGAAAGCTTACCTAGGTGCCCTTGGTGGGACAAGCGTGGATCACAAACCTGCGGGTGGTGCTCTAATCGAACCCAGCTCTGTCCTGCCGGAGCTAGCACTATCTTCACAGGGCGTTCTATCTCCTGCCCTTTCTCCTGCTGCAGAGCCCGCCGTCCGGAAACCCTCTGAAGCACCCGAGATCTTGAACGTGGAGCAACCAACCGCGGAACAGCCACCTAGCAAAAGGAGGAAGATTACCCCGGTGCCCATCTCGGCTGACATAAGGCCAGACCAAGCTTTTGCCGCCATCCCAACCGAAGGGGATAGATTCCTGAAGGGGCCAGCCGAAACTCTACCACAAATCCCAACCAACGGGGATACAATCTCGAGAGGGACAGCCGAAGATTTAGCACAGGCAGATGATTGCTCCGGTTTTCTTGGCCCTGGTGCCCTCTTTGTCAACCAACTCACCAAAACTGGGAGCATTGACAGCAATGATGCAGCCGAGAGTGATTTTGGGTGGACGCGCAAGGCGATTCCTCCAGGCCGGCGCCTCCAGGTCGCGGGAGCAATGAAGCGATTCCTCCGCACGCACCGCGCCACCGTTCCAACAGTTAACCAGGAGGAGGATTTGGATCCAGCCTACCCACTCTTCGGTGAATCGGACGACGATGAGAGCCTCGACTCTGAGACTTGGCTCGCAATGGAAGAAGAAGAACAGGAGCGGTTAGCCAAGGCAGCCCGCATGGCCCAAGTCAGAGAGCGGCTTCTCAGCAAAGACCAGGTCGCAGAGGCAGTTCAAAGGGCCATACAAGACCTTGAGGCGCGATGGGTCGCCGAAAAGAAGCCGGGTTATGACCGCAAGGCCTGGAGAATTTGGCAAGAGGCTCGCCATAACCCGAACCGGATGGACACGATTCACAAGGCAAAGGGGTTGAGGGACAATGCTGATCGCCAGCTTACTCTCTTCGCAAATGAGATTATCGAACTGTCGTGGTCAGTTGAAAATGAAGTCCAGCAAAAGGCCGCTGGTAGTTTGGAGATGTGCGTCTACGAGAGGAAGTACCAAAATTGGCTCATTGGTGTCCTTGAAAGCCCCCGACAGCCCCCGAAGCCCTCGGCGCTTCCTAAACCGGCCACCAAGCCCGTGAAGCGCGTAAGTACTGTTGAGGATGAGGAGGTCCTGACCAGCGACTCCGATGACATGGACGACTTCATCGACTATGACGACAACGATGTTGCTTTGGTCGATGACCATATGGATATTGATTTGGATCCGCAACCTGCGCAGCCTTCTACTCCCGGCGGCCCAGCTTCCGGTGTGGAAGCAGACACCGAGCTTCCTGAGGCACCGCCTGCGTGCTCCGGCGATGAAAGCAACAACGACCTTCCGCCAATCCGGTCCTCTCCGAAGAAGATCAAAACCGAAAAAGCCCCGCCTCCTGCGACTCCCCGTCAGGCCCACATTCCGGATCGTGAAGTCATCGAGATAGGTTCTTCTCCTTCGTCAATGGAAGAGCTTGACGAGGTTCCAGGTTTCGATGACCTTGAGAGCATCGAAAGAATTGGGCAGATCGGGATTGAATACTGGGAGAAATACAAGGATGCTGAACGGCTCGTGGCAGCACTACTATGCGATTGGTCTCCACGGGGATTAGCCAAGATTGCTGAGGCGCTCAACACCCGCGATCCCCGCGAGGTCTGGGACGAGTATATATGGCCGTCTATCGAGAACCCGGAAGTAGCCGAACGCGGCTCAGTCGAGCTGGATCTGGGTCGCCTTTTTGATGTCTACATAAGCAAGACCGCCTCGCGCGTTGGAAAGCCGCTCAGACCTATAACGCTGAAGCAGCTGAAGCGCGAAGAAGAGTCTTTTGCCCCCTTTTGCGCCCATCTCCAGAGAATCATTCGGCATTTGCTGCCCAACGCTATTATTAAAACCCCACCTCGCATTGTTGTTCTCAAGAAACCTGCTGGTGGCTCTGCTCATGAGGAACCAGAGGCTGGAGCGGGAAACGATCTGGAGGATTCTGATAGTGATTCGGACGAATCACTTGAATCCTCAAGCGACGCGCCGGTCCCTTCGTCTAAGAAACGACGTCGGCAAGCTCGCAAGCAGCGGGACAAGGAGGCAGAAAAACTCAGACTCAGGAACGTCAAGCTCAACGAGGAACGCGAGCGCCGCATCAGACAGCTTCGAGAAAAACTTGCCGAATCAGGAGCAGTACCTGGCGACAAGTCCCGTCTGATCGTCAATGAAACAAAAGAATCAGATGATCAAGCCCTGATATACATCAATGATCACATCGGGAGGAAAATCAAGGACCACCAGATTGAGGGCGTTCGATTCATGTGGAACCAAGTCGTGGTCGACTCCAACGTCAGACAAGGCTGTCTGCTAGCCCATACCATGGGTTTAGGCAAGACCATGCAGGTGATTACGCTGCTGGTCGTCATCGCAGAGGCGTCTGCATCGCCTGATGAATCGGTCCGCTCCCAGATACCGGAGAGTTTGAGGGAATCCAAGACTCTGATCCTGTGTCCCGCAAGTCTCGTGGACAACTGGCTCGATGAGATCATGCTCTGGGCACCCGGCAACGTGTTGGGCCCAGTGAGGAAAATCGACCAAGCTGTTCCAGCCCGCGACCGTTTTTCGCTAATCCAGGAATGGGCGTCGGGCGGCGGTGTGCTCGCTATGGGATACACGCTCTTCACAAGCCTCGTCAAGACGGATGAGGTCGCAAAACTTCTACTTGAGACTCCCAATCTTGTAATTGGCGACGAGGCCCACCAGCTGAAAAATCCCGAGTCTAAACGACACCAAGCCACCACCGGCTTCAAGACAATGAACCGCATCGCCCTGACGGGATCGCCGCTGACCAATAAGGTCATGGACTACTATAGCATGATTAACTGGGTGGCTCCCAACTACCTAGGCCCCGTCGCTGAGTTCAGACAGAGATACGAGATTCCTATCAAGGAGGGTCTCTATGCTGACAGCGATTCTACCCAAAAGAGGAGGGCCCGGAAAATGCTCAAAGTGTTGAACGAGACCGTGGCCCCCAAAGTCCACAGAAAGGATATCCAAGTCCTCTTTCAGGAGCTGCCCGCGAAGAAGGAGTTCATCATTACGCTACCCTTGACGGAGCGCCAGGTCCTCCTGTATGAAACTTACATTGAGTGGGCGACAACCTCGGCGGCTGGGGAGTCGATGAATGTGCGTGCATGGAGTCTCGCAGCTACGCTTGGGCTTGTTCTGGCCCATCCTTTCATCTTCAAGACTGTGGCGCAGAAGCGGAAGGACATGTCCAAGGCAGCCAATGACTCACAAAGTAGAGTGGGTGAGGAGGACAGCATCGAGGGGCCCGAGAATGTTGTGCATGATATGCTCTCTAAGGTTAGCCAGCGAGACATCGAGGATTACGCTCACTCGAACAAAATCATCGTCCTCCTACGAATCCTGGACGAATGTAGGAAAGTGGGCGACAAGGTTTTGATTTTCTCTCAGAGGATCCCCACGCTCGACTACCTCGAAAACATCTTCAAGAGACGGAGAGTGGTGTATCAGAGGCTGGATAGCCAGACTCCAGTGACAGCACGGCAGAGCTCGGTCAGGAGGTTCAACACGGACCCAAACTCACAAGTCTACCTGATCTCCACAAGGGCGGGAGGCGTAGGTCTCAACATGTTTGGAGCCAACCGAGTCGTGATATTCGATTTCAGGTACACACCCGCCGAAGAACAGCAAGCCATCGGACGAGCCTACCGGCTGGGCCAAACAAAGCCGGTCTACGTTTACTGGTTGACCAACGGCGGCACATTCGAGGACATCATTCACAACAGTGCGATCTTCAAGACACAGCTCGCCTCGCGAGTAGTAGACAAGAAGAACCCGGATCCTTGGTCCAAGCGTGGCTTTGCTGAATATTTTGTCATGCCCAAGATTCCGGATCAAGAAGACTTAACTCAGGCCTTCGGCCAGGATCGGGTTTTGGATGCTCTGCTCCAGGACGATGTCATTGGCAAAATCATCCGGAAGATCACCTCGACCGAGACTTTTGAGAAGGAGGAGGATTATGAGCTCAGCGCCGAGGACCAACAGGAGGTGGAAAAACTTCTCGAGCTGCAACGACTCCGGCTTGAGAATCCGGAGGAGTACGCGCGAAGAGCGCACGAGATACACTGGGAATCGCGGATAGATCTTGGGATGGCCCCCCCGCCACTCAGCTTTCCTCAGCCAAGCCCTGCCGACAGTAAGTTCCAAACGATAACGCAGCCGACAGACAATCGAAGTGGTAGGATCATCACAATCAAGGTGCCGGAGCACATGAGGGACGATCGTGCTCCGAAGTTGCCACCTGCCGTGTTCGACGGCTCGGTTTCCTCCACCGGTCTTGTTCAAGGCACCCTGCCGGCCGTCGCGCGCCTCAACCATACGAACTTGCAGAAGCCAGTACTAACTCTGAATTCTGATTCAGCTCGACCGAGTGCCCCCTCTCTCCCGTCCCCTCATGCTACAACCAGTACCCCAATCCCAACGTCTACACAAACATCCACTGTCCCGGGAAGCGCAGGGATCGGTGAATCCACCACACCATTGACGGTCACCAACCGCCCCGATGTTATTTTAACACAGACAGCAGGCCTTCAGCCTATACTAGCTGTGGGCACACATTATAAGTCCCCGAACGACGCCTTACCTTCCACAGCTCCAATCAGATCTCCTCCAGCCAACGAGGAGCTCATGAGTACTAGCGCGGTTTCGGAGAGCAAGGCATCGTTATCAGCGTCCCTTCCCGCAAATCAAGAATTCAAGGAGTTGTTTGACGTCCACAGCAAGCTATGCGAAGAAGGGCAGCATACTCGCTACCATCCGAACGATCTGGTCAACAAGTACAAGGGCGTGTTGATTCAGAACAGGATTGAACCGCTGCCGTTTCTGGACAAGATGCAGTATCTGGGGAGATTCTCTGAGAAGCCGAGGTTCGCCGAGGCGATGCTTGCCGGGCACATCAAGCCGGAGCAGCTGGCGTCTATGACGAGGTCTGAGATGGAGGTTATGTCGACGTCACTGGATGCAATGCCTGAGACGCAATTCAAGCAGCTAGTTTGGACGTCCAAGGCCGATCTCAACGTATGCGCCGACACCCACAACACACAACTCTCCAGCAATCTTCAACAGACTGACACATGATCTGCGACAGCAATTGCGCGAGCAGCTAACGGTGAAGATGGAAAGGGAACGGCGAAGGGCGAAAGGATCGGGCGATTTGAACGCACAACGAGACAAGGGGAGCCGAGGAGCTAGTCGACCTCTCTATATAGGGCCGAGACCGAGACCACGGGGTTCTGCCACGCCGGAGGACTCCTTGCGCACGATACGACCTGGCGATTCAGCCGATTCACCCCACATCATTGACTAACACCAACCCCTTTTTTTCCCTTTTGCAATCACACGCCGATTCTTTGCGCTTTTTGTTGCTGAGATACCCAGTTATTTTTATACGCTATACTATTGCACGGCGTTTTGGCGGATACACAACGCATCTGGCATCTACATGAGTCACGGCCCCAACGCGGGAACTCGGGCTACCTAACAAGGTTGGGAGGTGGCGTGGTGGAAAAGGGTCCGGTAGACGGGGCCCTCGGTTCTTGGGGCATCATGGGTTCTTGTAACTAGCATGTATGTACATACGGTTCATAAAGGAGTGGTGCCTTGGGATTGCTAGGCCAAAGGGGATGCTACGTGGTTATGGACAGCAGCTGTCCGACGGCAGTTTTAGAGGCAAAGTGGCATCAGGAATCGAGGCTCTCACAGATGTCTCCGAGACCGCGGGGGTTACAATAAGGCTCTTTGCATTGATCCGTGCATCTGCCAAGAGTACGTTGATGGGCAGCCAATAGCAGAGGAGGCATTTGATGCAAAAGGCAAAATTGGCCGGTGCCTCATTGAAGACACACATACCGAAACTCCGAGTCCCAAACAGATGGAATCCACTGCAGGTGGGCCGATGCTATAAAGGTAAAAAGCAGAAGTAAAAAGAATGACAGTCAGCGTTGGTTAATTGTTGTCGTGCACCAGTCTCCGATCCTTCCTCTTACTCCCCCAAAAATTACATTTGGCTTCTCCGTTTCCTGTTGCATTGGTCTGGATTTTGACCTGATTGATCAATCAGGCTTTTCGCCTCTTCGCGAACCCGAGACTTGTTTTCGGCTCGAGACGCCGAAAGTGGCTTCTGCTTCGCCTCGGTTCCCCGCCGTGGACAAAGTCAAGAAACGCTTACTCCTCCTACTCTACTACGTACACCGCTTAGTGCGAAGCAAAAACATCGACGCTACGGTAGTTAGAGCAAGCAGCCTGAACTGAGCCGGACACATCGTGTGAATTGGATCAGCTGCCATGGATTCTGTTTTGCGCCAATCCAAGGCCGTGTGCCCCTTCATGCGGCAGGCGACGGCCGCGGGCCTCCGCGCCATGTCGACGGCCGTGACGCCCGCCACTCCTGCCGCTTCGCCATGCGGCGGCGCCATCTCCAAGCTCCAGGTCCTCGCCCGCCGCTGTCCCGTCATGGGCAAGGCCATGGCCATCCAGTCGGCTCGTCTTGGACACGCCACCGCCGGCTTCCCGGCTGTTCCTGCCAAGGCCACTATGTCCACCTTCTCGGGCCATGGCAAGACCGCGAAAGCCAGCCTGCATACGAGCCGCTCCCAGGAAGCCCAGGCTGTTGATGGCTCGCTATTCACCGGCCGCGACAAGGGTCAGTCCTACAAACCCGATTCCAGAGTTCAATGATGAGATTATCAGCTGACAAGCGTTTCATCTTACAGTCCAGCTCCCTCCCCGAGTCCCGACCAAGCCGCATGCCACCGCAAATCCGGTTGTTGAACCCCGGGCAAGCGCCCCGGACACGCACAAGGTCAAGTTTGACTATGAGTCCTTCTACAACCACGAGCTGGACAAGAAGCACAAGGACAAGTCGTACCGCTACTTCAACAACATCAACCGCCTGGCGAAGGAGTTCCCTCGCGCCCACATGTCCAGCAAGGAGGAGAAGGTGACGGTGTGGTGCGCCAATGACTACCTTGGCATGGGCCGCAATCCGCAGGTCCTCAAGGCCATGCACGAGACGCTTGACGAATATGGTGCCGGCGCTGGTGGTACCCGGAATATATCCGGTCACAACAAGCACGCGGTAGAGCTCGAGCACACGATCGCCACACTCCATGCCAAGGAGGCGGCGCTGGTGTTCAGCTCGTGTTATGTTGCAAACGATGCTACACTCGCTACCCTTGGCAGCAAGATGCCGGATTGCGTCATCCTTTCCGACAGTCTGAATCATGCCTCCATGATCCAAGGCATCCGCCACTCGGGTGCCAGGAAGATCATCTTCAAGCACAACGATGTGCAGGATCTGGAGGAGAAGCTTGCCGCGCTGCCGCTCCATGTCCCCAAAATCATCGCTTTCGAGTCGGTTTACAGCATGTGTGGCTCGATAGGCCCCATCGAAGAAATCTGTGACCTTGCTGATAAATACGGCGCCATCACTTTCCTGGATGAGGTCCACGCCGTCGGCATGTACGGCCCGCACGGCGCGGGCGTAGCGGAACATCTTGACTTTGAGGCGCACGCCCAAGGCCGCCCGCGCGGAACCATCATGGACCGCGTCGACATCATTACGGGTACGCTGGGTAAAGCCTACGGGTGCGTGGGCGGGTATATCGCGGGCAGCGCCAAGCTCGTCGACACGATCCGGTCTCTTGCGCCTGGCTTCATCTTCACCACGTCCCTGCCGCCTGCCGTCATGGCCGGCGCCCGGGCTGCCATCGAATACCAAATGACCCACACGGGCGACCGTCGCTTGCAGCAACTGCACACGCGTGCCGTCAAGGAGTCCCTCCGCGAGCGCGACATTCCCGTGATTCCCAATCCGAGCCACATTATCCCTATCCTGGTCGGCAACGCTGAGCTCGCCAAGCAAGCCAGCGACAAGTTGCTTTATGACCACGGCATCTACGTGCAGAGCATCAATTACCCGACCGTGCCCGTCGGTCAGGAACGCCTGCGCGTCACGCCAACTCCCGGCCATGTCAAGGAGTACCGCGACCAGCTGGTGAACGCCATCGAGTCCATTTGGAACGAGCTGGGCATCAAGCGCACGAGCGACTGGGCTGCCGAGGGCGGGTTCATTGGCGTTGGCGAACCCAACGCCGCACCGGAGGAGCCGCTCTGGACAGACGAGCAGCTGGGGATCGCCGAGGCGGCGCGGACGCTGCTGCAGGCTGCTGACGCAGAGCAGCACCAGCACCAGCAGCAGGTGCCCATCAGCGGGCTGACGGAGCGGCTCTTGGAGAAGGAGATGCAGGGGGCTAGGAGCGTTACCGTCTCTGCTTAGCCTGGCTTTGCAACCCCCCGATTCTTGCAGTCGGGGAGCCTTCATTCTCTTCTCTCCCGGCCGGCCGAGCGGTCCTGCCCGGGGCGTCGTTGCTGCTACTTTCTATCAGGGGGGCTCATCCGACCATACGCACAGCGATACCGTTCCTTGGAGCGAGCGGCAGCGGCGTGGAATATTTTGGTTTGTGTGGTTTTGGCAATAGCCCCCATGTTGGAAATGCATTGTGCTCTCCTGTTGTCGATGGCGGCAAAAGTCTTTGATCATTCGTTATTCGTGCCGCTTTCAATCCGATCCCTCTGGATTATGGAACGGCTGATTCAGGATCCTTAGTCTCATCCAGCACTTGTCCACAATGAGAGAGATCCTTAAATAAAATTACTGTTGAAATGAAACATCTGTGCTTTGTAGTCAATCACTTGGTCGCCATGGAACGGTAAGTATGGTACAGATAGCGTACTGTCCCACGATACCTCTACATCAGGTGGGTATCTTATGTACGCAGTACAGTACAGTACATACAGTCAGCACCCTGTGGCACCGCATGAGTCGGGGGGGGAAACCGTCAACCGGCAGCAGCGCCCTTGTCTAGCGTGCACAGACCGCTACGGCAGTTCACAAGGCATCTTGCGCAGCTACGCGGTCTCTTAGCACCTGGTGCAATGATGTCCATTCGACTTCCCGTAGAAACGGAGCCGGAGCAATTTTGATTCTCCCGACGGCGCCGGAAACAAAACTCAATCCCCGGCCCAGGACCCCATCCAGCTGTAAGTCGACGCAGAACAGCATGGAGGATCATTGCAGATTGGCCTATATTCCTTCATTAAGATTGCATTGATGACGACGAATGTAGCTGGGTGTTCATTCTTTATTTGTCTGCTTCGGAGCTGGAAAGTGCGACGTGTCTAAGAGAGTTGGAGGGAAAGTGAGAAGGCAGGGGCAGAATGGGATACCTAAGTCCATGACACCTCAGCGACGCCTAATCCCCAACCAATATTCACAAGCTGTTGATTCCAACTGACTTTTATGCTTGTTTTCGTTTTATGCTCGACTTCAGGCTGCCCTGACAATCTTTTCCCTCGCTGTTGTGCAGTCAGTCCGACTTGTCTCCTCCCCTTTCGTCTGGGACTCTGCTGTGGTATATAGTCCATCCATCTCTAGCGCTACCTGCGAACTCCCGTCTCCGTCTCCGTCTCTGTCTCCGCTTCTCCTGTTCCTCGGCTCCGGCAAATACCGGTACTGTATTAGCTAGGCAACTGGTGGACAGATCCTAAGGCGATGGAGGAGACAGGTGCGTCCACTGCCGCTGGGTCCAAGGCAGGCAAAGGGCCCAGAGCGTGCGCTACATGCGCGCGAGCAAAGGCTAGGTGTATTCCGGGGCCCAGGAGTCAGGAGAAGTGCGAGCGGTAAGTTCAGGCGTCCCTTATCTGTATCTGCCGCTCCGATTCACTTCCAGCCATGTTGTGGTTGCTATTTTGTTCCATGGCGCCTCAAGCCTTGCCCTGGAAAGGACCCTTCCACGTTCCTCGGCCTTTGGCGGGACGTTGGCGATTGTGTTCTAATGTCCGCCGGACACCATAGCCCTCACCCATTGGCCTCTTTACCTCCCCTGCCTCGACCGCTAACCCTGTCTCAAGATGCCACCGGCTGCGCAAGCCATGCTCCTCGCAAATCCCGGCACCACCGCGCAAGCGTAAAGGGCCGAAGCCCACCCGCGTAGCCGAACTCGAGCGGCGCCTAGAGGACCTTTCGGCCCGCATTGAGTTTGTCCAACGCCAGGGGCAGGAAGCGCCAAGCCCACCAGAATCGGAAGCAGCTGGTGCTTGTCACCCGCCCCAGTCCTCCGAGGATCATCGTCCGTGGGAAAAACAAGCCGGGCCGTGTCCCCCTTATGTTTCGAAGAAGCCGCGATGGGCTCCTTTCAAACACCTCTTCCCCAAGGAGAGCATTTTTGAGGCTTCCGGAGATCAGCAGCAGCAGCCAGTCGCTGACAATATAGATGTAACAGCAGCACAAAAGGTCTTATCTCTGCCACAAGTCCCGGCTGCCTCCCCTGTGCAGGCACCAACGTCAACAGCAATTCATTCTGTAGGGACCATATTCCAGCCACCACAGCAGCGTGCGGAAAACCTTTGGCCTCAGGGAGACGAGGCAGAAAGCATGTTGGCTGAGTATAAGACGCACATGGGACATTTGAACCCGTTTGCCATTGTACCCCCTCGCATGTCATCGGCCCAGTTGAGGGAGCATAGGCCCTTCTTTTGGAAGGCCATCATGATGCAGGCGTGCCTCTTCGACGGGGCACGGCAGATTGCGCTTGGTGAAGATTTATTGAGGGATATCTCTGAGACTGCCTTTTTGAGGCCACGAAAAAGCCTCGATTTGTTGCAGGGGCTGCAGATTCTCATCTGCTGGTGAGTCCCTCCTTTGACCGGGTCGCTCGATAAATCTGAGTCCATATTGACGGCCATGTCCCGTCATGTACAGGTACCATTACAACCTGAACAAGTTTCAAATGACAAACCTCCTCTTTTTGGCGCGGTCAATCACGACTAGTCTGGTTTTCCCCGATCCAGGAGTCGTTTCGGATAAGGACGGCTACACCTCCGAGTCTCTGGAGCAAATGCGGGCATTTGCCGGCACCTACTATCTCATCACTGTGTATGTAATTACTTTGCCCCAACTCGATGAACGTTCCCCTAACGCCGCAGTCTACAGGACCTTCACGGCTAACAAGAAGCCCGACGCGCTCATGAACACGTCGTATCTGACAACCTGCTGCCGGGCCCTTCATAGTCAGATGCAGTACCCAACAGATGAACTCGTCGTCCACCTCGTCCGAACAGCACAGCTGTCCCAAAGTATAGTACAAGCGTTTGTGCGGCGCAGCACCTCCCCATGTAAGAGCCAAACATCAAAGGCGGCCTTTATCCAAGGTATGCGGGAGCGTATCCGGACTTTCGCCGCCGGTTTGCCTCCACAGATTAGGGTCAACCGTGAGCACCCCCTGGGCATTCCGTCAAGGCCCACTGAATGACGGGTTCCCGCTGACATGGACACGCCGATAGCATCTCTCGTAGGCCACCTTCAGGTTGTCGAGATCATCCTATACGAACACAACATACCGGAGCTTTCCGCCTGCCCCTTATCCTGGATCTACAGTAACCAACATTCTCTGGCCCCTTGTCCAACGACCAATCCCGATCCGCGAGACGTCGAATTGCTGTGGGCCTGTGTGCGCGCAGTGCTTGACTTTTTGGACAATCGCGCGGCACATCAAATGGGAGAGTACCCGCGCTTCGTGTGCATGTCGTCGTTTGATTTGACCTATGTGCTCCTGACGATGTTAAAGTTGGTAACACTGCAGTTCCCGGGCTGGGATACGGCGAGGGTGAAGGAGGAGTTGCGGTTCGATGGTAGGTACTCTCTCCCACGTCGATTGAACAAGACGAACCGCCGCAGAACTAACACCCTAACTCGCCGTCCAGAATTCATGGTGAAGCTGGAGCGAGATATGGATTATATCGCCGAGAAACGGAGGCGGAAATCCGGGCACATAAGTCGAAGTGAGAGCAGCCCTGGCACGCAGAATGATGGACAGGGAAAGGCGGCACTTGAAGATCCCTTTGCCAAAGTGGGGCGCAAGATACGAAGCTTAAGGGAACAGCTCAGTGTAAGTCTTTCAGCGACTAGGGGAAGGAAACGATCACGCTCTAATGTGGGTTTTATAGAATTTCGGCGTCAACAGTGTCTGCGGTCCCCGTCAGACAGCGCAGGTTTCGGACTGTGATTCAATGCCCATGACGATAGCGGACGCGACACAAGACCTGATGCAAGACCTCGGGGGTGGCCTCTGGCAAGACGCCATGAACAGTGTGCCGGATTGGAGCGCTTTCCTCTCCGGTGAGCCGATTGATTGGACTACGGTGCTTTTGGGCTACGATATGGCCGAACCGGGATACATACAATAAGTACGGAAAGAAGCTGCTGGGAACAAGAGACGATGGTAGAGAAGTGGCCCGAACGGCTGCCTCTGCTATTCCAATTCCAGGAGTTGGATGGGAGACATGTCTATTGTAGGTGCCAGTAGGCTTCATCCATGGCTTGTTTCTTGCCCCCTTTTTCTCAGCTGAGCTGTGGGAGATGCTGACTGGAAAGATCGAAACAGAGGCGCCGATTATCGGTGCCAATAAAAGCGGCGTTTGTGAGTTGTTAGACAACGGTGGAAAAGACCGAAAATCTTCCCCCAACGTATTTTTTCTTCCTGAAGACTCCACTGGCTTCATCAAGTACTGGATGTCTTGTATAGAAAGACTTTGGATCTTTTTGGATCTTGCGAAAGTGTCATGTTTTCCTCGTAGAGGTGTCTTGCAAACAAAATGTCCCGAGCCAATGGATACCCTGCTGAAAATCTCGTGGCATTGAGATGTGGAGAGAGTTCTTTGACGTTTGCAAATTGGTTGGGAAGGGAGCCACCCCACACAGGCCCGCAGAAAAAGTTGACCTTTGGCCCCTCCCCCGCAATCATTCAGTGCGTCTATTTCATCAGTCTGTAGTTAGCCGCAGGGGAACTGAAGACAGAACATCGTATCCCAGAGTGCTACGAGGTGCATTTGAAGATGTCGAGCTACGACAAATACCAGGTTAGTTTGCGATTGGTCACTATCGAGATCAAGGGCGCAGTTCGGTTGCACGATTTCGATGCCGATAATCGCTAACCATGACCGTGACTTAGACTCCTCTAAGCACGAGGTATGCCTCGTCTGAGATGATGACCATCTTCTCAGCCCGAGAGCGTGCCAGCACCTGGCGCCAGCTCTGGGTGTGGTTAGCCGAGGCCGAGCAGGAGCTCGGTCTCGCTATCCCGGACGAGGCCCTCAACCAGATGCGTGCCAACGTGGTTGTGTCGGATAAGGCCTTTGCAGTCGCGAGAGAGTACGAGGCCAAGTTTCGGGTAAGACATTTCGATGCCCTCTATTTTTCTTGTTCAGGAGAAAAAAAGGGCTGTGCTGACAGAGAAAAACAGCACGATGTTATGGCTCACGTGCATGCCTACGGCGAGGTATGATGCCGACTTCTACTGGTGTGATATTGCTGTATCATGGCGGTCCGACGTTTCGACCATGGTTCCATGAAGGCCCCATGGCTGATGGTGCGAGTGCAGGACGCACCGGCTGCTGCTGGTCATATTCATCTTGGTGTAAGCCCCACCTGCTCTTTTGTACCCCTAGCCAGGAGTGCAAACTCACGACTCAAAAACTGACCTAGCACAGGCAACTAGCTGTTATGGTGAGTATCTTGTCATAACCTGTTGCAATGTCTGCGTAGTCCTACGCAGGACTGTGTACCGTCGCTAACCCGGCTCACAGTCACCGACAATGCCGACTTGATCTTCCAGAAGCGGGCCCTGGATCTCATCCTTCCCAAGTTGGCAAAGGTTATCCAAAACCTTCAGGAGTTTGCCCTGAAGTACAAGGACATGCCTACTCTGGGGTTTACCCATTACCAGCCGGTAAGGCAGAAACCAGCACGGTGGTGACAGCTAGGCTAACCATTTCCCCAGGCCCAGCTAATCACAGTCGGTGAGAAGGGAGCTCCCCTTTCCTTGTCTAAGCCATCTAACTCTATGCCCAGGCAAGCGCGCCGCTCAGTGGATTCAGGAGCTCATGATGGACCTCGAGGATATCGAGACTGTGCGGGACAGGCTTCAGTTTAGAGGCGCTCAGGGCACCACGGGCTCCCAGGCGACCTTCCTTGAGCTTTTCAACGGAGATGCGGAAATGATTACGAAACTCAACGAGGTGAATAAAGCTTGCATTGTCATCCTATCCATTAGCTGACATGACCAGATTCTCTGCAGGAAGGCTGGTTTCCCATCCACCTACGCGATTTCCACTCAGACCTACACCAGAAAGGTGAGTTTCCCACTTGTATCCCTGATGTAGCGACTGACCTCGTCAAGGTCGATCTCCGTGTTGCTAATGCTGTCTGCGCTCTTGGCGCGACAGCCGAGCGGATTTGCGCCGATATCCGTCACCTGGCCAACTTGAAGGAGATGGAAGAGCCTTTCGAGAAGAGCCAGATTGTGAGGCATCCCTACTATTTGCTGACACTTCCATGCTAATAAGGTCTAGGGGAGCTCGGCCATGGCCTACAAAGTAGGAAATCGCCCGCTGATCCTTTGCTGCGGACGATACTTACTCTGGGCTTGCAGCGAAATCCCATGAGATGTGAGCGCATCACAGCCCTTGGCCGTAAGCTCGCGCGTCTGCCAGCCAACTTTACCGCCACATTTGAGACACAGTGGTTTGAGAGGACGTAAGCCATTGCCTGAACCCCGCTTGCCCCTTATTATCGTGCTGACCAGATCACAGACTTGACGACAGTAAGGGCACCCTGATAACCCTAACCCAAACACGTTACCCCTTTTTACCCCTTTCTACCCCTGACTGGTCTCTCGCACCTGAACATGTTGGAGCTCTCCTGCTAACCATACAGGCGCCATTCGCCGGATGGATATTCCTGAAATGGTACGCTCCCGTTGCGACCCTTCGCCTGTTATACTGTACTGATTACGCTCAGTTCCTGCTGGCCGACTCCATCCTTCTCGCTCTGGATAACGTGACGAATGGTCTTGTCATCTATCCGAATGTGATCCGATCCCGAATCGACCAGGAACTTCCGTTCAGTGCGTTAGCTTCAGGCAGATTGACATCGTCCTATAGTGCTAACACTAATTCTGCCAGTGGCCACTGAGTCGATCTTGATGAAGCTTGCCGCTCACGGCGTGTCTCGCCAAGAGGCTCACGAGGAGATCCGCGTACTGGTATGTCTCGATGGCCCCTTATCTCTATGAAGTCGCTGACAACTGTCCACAGTCGCACCAGGCCAGTGATGTCGTAAAGCAGCAAGGAGGGCGGAACGACCTCCTCGAACGCATCAAGAGGACTGAGTTCTTCAAGGTACGTTTTCGAGATTATAAACCGAATGCGCCAGCAATCAAAGCTCACAATCTTGCAGCCTGTGTGGAATGAAATTGATAGCTTGGTAGACCCCAAGCTGTTCATTGGCAATTGCCCAAAGATCGTCGAGGAGTACTGCAACGGGGAAGTTGCAGAGAAGCTGGCCAAATATAAGGACAGTCTGGAGAAGGCCTTGACAGCTCAGCTCTCGATCTGATACGGGTTGCATGCAGGTTAGCTCAAGATAGAGGCAATATTATAAAAGGATAGATGGGATGTTTTGCAGGACACACTGAAATGGACGATAGGCAGTTAAAGAGTAGACACGCCACTATTGAACAGCGAGAACCAGGATGCAGGGTCGATGGAGGGCATATAATATATATACTGTGGAGGGCCTTCACCGATCGGATAACTGGAAGCTACACATCGAAGCTTGGAGTAACAGAACCCAGGGAACGCAAGAGAGACTTGTTGAGCATCAAGATCTCGGGAGTGACGCCGTCAGCGGTGCAGGCGTTCGTGTCAGACGGGACGAGGAACCGCGCGGCTACCACGGCGACGCTGGCAGCCGATGGGGACCATCACCGGGCCCGTCGCGGCCAGGTCCATCACCACCTTCTTTCTCCTGCCCGCGGCAGAAACAGCAGGATGATTCTCGTGGGGCGAACTATGTATTCTAGTCTCATGTCAGCCAAAGACATTCAATGTTGCCTTGCTCCTTCCCTCGCTAGATGCCTCGAGAATCTGGCAAGTCCAACTCACACATCTCAGATCAGTATAACCCCCCCCCCCTCTCTCTCTTCCCTTTTCTTCGCCCTCCAACTTCTTAGAGGCGTCGTTCCTCGGCTTCTTTATCTCGACCTCAATCGCTTCCTATGGAATCTAACAGCCGCTATAAGGTGCGTCTAGCGGTGCAGTGATTACGACTTACAGCAGCCATAATGAAAGCTAGGTATCCAACTGCACTTTGAAAGAAAGTGAGAAGTTGAACGTTAGTGTTGAGATTGGATTTCAATGCCAACAGTGTGTCACTGTGTCCGCTGGTCGTTTGCCAGCCAGTTCAGCCTTCTTTATCGCCAACAGACTCTTAAACCCTCATGGGCAGTCAATTGCTTTGGTTTCCTAATTTTCTCCATTTTACAAAATCTAAAACAACAGCAAATCTACCGCCAGATTGCTCTTCCGGCGTTGTCTTGCACAAGGTAGTACATCGGTGCCAATTTGAAGATACGACGCACAGTGCATCCTTGGACGGCCCGGGATCATGAGAAGGGTGAGATGGACCCACCTCTCAGCTGTGCTTGGGACCTCCGATCTCGATCCAGATCCACCTTCCCAGCAACTCGGTCCTGCCCCGCGATCCACATCAGCATGCCTCTCCCCGGTCCCGGCCGGTCCTCCCGGTAATCCCTCATATAGGCTCAGGGATCCAAGGTTTCACAATCAGGTGCGAGCCACAATGGCGGGGCCCAACGTCGACTACTCGCTCTATCTCGTCACAGACTCAACACCGGCTATTCTCGGCAACAAGAGCCTCTGCCATGTCGTCGAGGAAGCCCTCAAGGGCGGCGTGACAGTTGTGCAGTACCGTGACAAGACCAGCGACACGGGAGAACTGATCTCGACCGCAACGCAATTGCATGAGATCACGCGGCAATATAAGGTGCCGTTGCTCATCAATGACCGCGTCGATGTGGCTCTGGCCGTGGGTTGCGAGGGCGTCCACATCGGCCAAGATGATATGAGTGAGCGAAAATCCTCAGATTCCTACGTCTAGACTGGTCACGAGACTCACCAGTCCTCGCAGGTCTGCCCACTGCCAGACGGCTCCTTGGCCCCAGCGCAATCATTGGCGTCACGGTCAGCACTGTGGACGAAGCGCTGCGGGCTTGTGAAGGCGGCGCTGACTATCTGGGCATTGGTACCGTCTACGCCACGCCGACGTAAGGGCTCCTGCGTTCCCTGTATCTGCTGTTGGATTTTAACACATTGCCCAGGAAGACAAACACCAAAGATATCATTGGAACTGCGGGCGTGCGCAAGATCCTAGAGGCAATCGAAAAAGCAGGCTATCAAACGTCGACAGTCTGCATTGGCGGCATCAATGCATCCAACTTGCAGCGAGTCATGTTTCAGAGCAGTGCCACCAGGAAGGCCCTTGATGGCGTTGCGCTGGTCAGCGCTATCATTGCTGACCCCGATCCTCAAGGCGCTGCATCGAGTCTGCTTCAGCTTATCAAGCGTCCGCCAGCCTTCAAAAGTTTCATTTCGGAATCCGATTCGGCAGCCGTGCTCAACATAGTACCGTCCGTCATCCAACAGGTCCATGCCAATAAACCTATCTCCCATAACATGACAAATCTTGTATGGAGGGATCCCCAACTCCCTACTTTACATGTTGTGGCTGACGCTGGACAGGTTGTGCAAAATTTTGCCGCAAACGTGGCCCTGGCAATTGGCGCGTCGCCCATCATGGCAAACTACGGTGAGGAGGCATCTGACCTGTGCAATCTTGGAGGATCGCTGGTCATCAACATGGGCACTGTCGACCCCAAGGGGCTGGAAAACTACCTAAAGGCACTTAAGGCTTACAACCGGGCCGGCCGGCCGGTCGTGTTTGACCCTGTAGGGTATGTAGCCCAGACCTCTGGGCTTCAATCGCTGTTGCTGACAATCGCAGAGCCGGGGCTACCCAAGTGCGGCGTGAAGCCCTCAAGACCATCATGGCTAACGGCTATCTTGATGTCATCAAGGGCAACGAGGCCGAGATCAGGACTGTACTCGGTACCAACTTGCCGCAGCAGCGAGGGGTTGACAGCACCAGCACCCTGGACGACTCGCAAAAGGCTGAAATGGTCCGGGAACTGGCCGATCGGGAGAAAAATGTGGTCGTCATGACGGGCAAGACGGATTTTGTCAGTGACGGTACGCGTACCTTTGCCATTGACAACGGCCACGAATATCTCGGCTCAGTGACTGGGACCGGCTGTACGCTGGCTACGGCCATATCGGCTGCAGTAACGTTACGCCACGAGGATAGGCTGACGGCCGTCATCGCGGCCATTCTGCACTTTGAAATTGCCGCCGAGCTTGCTGCCTCCAGGTCCGACGTAAGGGGGCCGGGCACCTTTGTTCCAGCCTTTTTGGACGAGCTGTCAAGCATTCGGCAGTCCACAGTACAAAGCGACCTCAGCTGGCTCAGGATGGCGAAGCTGCGGAAACTAGACTAGTTGAACCGTGAAGTACCAGCAGCCATCTTCAGCATTCCGCGCCGCCTCTCCTTGCACTAGTCTCTAGTTCCGAATTTCTGTGCCTTATTTGCTTGGTCTTGTTCCCCTGGTGAGCTCCCGCCTGCCCTGTGAAAATGCGGGGTAGAGCCGGCTTGTCTGCCAGGCCGTTTACGTACCCCAACATCACTCCGCCCGGTCCCGGCTACTCGTAGGCAGCCCCGCCTCCTTTTAGCCCCACGCACTTCCTTGCGTCCGCTTTCAAAGGCCGGGGGCCGTCCCCGAGGTCCATACAATAATCACGATAACAACATACAAAGCCCGGTAGAGCCAGCTGCCGATCATCACACGAGTTCATTCCTTCCACAAATACATACTACATACATCATGACCACCCCTACTCCTGAACGGCGCTTCAGTTACGTTGACTCCCGTTGTCTCTCCCCCGACTCGGCCAGACTACTAACAAAGATGACCGAATATCACAGAGAACCCGGCAGTTTTGTAAGACGCCAGCCGCTACATATTGCATGCAATGACACTAACCTCCCACTTCCAATCAACAGCATCTGCGATATCCAAGACAAATTCCGTCCCACTATCCATGAGTTCGACAAGGTGTACGGGCCCTCCTACCCCTCGTCGCCTCATCTGCGTGTAAAGCCACAACAATCGACCAACTAACCTTCAAACATCGAGCTAGCATCCTAACAAGCCGCAAACTTCTCACCGCGGCAAAAGCCCTCCAGATCCCCATCTTCGTCACCACGCAGAACCGCGCCCGCCTAGGCGACACCGTCCCCGAGCTCAAGCCTTTGCTGGCCCAGGCCGGCGACCTGGTCAAAGTAGACCTGGACAAGACGCGCTTCAGCATGTGGCTGCCCCCGCTGTCCACCCACCCCACCTTCTCTTCTTCTTCTTCTTCTACTTCTTCTTCTTCTTCTTCTTCTTCTTCTTCCCTGGCAGCAGAAGTCGCCATCGTAGGCATCGAGTCTCACATCTGCGTGACCCAGACGGCGCTGGACCTGCTGGCGGCGGGCCACCGAGTCTACATACTCGCCGACGGCGTGAGTAGCGCCAACTGGGAGGAGGTTCCAATCGCGCTGGCGAGGCTGAGGCAGGCGGGCGCCGTGGTCACAACCAGCGAGAGCTGGATCTACGAGTGCATGGGCGACGCGGGGATTCCCGAGTTTAGGGCCATGGTCAAGGTCGTCAAGGAGACCATGGGCGATACCAAGGCTGCTTTACAGGGGTTACTGGGGAGTAAGATTTAGGTAGCCTGGTTGGTATGGTTTTGCGTTGCCTTGTACTTCTCTAGACGTCAATCAGAATTTTGTTGTATTTTTGGTTTCGCTAGGTTGTAACTTGTAAGGCTGCTATCAGCACCTTTCCACTTCCAGCAGCTCTCCCTATCCTACAAGTTGGCTATCTGATATGTAGCCCTAACCTGTGCAATACCGGACCAAAAGTCTTCCGGTCTTACGACTGCTCAATGCATTCCGCTCCCATGACCAGCGGTAGGCAGCCCAGCCCAATTGAGGGGGCATCTTTACCTTCATGTAAAGGTCATGGCAGCCCGCTCCCCAGAACTCTAATCGGCCGCAGTCGTGGGTGTCTTGGGCTTGGTCGATGCGATCCACGAAAACGCAGAGGCGCTTCCGAGAGGGTTGTTCGCGGTTCGTGGAAGCGTGCCGGCCCCTTGACTGTTCGCCATTGTAACCTGCTGTTTGCTGTCCCCAATGGTGCCCAGCGCGGACCCGCTCATACTACGCTTCGTGTTCCCCCAGCTGGCGGCGGTGGTGTTTGCCGTACCACCTTCCGCCGGCCCCTTGCGCCGTGATTCCCCGCTAGACCGCAACCCTGATGTCGGCTCGTATGACGCCCCTGTCCTACTTGACGATGAGCTGCTAGCCTTGGTAGGCCTCAGCACTTTCATGCTGCGTGGCCGCGCCGCCGGCTGATATCCGCTCAATGGCGGCGCGCTGCTCTCACCAAGCGCTGCTGCCGTTTGCCGCCATGGCGTCCGAATGGCGGCACTGGGTTCACGTCGGCCGACATCTGCCGTTACGGCGCCTTCCTTTTTAGGGGCCTCTGCCGCGTTCAGTTCCACGGCTTGTTTGTCGCTCTCGGTACCACTTTCGGAGGTAGCGCTGGGCGCCCCTTGTTTGGTCGCCTGGTTTGGCTGCGACGTGGGCGAAAACACGGCATCGGAGCCGCTCTCCCCAGCCTTTGATTCGGCGCGATTCGAGTCACTGGCATCACGGACCGAGTTTTTCCCCAGTTTCTCGCCCGAAACAAATTCTGGGGCAGCGGCGTTGAGTTTGGGCTTGCTGGGTGCTATGTTGGCGGTGGTGAGATGCTTGAAAACTGCATCATCTTCGGGCCGCACGAACGGTATGGAGAGTTTGTCGCGGTCGCTGCCGTACAGAGTCATCAAGTTCTGGGAGAGCAGGAGGTCGGCACTATGCATTCGTAGTGTATGACTCCCGATAAAGACGCGGATAGCCTTCTTGCCCTCGGCCGTCTCCTGCTGATCCATGCCCGTCACTTCAAAGGATGCGGTTATGCTGGGCAGCTGCGGTGCCGGGCTCGTTGATCGGGAGTTGGACTGAGTGACGCGTGCCTCTGCTAGAAAGACGGGGAGCGTTATCCTGTGAACGCCGTCCACGTCCCTGTGGATGTTGTTGATCAAATCGAGATCTCTGAGAAGCGAGTATTCAACCGTCGACTTCTGAGACCCTGTGCAAACCACGGCATACAAGAGGCCCTCAGATGTGAAGTTGGTAGTCAGCCAACAGCGGATGATGGACGGGGGCGAGCCCAGGATGTAAAAGACCGGGGGCGGTTCTGGGATATCAAGGGGCGAATCATCCTCTCGGCCGCCAATTACAAAATTGGTGTCGAGCCCAAGGCTGCTGGCACGACCTGATATCCCCGAATGCATTGAGTGAACCGAATGCCCGGCAGAGCTATGTCTGCCGTCGGATTTGTGCGAGTATGACCGCTCCATCATCTGATGCCCTCCCATGCCGCTTCCAGGACGTATGGGCCCTAACTCATTGGAGTGGCGGCCTCCACCACCAAAGTTGGCACCGTGCAGGGCGCTCTCATCGAAGCGGACGCTGTTAGCTCGCGACGCCGCCCCACGCCGTATCGGCTCATCCTCCGCTTCGAGTTGCAAACTCCCAAGCAGGTTATGGCCCTGCTCATCTAGGTCGCTGAACAGCTCGGTCGACGGCATATGCAGCGGGCCTGTGACAGTTAGCCAAAAGAAATTAGACGTGCGCGCGGCCATGGACCCACCGTGCTGAGGCGTTCCGCCAAGCGCACTCGGAAACGGCGAGTTCCAGACGGACTTCAGGGCGGCGTCGTCGGCCTGGCGCTTTTCCAACGAGCGTAGTCTCTCGCCATGCAGCTGCTGGATCTGTTGGATGCGCTTCAACTCCATCTGAACATCGTGTAACTCTTCGCGGGTGACGATGAAGACCGGCTCCATGCCCGAAGAGGGAGCGAGACACACTGCAACACGCCGAAGGTTGCTGGGCCGCCGAAAAAGCTGAAACGAGCGATCGAGGCGGACACGAGAGTGCTTGAGTTTGACCGAATAAGCTGGTTTCGCCCACGGGATATGATGGAATCAATATCGGCTGAAATCAGACTCGCGGGGCCAGAGGCCGTTGTCCTATATTTTCTCTGGCCTCGATCTTGAAAGTGTCAACTCTCGAGGTCCGCCGCCCCCCACATCGCCTGCAGAAGGACCCCAAGGCCTTGCAGCGAGGTCTTGTCGCGCACGTTAACCCAATTCGCGTGCTGAGTGGCTGCAAGAGGACAGGCGTCAACGGTGTGGCGATGGGATTCGAGATAGAAACGGCCTCGTCAGGAATGTGCGCCGCTGCTCGGTAAGGGGTCGAGGACAGTTTGGTTATTGAAGGCGTTTGTGATATATCAGATTTGTCTGCGAATATATCAGGTCGGCACCACAATGTAGATGTCGTCAACAGTGCTCGTCGTGTCTCCTTGGAAGGATTGTGTAGCGATCAACGAAAAACGCGTCGTATGCGAGTACGTTCACAGAGGAGCGGAGGGGTATTATTAGCCACAGGCCCACAGAATGCAGAGTTTTGGTGATCACGGCCTTGGAAAATGCAGAGGAAACAACAAGCCGCAAAAATCGATTAACTAATAAGCACTGATGTTTCTTGGGAGATTTGGAGCTCGATGGGTATTCGATGTATTTGATGCCGTAGAGCAAAGGGTGGGTCGGCAGAGGTGGTGGGAGGAATGAGAGAAGCGGCGGCGGGCGTGCAAGGCACGGAGGATAACGACGGCGTGTAGTTAAGCAGGTCCGGCAGGTTCCTTAACCTTCTTCTTGCTGTGCAAAGAACGTATGCTCAGGGTCTAGAGAGTCGTGATTCGTATCACTATTGGGATGACACAGGAATCGAATTTGTTTCGATGATGGACCGGTGCAACTGTCGAAAACGCAATGATGGAGATCCCTTGTTTCGTTCATCGACCTTTGTTTTTTTCGCTTGCAACTTCTCAAGCTGAGGTCTTGTCTCCAGGGTGCGGTGACAGTGGTGCACAATGTCTGACTAAGCAAACCTTAAACACTGTTGGAGATTGAATTGGGGATCAATGCACAGTATACAGAGTCATACATACTGTGCTCTACTACGTCTTGAAAGTTTCGATTAGTTTCCCCTACAACGGCACAATGCGTGCCGGATGCTCCAGGATGTACTCACTCTTTACCCGGGCAAGGATACACTATTGGAGTTGAATCTATACAACAGGCTAGTTATGAGAAAATTGAATGCGCTGTTCTGCGTATGAGTGACCGCGTTGGTGGCAGACTGGCAGACTCATTGCCACGGTGCGACGTATTTACCGGCCAATACGGCCCTTGCATTACCCAGCAGAGAGCCCTGTCTATCACTTTCCTTGGAAATGCCACAACTCGTGGAAACTCACAGATTTTTTCCCTTGAGATGCGCATCCTCTTCCAACCATGGCGCGAGACGCCAATCAGGCAGCACATAGCCGACTCTGTCCTCATCTGCTGTTCCCGCCCACTCGGAGCCAACTTGGTCCCGGACAAGACGGTAGAAGATTTGGTACGCCTCGGAGCTCATGTGAAGGCCGTCTGGAAGCAGGTGCTCGAGGTAGCCGCGCACGCCGCTTTCGGGGTCACCAAGTGCTGGCCCATCCGGGTTGAAGCCAGGAGTCTTCGCAATGGCCGTGTCCATCAGCGCCTTCCAGAGATCCACCAGCGTGACCCCCGGGTGTTCGGCAGCCACTTGGCGGACGGCCTCAGAATATGATGCACTGATTTTTGCCTTTCTGGTTGAGGAAGGGTGGCCATTGGCTAGGTCGAGGACCTTGATGCGGATTTCGTCCAGTGGGGGTGGCGTGACGAGGAAGATCTTTGGCTTGTGCGCAACAATGTTGGGATGGGTGATGATCCGAGCCAGGTTTTCCTTGAATTTGCCCAGGGGAACACCTTGGTGGTTCGTGGGCAATGGGACGCACGCATCATTGGCCCCAAGCAGGACGAACTGATGGGCGGTCAGCTAGCTTCGCATCCCTTGTGGGGTTAGCTTCTGACCATGGGGGACGCACAAGGTACTCGAGTTTGGGGACACCCGGGCCTGGTGCCGTAAAGATTTGCGGCAGGACACTGAGGGCATTCGATGTGTTGTATCCCGAGAGCCCGCGGTTGACGACGTCGAGTCGACGTAGGACCTCTGGCGAGGAGTCAGCCGTGTTAGTGTCAAGCAAAGAGAAAAGGAGAACGGCCACTAACGTGACTGGAGAGCTGCCTGAAAACAAAAGCCGTCTACCAGGTCGGCGGCTCCCTGGAAAAGCGAGTCGCCGAACAAGACGATTTGAGGGTAAGTGGTCTACGGCAGAACAACACCACCATCGCCTTCGTCAGCGAATTACGTTTCCTCAATATCGCGATAAAACGGGAGGGGAAGCAGACATACGGCCATGGCAGCTGTGCGTGAGTAGATCCAACTCGGCAGCGGGTTATTCGTCGTTACTGGAGCCGTATTCCGGGACCATTGGGAGCGATGGGGGCCACCTCGCTTTAAATACTCCCAGGGACATGCCGTCCTAGGTTGCTAGTCCGGCCCGCCATTGCGGTAGCTCCTTCGTCCGAACTGCCCGCAGAAACGTAGACCGCCCCACACCGGCCGATAGGGCCAACGGACGTGTGCAGATTGAGGAGGTACTGTGGGAGACGTCGTGATACTTGACTCGAGAATTGAGGCACTCCAAGAGCGGACTGTTGATTCGCCTGTTTCAGTCCCTTGTCCCCCGCAAGCCGCCGCAACCCGGCGATGCAGGCTGCCGTTCGCTGTGTGGTACATACATCGACTGGACTGCCTTATATCAGGTATGTATGCAGTAGCCAGAGACCGAGACGACAAGTGCACTAGCGTGTGTGGTTACAGCACCAGCACGCCACTGTCCCGCCAGATTGGCTGCGTGGGCAAGCAAAAAGTGCCGATTGGCGGTCAGTCACGTGCTATGCAGCTCTGCGATCGGAAAAGTTATGTTCAACCTGGGTATGCCGTTAATAGTGGCCTGCTTCGATTGGTTTTCTCGGTGTAGCTGCCCGCTTTATCTCCCGCTTTGCAAAAGCGGTGTGGTAAGTCTTGTAACCTCTCCTTCAAGAATCAGCATCTTGGGGTGGGACGAAATGCTTGGATCTCTGCTTAGCCAAACCCGTTAATAAGTGCGCTCAAGAGTGGGGGTGTCGGTTACGTCGGGATATGCAACCTGAAGTGAGAAGGTGACTGGAATTTGGGGCCGAGCTGCTTATCGATAGTGTTGTAAGTGGTGGGCGACGGTGGGATGGACTTGCCTCCCAAGGCGACAATCACAACCGCCCACAATCACAAGCGCCACCGACGCCTTTTCTTCGGTTTTCAATTAATTTGTGACTACTCCGTATTCAGATTCCATGTTACTGAGGACGATGGCTCAGACAGCCTGCTGCACATGCGCGACGTTGCTCTCGGCCGTGCCTTGCGTGACGTCCTCCTCCGAGAAGCCATTACCAGACAACCGGCAACTGGACTGTTGCGGCCGCGTAATATGCCATGACTGCATACAGGCATGTAGACACTCTCATATCAAGGGAAACTGACTGACTCAAGGCACGTTCTGGCAGAAAAACCCCCGCTTCCTAAGCTATTGTCCTTATTGCCCGACCTCGGGACCATCGCTCCTAACTAGCCGCCGCAGGGGGAGAGACGGGGCAAGGCACGAGAAGAAGGAAAATGCAATGGAAGCCACGGGAAAGCAAAAGCAGGGCGAGCCAGTGCTTGACCAGCCGCCGCCCCCTTACACTGCTCTCTCGCCGTCAACCTGCCCCTCGACCATGTTACCACTACCACCGCCGCCATACACACCACTCCCCTGCCTTTCCGCCTCCAACCCAAACCAGCACCAGCAGTCGGTCGTCGATAGCCCCAGCCAAGACGTAAGAGAAGAGGTCATCATCCACCACCTCCGCCACACACACCCCCAGGACACGCTGCAATCCCTGGCTCTGCAGTACGGCATCCCCCCCGCCGTTCTGCGGGCGTCCAATAACCTGCCGCTCGGGGCCGACCACCTGCTGGCGGCGCGGCACACGCTGCTGATCCCGGCCCGCCACTGCCGCAACCCGACCAACCGGTCCCCCTTCCCGCCCGAGGACAGCGAGTCGCTGGCGCGCAAGACGGCCATCCGGCGGTGGATGGTGGCGTGCAAGGAGGCCAACTACGATATGGCCCTGGTGTATCTCGACGAGGCCGGCTATGACCTCGACGAGGCGGTGGGGAGGTACATGGCCGATACAGAGTGGGAGGCTAGACATCCCTATCCGTTGGCTAAAGATAGAGATGGGGGGCGGAGAAGGAGGTGGGGGAGCTGGGGGAAGAAAAGAGAGGAGGGAAGGAACGGGGCCGGGGATTAGGATTATCGGGAGGGAGGCGAGCAGTTCAGAGCAACACAGCATCGCTGGGTTGGCCCTGGTATGCTGTCAAGCACCGTTGCTAGTTCAAGTTTCAGTCTGAGTGTGGACAAGACCTCTGACCTGTTGTGTGAAACAAGCGCCGAAACACCCTCCATGAAGCGCCGTTCGCCTACATTGATTGTATAGTACACATCGTTCGTAAACCTAGCCAGGCTGTATAATCATGCTACTCATCATCCTGACATTAGAAGGCAGACCGGGTCCGGATATCCTATCAGAACGTTAGCGATCTCCGGGCAAATAAACTCATGAACGGAAGCGAAGATATCAGAGAAGCGAACATACCGAGATCTTGCGCTCGATCTCCCGGACCGACCGGTCCAGCTCGCCGGCAATCAGCTGCTTCTTGTCATTCGAAAGCAGACTGAACCTCTCACAGAGATCGCCGTCAATAACCCCCTTCACAGGAACATAATATCCGCGATAGATCAGATGGTCACGACCCGCCAACGGAGGGTCTTCACTTCGCATGTGGCTTTCCAGGTTCTGGAAGAAGTCGACGTCCTCCCGGCTAACGAACGGAATAAGGACGCCGACTGTGCCCTGGATCCCGCTCCACAGCAGGACATCTTGACCACCGACAACCAGGTTTGTCTTGACGATGCTCGTCGGCAGATCCTGCGTATAGAAATGTGCCATCAAGTTGAGGCGGTTAGGTGCGCCATGGAGGTAATTGCGGGCATGGATAAGCTGGATTTCCGAGCCCGGCTCATCACTTTCCTGGCTGGCTCTTTCGGGACATCGTAGGATCCACACATTGCCGAATTTGTCTCCTCCGGCCACCGATTCGTAGTCAACCATGGTGGTGCAAGTTGTCCACCGGTTAATCGTGTCATCGGCGAACGGAATAAGTTTATTACTCTCGTGCTTATACACCACGTAGGTAACACCTTGTTGGACATCCCCAACAACAATGCGGCTGCCCTGCGTCTGGAGCGACACGATCAACTGAGGGGCCACCTCCGCCTGGGCTTTCCTGAGCAGCTGTTTGAGGCCAAGATCGTACACTCGCAGCATCTTCCCTATGCCGGCAAGAAGACGGCCCTGGAATGGGATCAGGGCCATCGGAGGCTCTTCAATTTTGGTCTTGTGAATGAACTCCAGGTCTCTGCCGTCGTCATGGAACCGATAGACGTGGATATAGCCCTCGGTGAATTGACGTGGGTTGAGCACCATGTCCTTTCCGGTTCCAACGATGAGAAAGCTCTCGCCTTCTTGGCTTGCAAAGGGAACAACAGCGGCGCTCACGGTGGCTTCATTGCCCTCCAAATCGATTTTCTGGAGAACCTTGGGTTCTTCACTGATTGGATCAATAATGCTGATGCACGACGCCCATCTACCTTTGGCTCGAGGATAACCAAAGTCCTCTGGTGGCAAAACAGTTGCATCTCCGTTCACAGCACTTGATTGCGCCAGGAGCTGAGCCTGCAGTTCTGGGGGGAGCGTGTTATTGTCGGATTCGATAGTGTAAAAGTACGGCTGTTCTGGGTGCTTGACCAGGCGCTTCGGTGTGTATGTGAGCGGGATGGACTTTTGAATCATGTTCTCGCCCAGTTTCTCAATGGTGAAGATCCTGTGCAATCATCAGCAAATGCGTATTGAGGCGCATATGTCTGTCAAAAACTGCAATGGAGTTTTATCAGAAGGAACAATTGATACAACATTTGTTGTATTCAAAACCTCATAGCCATGGGGCTTAGGAATCCCTTTTATCATCATGGAAATGGAGATAGATGAACAGAAGTGGGGAGAACTGACCTCAAGTAGTTGGCATGGATACCAACCATGCCTTCCAGGCACTGTTCGCTGCTGAAATTCCAGCCGTACTCGAGATCGGCGTAACTCAAAGGTGTCATGACGAAGTTTTTGGCGATGGGATCAGTGTAGCCCAGCCACGGCCTCGAACTGAGAGCAAGGACACAAGGCTGCTTTTGAACAGACACTTGGAAAAGCTTGGTGGACTTCGGCCCTAGAAACTTTTGTCGAGTGTCCGTTAGCTCACCGGTGATTTCGTCCAGGACAGTCCTTAGATAGACTCCAGAATGCAGGCCAATGTGTAGATACAATGTCGTGCCACCGGTCGAATCCTCCATCGCCATGATAGAAAGAGAGGAAGGGGCCGCTGTCAAGGCCTGGATGGACTTCATCTCCAAGGTCGACTCTGGGTCGAGACTGAGGATGCGGACAGTGCAGTCATCACAACCCACAGCCAGGAACGAGCTTCGCCTCAACCCTTCTGGCACCCTACCCAAGCTGAGGGATGTGACGGTCCCCGACATTTCTTTCTTCTCGTCGTACTCGGCAAGTGCCCCATCCGCATCCATCTCGAAGTACACAATCTCTCCGGAACTTAGAGCGATTACAACCTGATTTTCGTTTGTTGCAGCAGCGACGATCGATCGGTGCTGGGGTGCTGGCCACTCGTTGACGCGGCCCTGGACTATATGCCGGATCCCCTTGGGGTGTACTTGGATCAGCCCTTCCTCACCCAGCTGTTGTACCGCCAGGGTTGGGACAGCTGTTAGAAAACCGCTATCGCTGACCTCCTCCACAGTTTCGCCAATGCTTAAAACAAGGGTGGCGTTGGTAAAGGAGAGCACAATATAAGCATCAAACTCGTCGTATTTTGTGAGTTTCGTTGTCCAGACGGCCGAAGGTGTGCCTGGAAGTTCAGATGCAACGATCTCGGACACCTCCAAACCGTGCTTGAGCATCCGAAAAGTGCTCCTGGCTCTGTTGCCGCAGACTGAGTAAATCTGGGGCGCATCTTCGCCCGTCAGATTAGCCACTTTGCAGTCAATCAGGGGGTTCATCGAGTCGATGCTCTCGACGAGCACCAGGTTCTCTAGCGGCCGCGGATGGAAATACACAGGATTATAAGAAGCTCGAGGATCCGTTGGGAAGTCGTCGCTGCTGAATTCGGGCTCGTCATCGTCATCGCCGAGCTTCTCGAACTGGTAAAAGTGATGGTTGCCAAATTCGCTGGCGGCAAAGAGGAAACCACTCTTCAGAATACACAGACTGGAGGCTGTGGGAATGGTGTCAAAGTACTTGATCTTGAGGCGCGCGACTTCGCCCGTGGGGTTCCCTTCATTGTCCTCGACCATATCGAGGGTAACCTTGAACAGGTCTCCGTCCTCAGTCTGAAGCAGAAAGAAGAAGGCGCCCGCACTGCCTTTGAGCTTATGCATGACGCCTGAGACAATGGTACGCTTCCTCTGAGGATCTTCTGTAGCCCCGCGACGTCTGGGGATGGGGATCCGGAACGCCTCCTGGTTGGAGTGTCGGTAGGTGATATTCTCCTCTCCACAGACTAGAACGCCGCTCGGCCCATCATTGCCCCCGGGAACCTGAAAGAGGAGTGACGAGGTCGGATCAACCGCATCTGACCATTTACGTACAACGTGGTTGAGACCTAGGTCGAGTTCGTAGTAGACAAGCTGCGCTTCGGCCTCCTGGGCAGCTTTGCCAGACGGGTCCTGATCAGCTTCGGAATAATCCATCTCCAGGGCGGCGAAGACGGGATTGGCGTAGCCAACATCGAGAGCAACGAGCGACAGCACAAGTACGCCAGGCTTGTGGGCCTCGAGTGGCGATGAAATGGTAAGCTCGGCCTGGGCATTCCTATTCAGCACGTAGACCAGCTTGTTCTTTTCGACCGACGCGATCAGGCAGGCCCTTCCTTTTGGGTCGGCAGCCAGGTACTGGCCGGGGATTACGCGGCGCACCCCGGACTTTCCAAACGTTTCCAGGTGAATCCTCGAGAATCTGTTCAACTTGGGCAGGTACTCGATGATGGCAATGCGGCCCGAGTCCGTAGCGAGGATAATGTAGTCTAGGTGCACACGCGTCTTAGCACGATCCGGGGTACAGCAACATCTCGAAGGCGATCCGCAGACCACCGCGCGAGTCCAAGCGGGACATCATCCCGCCAAAGCTGCGGAGCGGATCCAGAATCACTAAATTGTCCGAGGAGCGGCGGGTTGCTGAGATTGTCACTCACCTTTGTGGCTGCCGGCAAGGCGGAAGGAAGAGATGGCCCTAATGATACCAAAGATATCGTGCGATATCAGGGTATTAACCTTTCCCTGCCTGGGATCGGGTTGAAGAAGGTTTAGGCGAGAGCCCGAAGCCGTGATGATTTGCTGCTCCTTCGTCCCCGAGAACTGACCCAACAGCGCTTGCGTGATTGTCGTTGGCTGCTGGATCGTCAGCGAGTACAGGAACATATTCGAGGTGGTCGCCATGGCTTCTCGGCGTGCGCAGAAAGCCGGCGCGGCCTCGGTGTTGGGTGGTGAATCAACTTAGCGATGTTGCGCGTTGATGTGCGGATGTTGTGGTGAACTGAACGAAACTGGGAAGCTCAAGAAACAAATTTATTCGTACTTGAGCAGCTTCAGCCACACCCCGCCATTGTTTGCTTGCGTATAATCACAGTGGGGGCTTTTACCTAGCATGTTTGCGGCCACTCCAGGCTGGTGCTTCTAGTGCGAGACAGTGGCACCCGCCTCAAAACTGTGGCATCAAATGCGCTGATTGGACGATGCGTATGCAAGTGCCTGAACATTCTCAAATCGTGAGATGCATACCTTGGTCACTCGAACACCCCAACCTTCGGTTGCCAAAACTTCAATGGCTCTTCCGGCGGATCTTGCAGCGCGCTCAGCGCTGTCAAGGATCTGCACGCGTTGCTCCATCTCGCTCAGGAGAGAGGGCTTGATTTCCAATGGGTCCTCCCTCGCTTTCCAACTGCAACGACGCAAACTGGGCTCCCGAACAAAACAAGTCCGACATGACCAGCAACACATTCCAAGCCTTGCCGCGAGACACTTTTCGTCCAGTGTTGTCCGGGCTGGGTTCCGTCCGAGCAACTCTCTCCAGAACGAGTCAAAACGAGTTCTAGCCCCAGACGATCTGTTCCATTCCTTCACCAACTCTCCGATCCCCGAGATCCGGCGGCGCGCTGCCCTCATGAGACAGCATGCTCCGTGTCCACACCCCGATCACCGGCCTGGCGGGCCCATGGCCCCAGCTCATGTCGACTTTGAATGTCCGGACTGTGGCATCCCCGTGTATTGCAGCAAGGAGCATTGGGCAGACGATTACGAGGCGCATCTGGAGATCTGCGACACCCTGCGGCAAATCAACGAGGACGACCACGACCTCCGGTCAGGTCGCTTCTTCCCCGAGTTCGAGTATGCCGGGCCGCAGCTGGAGGAGGCAATGGTCAACATGTCCAATTGGGACACCTTCTTGTATACGCGCGAGTTCAATGCCATTAATGCCGATCGCAGCATGAGGCAAGTGACGCGGCTTCTGACGTACCCCATCACCATCGGCAGCGTCCTCCATGAGCTCAGTCCGTATAACATCAAGGCTGGTGGGAGGCTTACAGCCGAGGGACTAAAAAGCTTCAGCGGTATGTTTTCCCGCCATTGCTCAGGATGCACCCTCTGACAAATCATGTGAAAGCGCTCCGTTATACCCTCCATCCTCCAAAAAGAGGCGTAGGTACGGATATCAAGAGCCTCCGGGTATCACCACCACCTGTGCGCGTGTTCGTTCTTGGTGCGCGGGCTGAATCATCGCTTCCCCGAGACGCGTGGATTCAGTTGGCCCATCTCTTCCCCAGAGCGAAGATTCACCTTATCCTTATCGGCCCCGAGGCCATGGTCAACAGAGACAACGAGTTTCCCCTGCCGCCGCGCACTCCCCAGAATCCGTTTGGCGCCATTGTAGAGGACCGCGTGTGGCATACGATGAAGATCAGCACCATTGTCGACTATTATCACACCATCCACAAGACGGGGTACTTTTACCCCTATGACCCATACTTTGACTGCTTCGTTCTGTTCCACCCGGGGCTGGGTCACCCGGCCAGCTCACACGAGTGGGAGGAGACGCTTCCTATGCTTCTCGAGACCAAAGTGCCCATTCTCGCGACGGGCTACACCCAGACCGACATGGAGCGCGACGTTGAATGGGTCCGCAAGACGACAGGCGGAGAATTTGATATGCTGCTTGAACCAGGCGAGAACATATTCCGCAGCCTCCGGTGGGATTTGTACGATATGGACCCCCAGGACATCAGCGCTGGCAACTGGGGCCTCTGGGCGTTCCGAGGCAAGAGGTAAGGCCTTTCCCTGGTGGTGTTGATGCTAGGAGCCCTAATACTGACCCTACTGTAGGTACGAGGCCACTCATAAATCATCCGAATAGACAGCGAGCTGCCGGCCATGCTGCGCTCGAGGATCGGGGAGCCTGTTCTGTAAGATAAATTTGATAACTTGTATGTACAAGTACATACATACCAACCTCTGCATCAACACCAATGCTTGTTCGTGAGCATAATAGACCACCCAAGCGGTCACTCGAAAGCATCAATCCTCCTTTTGTTACCTCTCTGCAACTTGTATTTCAATGTAAATGTTTCGAATGTCAAGGGTCGGATGTATCCCGGTGCAGTACAATTACAGAATTTCAATACGGAGTACCGTCCTACTTACCTGGTGAGGTGACAGGTCAATCTTGACCGGCTAGCGTTCTCACCGCCTTCCTATCGTGACAGGAGGTGCAACGCATCTCATCATGCAGGCCTGATAAGCGACCTTGGTTGACACCGCCTTTCACTTGGCGTTGTAGCACCTACCTCGAGAGTTCCAAGAACGCAGCATGTACAGTACAATGAGCTGCGTCGTTTTTACAAGGCATCAGCTTAGTAACGCCTCTGCCCGTGGAGCCTGCCAGCGTCGGGAGATTGAGCACACGAAATGAAATTGATATAGGGCACGACATTCGCTATGACGACCAGGCTCTGCCAGAATAATTGATGGCCGCCATGACAACTGCTGCAGATGCAGATGCCCACCCTCCTCCGACGCCGCCTCCTCCTCCTGCCCCCGTCCCCACTCCCCGACCCAAGCATTCCCATTCCCGTACCTCGAGCCTTCAGCCCGGCCCGGTTCCCGTGTCGGCTGAACACGGCGCGGCATCTCCGTCTCAGAGCGGCGGAGGAGTCGCTCGTCGCACAGCCCGCACGGCACCTCCCGATCCTCTGTCAGACAAGGCCACGGCTTTTCTGATCCGTCGTGTCCTCTGTCCCCAAAACTCCGACAAGGGCAGGGGCTCTCCCGCGCCCATCCAAGACATCTTGCCGCCTCTTTCCAGCCGCAACGATGTGGACCTGCAGCTCTATGCCCTGATCGCCATCATCTTGAGGGAGTACGTGCAGAACTGGTACACCAAGATCACGGCCGACGAGACCTTTGTCGCCGAGATCGTCCAGATTATTGCCCATATCACCAGGGCGCTTGAGCAGCGGCTGAGAAAGGTGGACCTCGAGAGCTTGCTATTCGACGAGCTTCCCGAGCTTCTCGATAATCATGTCACTGGTCCGTCTGCGCGACTCGAGCTTGAAGCGGATTCCTCTACGAGTAGCTGACACGACGAGTCTAGCCTACCGAGCGTCCCACGACCCCATCACGCAGCCCCCAGTCCAGACGGACCCGCGCGAGATCTACCACTCGCTATGCCCTCTGCCTGCCCTCTCACCGGTTCTCCGCTCGGCAGACCCCGAGAGCGCTGCAGCCCAGGCCGAGAACGAGGCAGCGTATCGTCAGCTGCTAGTTCAAGCCGTCTTGGCCGTGCTGCTCCCCACCGAGGATCTCCAAAACGGCTGCCTGACTGCTTTGGTTGGCCAGATATTTTCCGAGCTAATAATCGGGAACGCAGTCTCCAACAGACTATCGGAACCGTGGCTGATTTGGGAACTCCTCATCATTGTTTCCAGGACTGGTCGTGGACGGAGCATCTCCGAAGACGGCAACCTGCCGGGGAAGTCGAGAAATGGGCTACGGGGTACCCGTAGGGCCCTCTCGCTCCAGGCCGTGTTCTGGACAATCCTACAGTGGTGCTTTCTTGCGACTTCGCTCGTTAGGACGGCTTTCGCAATCCTTGTCATGTCCCGTTCGCTGCCTCCACGAGTCCTTCGCGGCGCGGGCTTTCAGAAGGACAAGGACCAACACGAGGTTGGAGCGAAAAACGATCCACAAGCATCCAACACACCAGTGTTGGCGTTCCGATTGTGGTGCGCCATATCGAATCTTACCGAGATGGACGCGCGGATGCCCTGGCTCTGCGGCGCATTATCGATGCTACAGTGGATTGCCATGACGGGGCCAGGACGAATCGCCGCTTTCAACGGGAGGCTTGACAGGTAGGTGGTGATTTACTTTACCCTGTTCCACCCCTTTTGCAGATAAGCTCGTCACACTACATGCTCCGTCAGTCACTGGATCAGACAGCATGCGATCCATACTACGAATCAAGAGGCCCCCCCCCCCCAGTTGCGAGTGCAACGCGACGGTTGGCAAAGGTCACGATCCAAAACGTCTGGAAGCTCTTGGTCACCTAGAAGGGTCACTGGGTGTAGTTGCGTCCACCAATACGCAGCTGAATCAAGGCTTCGGGGTAAAAAGGGTTTGGCTGCAGTGGAACACACCTCCCACATGTCCTGCGGCCGAATCGGCGACCCGCAGCCTGCACATTCGTGCCGCCTCTAGTCTCAACTACCTGCAGATGGCACCTACATCTGCTTCGACCAATCGCGGAGCCGCATCTCCTTAGCGGCGCCTGATTGCTCGAGAGGCTCAATGGGGCTTGACCGGTCAATCCATCAACGAGGCTTATTTACGCGCCGAGTTGGAGACGCTTCGAGGATTGGGCCCGCTTTAGCAATCTTCGACCTCATCTTCATCCCCCGCACTCCCAATTCCTTTTACCACACCACATGCGACTGCTCAGTCCGCGCTTCGTACCTCTGTACCGGGCCACAGTACGCCATGTCCATGACGCTTCGACAGGCAGTCTTGAATTCGGGTGGCCTGATCGTCCCGATGGGAACCTTCCCGTTCTCGGCTGGCGTTCCTCATACGGCGCTGGTTTGGGATGGGTGATGACCGGGCTGTCAACAGCATGACAGGTCACATTTGGAGCTGCCGAGGCATGGATTGGCGAGGAATATGCAGGCATCCGCTCCCCGGTTCATGCCGCAGTTCTCGTGGCCGCTGGGCGATCCTAACCACTGCGGAATAGCTGAGTGCTGATCTTATCTCGAGCTCTATGCACCACAGGCTTGTCATAAGATTCTGTGGGCATTTTAGTGCCCTTGCCGACAAGACGCGAGGCAAGGCAATACACTTCTGAACGACATGGCGTAGGCTGGAGGCAAAGGTTCAAGCGCAAGTGCCTTCCCCGAGTCAAAGTCCGATGGGCCATGCATCAAACCCGGGCCCTGGTCGTCTCCCCGCATTCCAAGGAGGAAAGCTTTGGCCTCGCCCAGGCAAGCACGCAAGCCGCCTCAGCCGGACCAGCGCTCAGTAGTGCTGACGTGCGGTGCCAATGCCGCGCCTTCCACCTCAATATTCCCCATTCCTTTTGTATTGGTAGCCTGATATTCATCTGTCTCCGAACCGTTTTGCACCAGCTTGTGTACTGACCTCATCCGATCTTGACGCCCCCCTGTCGCTCTGCCGTTTCCCTCGGAGTGTTTAGGAAACGCTCACAGTACCGGATGAGGGCATCAGCCGATGGTGCTTTGCACGCACACACACGCACACACACACACCTCTTTCTCACATTCATGTTTCCCCCCGTATGATGAAACTCAAGGTTGCTTTTGTCTCGGAGAGAAGAACCGCCATTTGTTTGGAACGAAACCCCCAAATTCGACCCAAGAATGAGTTGCTTATCCTCGTTTCTTATCCGGGCAAATCAAATCAAGCAAACAACCTTTTTCCGTTACGAACGAGCACACACACTCTCTCTCACACTCAATCTCACTCACACGCACACACACTAATTGATGTAACGTAGGCTTTTATCTTACAGCATACACACCTATGTGCTGAACGCGGCCAACCTGCCCCCACTTCTCCGCAATGTGCGGGGCGCCCTGTTTCCCAATAACATGGCCAGTAATAAGGCGCCGCTGCTGGTCGCCCCCACTTCCGACACCGAACTCCGCGCCCTCAGACGCAGGTGCGCTAGATCGCTTTTGGGAATGCTGCCGCGGCCTGTAGGAAGGCTGTTTTTCGGCGGCAGGTTGAGGGGTCGTGCTACTGCAACCACTCCTACTACGACTGCTGCTACTACTAATGCTGGGGATAGCAGGAAAGTCGGTGAACGGGAGGGCAGAGCAGCGAAAGGCGGAACCGAGTCAGGGCCGACAGGGTCAGCCTGGACAGGATCAGCCGGATCGAGCCCGACGCGGTCCGCTCCGTCGGGGCCGAAGGGCATCGACGACCGCCACCGCCGCCGACGCCGTCATGACCAGGATCAAAACCAGGGTCAGGGTCAGGACCAGGGCCAGGGCCCTTGCACCACCCCTCGTTCTAGCGTGGAAGATGCGGGCGCTAGTACCACTGCTAGTGCGAGCGGTGGTACTACTACTGTGGACATGATGACACGGGATGATTATGATGACCGTGATGGTGGTGACGATACTGATGGTAACAGTTATCGCGACCAGAATCAGGAAGCCGAGGATGACGGGGAGATCTTGGACGAAATCGAGCGAAGCATCCTGGACGTGTTTAGCGATGCCTACTGCAACAAGCACCTGGTCTATGCCATACTGGAGCTGGTGCTTGTGAGACTTATGCCTGAGCTTGCCGAGAAAGGTGTGGTTGAGCTTTTGAGCGATAGGATTACCCTGTAGACGAATCATACCTATACCTTGTGAGAAAGCAACATGTCCCCTGCCATGAAAGGGACGAATGGACGATGGGCTTTCCTATTTTATATCTTACTGATGAACTTCTGAAGAGGTACTCGGCAGATTGTACCGCTTCTGGACGGGTAGAGGGGTACATCCAGATCTTGCATTTGATGCCAAAACGATCCAAAGTCCCTCGGCGTTCAGCATGTCCATCCATCCAACCGCGAGTTCATTCAGATCGGAACCTCCTGGTGCTTCTGACGAGACCGGGCAGGCCAAACCGCCCCACCTTCCAGTAAAGGAAAAGAGAAATTATGAGTCCTCTCACTTGCAAACAAGAAGCTGAGGATATTGTCTTCCTTCCATCCTTAGTCCAGAATTACCCATCCCAGGAATGCTCCCTACCCTCCAACCTTAGACCGGCCGAATTCCTTCAGCCAACCAGCCAGGGACATGAAAAAACCCACCCAAGAAATAAGAATTCAAGCAGATCAGCCCATAACACGTGCTCCGTGATTGCTGGTTCTCCTTAGGTTTCCGCGGGCCTGCTCCTCACTCTTGCTCTCGTCCAACCGTCTTCGTACCCCCTTCACCGCCATCCGTATCCACCAATGTAGCGATCAGTCTCGCTGGCTTGCTCGGGTTCCATCGGTTGATTGACTGATTGATTGATCGAACGATCGAACGATCGGTTGGCCGGATTCGAGCTCGAATTCTTACCGCGCTGGTAAGTTTCCTAAAAAGCCGAGTCCCATGCTTCCCTCCCTTTCCTTACCCAAGCTCCTTGAACAACTAGACACATGCAGATAATGACCAGGTAATATACAAAAACATTGAAATTGCATAAGAAGAGAAATATACACAAACAGGCAGAAGATGCGGTCCTGCTGTTTGGAGTATGAGGGGAATATGCCTCCATTGTTTGAGGAAGAGGACTAAAACGAAAAGTAAGCGGGGGAAAAAAGTAGGACCGAAATAACATATAAATTGCATGAAAGAGAAGACGGATTGAAAAAAGCTCAGAAGAAGAGGCAAAATGACGCGAGGCGATTTTTCGATCCGTGTTCGCGTGAGCGTATAGAAGTCTTCCGGTGATGGCAGCTGTGTAGATGGGAGACAACGCCAAAGGTGGGTATATAGAAGTCGTAATTGGAGAATAGGGTATATGGAACGGGCTAGGGGAGAAGGTTGTGTGTAGTACATGAGTATGATGTGTCTTCAACGTCGTAGAAAAGGACGAACGTGGCTTTCAGTTGCAACTGGGTGACTCTGATAAATGTCCATCGAGAGATCCGGGCAAGCACACCGCTCCCTCCGGAACCGCTGGTAACCCATGTCTCGGACATGCTCATTAGAAACCTGTCTTTCCACTCGGTCTTCCAGCCCTGGTCGTTCACGATCCTGAAGCCGGAATCACCGTCAGGTCTCCAAGAATGCCTGAAAGCGCCGTGACGGGTCGGTGCTCGTGGGTATCATGGCTCGTGAGTCATGGGCGAAGAGGGTGAAGTCTTCCCATTAACCGCTCATAGTCTGTTCCACTTTGATCATGGCCGAGGGGGCATTTGGCATTTCACTGTCGCCTTCGGGAATGCGCGAGAGTCCTCCCATCCCATGCGAGACCTTAGCCAGTTGGCCTTGATGTATGCGCAGCTTCTCCGTCAACCGGGCAACAATCAGATATTCGTTCTTGTCCGCGAACCCGCTAGCATTCGTAATGAATGACAACAGAGTGTCGGCAGCCTTGCGCGCATCCTCCTGTGTTGGCGAGCTGGGAGACGAGCCAACAGCGCTGGTCGTAATCGGTGTAGTCGTCGAACGACCCGCAATGCTGCTGTTGCTGCTGCTATGCCGAAGGCGGGGCGAGGAAACGGCTTGATCGAGGCTAAAGTTTGGCATGGCCGGCTCGCCCCCCGACGGCTCAATCGTCGAGGAGGGTGCGGCAGACGAGATATGGTATTTTGGAGTCAAGGGCTCCGTAGACTGAGATTGGTTCAGGTACTCCAGATCGAGGGTTGGGAAAGTTTGACTCCGGGGTCGTTGAAAACCTGGACCACCGGCGTGCGGTGGGATTTGCCTGGATTGATCTCCAGGGAGAAAGCCTCCCATATTGGGGTCTGGAGAGAAACTGAACGAGTTCGTTGGACTCAGTGCGCCTCCGGAGAAAGGCTGCGCTGCTGTGTCTGTGAAACTGCTGGATAAGGACGTCGTGCTCTGCGTGTTGGAGTGTTTATAGACGCCATCTGGAGCAAAGTCCATGAAATTGTTCATGTTCTCTTTTTCCTCGTCGCTCTTATTCGCCGACAGGGGAGACGGGGAGAGATGCCCAGAGGGTGAAGCAGGAGAAATGGCGCTTGAAGGCTGAGACGTTGTTAGAGCCGGCGAAGCGCGGATGCTATCAGCAATGTTGGTCTCGGAGGCTCGACGCATCAACCTTCCTGCCGGGCCTATCCCGTGCTTCAGCATGAACTTGTCAAGCCATGCCGAGGTGTTGTGCTTGAGAAGCGGCTCTCCAGCAGTCATGGCCGAGAAGAGTCGCGCCTTCTCCTTGAGGTCTTCGCCGGTCACGGCGATGCCCGAATCCTGCGCCTTACGGAGGTAGTTTGTTAGTGCCTTTTCAATGTCGGCGCCTTTCCCCTTGTTGCGCTTAACCGGAGAACTGCTCCGCTCCTCTGAGTTAAGATATTTGTCCTTATTTCGCAAGACCTTGGATACAGTGCTAGCAGCCAATGTTAGAAGCGGCATCATACTATGGTGAGAGCGAACGGGACCCCCCTGCCATACCTCCTCTCAACGCCAAACCTGGCACCGATATCCGTCTGCTTGGCGGTGGGGTGATCTTCGGCGTACTGACACATTGCGCGGCGGTCATCGTCTGTCAGCGTCTTCCTGGGCTGCGATGTGGTCTGGATAGCGGGCAGCTTGGATGTCTTGAGCGGCGCCGTCATTGGGGGAATGGCCACTGGCGGAGCGGAATGCGGCGGGCCATAGTTATTCGGGTTTGTCAACATACTCGGCCACGTCGCATGAGGCATCATGAGCATTGGCAGTTGCGTATGTGAAGCCTGGGGCTGTTGATGTATCGGTTGCGAAGGAGCTGGTGGCGGCGGCATCCTGTTCAGAGACTCTGAGGGCAACCCGTGAGTGATGGGGGGGATGAATCCGAAGCCGCCTCCATAGTCGGACATGGTCGTCTGGAATGAGTTCATGTTCACCCAGTTGTCGTTGCCGTATGTGTTGTCTGGTGAAAGGTGGCTCTCCTGGTCCATGCCCGTTGAGGCGTTGATCTGGTTGTGCATGGTGACTGCGGCCTCGCCTCGCTCAGGCGAAACCAGGCGGCGAGCAGATAGAGGGAGGCAGAGAGCACTGGCTGGCACGGCGGGACTGAAGTCGTCTCAGAGGCGGTGGGATTGGTGCTGCGAGGTGCCCACTGAGATTGAGGGGCCACACTGGGGGGTCAAGCAGGTGTGGGGATCAACGGACCGGAAGGGATGGGCAAGACGCTTTCAGGAGACGGCATGCATGATACGGGGGGTGCGGGACCGCAATTGGTTCCTGGATCGGACTTGCAGCGGTCTAGCCGTCGAGAAGGTTACAGGTTGCGGGAATCTCCCGAGTGCGGTGTAGCACAGTATGTCCCCGCTGCAGAAGCGTTTGGGGGACAAGTCGGCTCGGCAAGTCACTTGGTGACTCGGGAGAGGGCGGATCGAGAGCGCAGGGCCGGGGAATTCAGCGGGATAGGGACCCGTTGGAGAAGGGAGCACCGAAGCGAGCCGCGTTGCGAGATAAACGGTAGCCGCTCTTGTCGAGGCGTCCGTTCCATGCAGGGAGCAAGCACGAACTGTTCTGAAGGAGAAGGGCGACGGGTGGCTGATGCGACCGGTGGGTGACTTGCTGCTCTCCTCCAAGTCCCGTCGCTAGCCTCGCAGTAATAATTGTACTTGGTGGAGAAGCTCGGCTCGAGCAGCAAGCGATACCCGCCCTCGACCCAGCAGCAACAGGAAGACGGGAAGGGCTATGGCTTCGCGTACTGCTTTGTTTGCTGTGGGGGGCTTGCCTGATTCGCAGGAGGTCCCCAAAGCAGAGCGCAGACCGAAGGGCGTCTGGTCGATGTCGACGACATAGAACCAGCACCGAAGTTGGACCTAGACCAGGGCCGAGAGATAGGTAGGCGGGCGGCGGGCCAGCTTCAACGGCGGGTAACCTAAGTAAGGAATGTGTAGGTTTGATCCTGGGGAGCAGAAGCAGCAAACAAGAGAGCGATCTACTGTGCGTACCAGTAGTAGTACGGCAGCCAGATGCAGAACTAGCGCCGCAAATGCAGTCCGGTCTCTGGCACTGGGACGAGATAAGTCGACGTGCAGAGCAGCTGGCATTTGGTGGAGGGCTGTGGCTCGGGCGGCATATGTATGCTATGCACTTCGCTCATATCTCCCGGCAGGGGGGACGTCCAGGGTTGGTTAGTGATGACCGGGGAAGGGAAAAGCACAGGGCGCAAGGTGGACGGAGAGAGCAACGAAACACCGGCCATGGGTCAGGGTACCGGGGGGGGGGGGGGGGGGGGGGGGGGGGGGGGGGGGGGGGGGGGGGGGGGGGGGGGGTGGTCGTCCAGGAAGGAGGAAGAGGGCGGGCTCGGGGTGGGGACACCTGAGGTGGGTGCGTGAAGACAACCTACCTAGGGCCCGGGGTCAGGTTGTGGAGATGGGAATGGTTGAGGTGAGGTGCCGCCAATGGAGCTCTGGTGGATAAGGTAGTTACATAACCTAACTTGGGTGAGAAAGGTACGCCCCGGGTTGGAGCAATGAAGCGTCGCCTCACGGGAGCTGGAGGGACTGGCGCTTCAAAAGGGGAAAGTTGAGGCCACACTGGACGAGCACCCAGAAGGAGGAATGAGCAGTCTACACCACATACGGGAGGATGGAACAGAGGCAGGAACCGAGCAGTCCCTGCTCACTGCTAATTACTGCAGCGTTGCTGTGTGGCAGGAGCTCCCATGCTGCCGTTCTGCCTGCCTGCCTTGACAGTGAAAAACGTAACGCGAAGGAAGTGGTACGTACTGTACTACTTGGTATGTACAGTACAGTATTGTACCGTACCTCATGTACGTATTGTCATTTGCATTCTTTTTCTTGAAATACCTCCGTCAGATCAGTACAATACTGTATTGATAATGTAGCGGGGTGCGAGCAAAAAAGGAAAATCTCAGGCTTGGCTAACGCCGCTAGCACGCCTTTGGCGAAACGCGGTGGCTGACGGACAGCTTTTCCCCTTGGAGCTCAAGTCACAGTAGGTGCCACTAAGTACTCCCTAGAATTCCAGGTTACGATTCTACTCAAGAGAACGCAGGGACAGAACACCGATCTTCATCATGGCTGTCGTAGCGGTGGACGTCGCAAGGCTGATGTGAATGTGTCCTTGGAATTCCCATCTTTACGGGTGGGCTACCACTTGCCTGCCCTCCAACAACAGAAGAACGTTGGTATAGTGAGAAACATACGGTAGGCTGAGGAAAGAGGCGCCTCTCACCAGGTAGTTACTGTGTAAACCAAGAGAATCACCTCTCGGTACGGCAGAAACGGACAGTTGCAGAGTCGCCAAATCAGAAAGTGGCCCGAGAGCCGTTCCTCCCAGATCGGCAATGGCAAAGCAAATGCACTGTCTCTTCCCGGGAATCCGGCCAACCTTTCTGACAAACTTGGAAGTTACACACGTCCACAATAACCAAAGGGTAAGGTACCTCGCACAGCAACCTTGTCTCGCACGCATGCCATAGGTAACGTACCCGCGCAGTTTGCGAATCTCAGCCATCCTGATGAACAAGAGAGCCTGCCTAGGCTAAGTTCTGCACTTCGTACAGTCACAGTACAGTACAGTACAGGTACTGTACCTAACGACTCGACCGCACTTGCCCTGACGCTCGGGCAGGTCCGCGACGGGACCCCACATGGGTGTGTCTGGGCTCAAGCCTGGTCGCTTACTTGGCCCGCGATCCTCTGGGGAACAAGGAGCATCCATGGCGGGAAACCTCACAGGCCGAGAGACCGTTTCTACCTAGTCGTGATAAAGTAGCTAATCAATGCGATCGGCCGGGGCTATATTCGGTAATCCGTATGTACTCTATATCCGCAGAATTGGATGTGATAACGATGCGCAGAGATCAGGAAAAGACCATTGCCGTTGACTCCAGGCCACACCAGAGAGGAATATCTTCAGCGAGCTGCTCACGTTGGGAGTTCAGCCGTCGGCTGGCGTGCTTCTTGTCCGAGACAGCGGCGGGACTGTCCGGATCGATAACCGGTACATGCGCAGTGATACACTAACATTACCAACGTTACTAAGGTATCTCGGGTATGTACTGCAGAGTAGGGGGTTGCCTATCGAGGCCCCGCCTTGACGCTAATAAGGTATCTCAAGCCTTGACGACAGCTCCGGCGCATGCCATCCGACATCGCCGAACTACAAAACCGATCCGCCTTTTATAACCTCACTTGCATCGTATTTTTCTTTCAGCCTCATTCGACGATCAACTTGGCATAGCCTCGACCTGCAGCCTCTTTCGAGATGGCCAACTCGTACACACGAGCTTTCTTACGACATCCAGGATCCAGAGCGGCTGTGGACAATGCGAGGAGCTGCAAAGAAGATCTGTCATGCGTCATAAGCAAAGCACTGCTAGTACGGATGCCGGTAACCTGGCGGGATTGACACAGCTGACTATGCCTCCTGGCCGTCTGGCCGCTCCAACGACGGTCAACACAAGAGGTTCTCTGTTGAGATCACTTCCCCGACCGCAACAAAGGTTGCCGGGTTCCAGTGCGATCATCCAAGATATCTGGGTTACACTGCCATCGGTGGTTTTACTAGGGTTGCCACGAGGGTGTCCCTTTTCACGCAGCCTACTCTCTCACAAGAAGGGCTGCAGCAGCTGCGGGAATCGTGGTCGTCCAACGGCATAGGCGAAAGGCAGGACGAGACTGTCATTGGGTATAATATCCGGTTCCTGTTTTCCTTCATTGGGCGAAAAATGGTTTGTCCTCCCAAAGACCCAGGTCCAAGCGCGAGGCCGGCCGAGCTTCTCACTGGCTGATGGCTCGTTAATTCTTCGATGTCTCCGGAGTAGCCATCCACCAGCCAAGATGATGGCTCAATGGACACGATGCATCAACAGTAACCCTGGCTGCGTTCCACAAATCAACACGGGATCTATTAAAGCAACAACCTTGCATATGAACGGCACAGGCGGAGGAGTACGAGAAACCGCCGAGATCCCGACCTCCCCGTGGTGAGCGAGTGAGAAGGCCGTGAAGCAGCAGCTGCTCTCGACAAGAGAATCCACATGATCGGGTCATGTCTTTTATTTGCTGGTCAACAGTCTTGATCATCTGCAAAAAGAGCCAATTGACGGCAGCAGGATGCGAAAATACCTCTGCCAAAGGATCAATGGCTCCGTGGTAGCGAAAAAGCACCCGCGATCAGGGACCTTAGCTACCTAGCCCCGCAAAAGGCTACGTCCTGTGGTTGTCACGATCCACGGCCTGGGCAAGATCTTGGTCCACATTCGTAGCGAGGGCGTTTGCACGACGACGGACGGGGAGGACGGGAGGAGGGCAGAAAACGGAGAGGGGATCAGACAAGACGTAATTGTTCTCCTCTCTTGCCCCCACCAACAGGCCATTTTGAGCCCGCTGTTGCATCTTGCAGCCTCGATCCCGTTTTCGGAAACCCCCTGTTTTCCTTTCTGGGCGCACCGCGAGTAACGAGTGTGGGTTGCATCGTGCAAGGGGCAACACAGGCTGACCACAAGGAAGGAATACCGTTAATGCTCGAGGACTGCGCTGATCGTGTTGCATCTTCTTTCTGCCCATTGTTTCTCCCCCTTTTTGTCTACACACGTGTAGACTATAGCCGAGGAATGCAGCTTCCGGAGCTTCGTTGCCCTCATCTCCGGTCAAACTCCGATGGACAACTAAACCAACAGCCACCACACGAAGTCTACTCGGTATGCAACTAAAAGCTGATAACCGATACAATAAAAAGCATGGAACCAACGGGCAACGACGTCGTCGGCCGCACTGGCAACCTCCAACCTTGCAGGACTTGATGGTTGCTGTTGCAAGTGTTCTCTAACTTAGCTCAGAAGCTTGAGATCCATCTGTAAGCAAAGACGGGTGGGGGCTCGGCGGCAAAGGGAGACTTGGCGAAACGGACCAACTTGGTGATGACAAGCCCAGTGAAGGTGGGGTGGGATAGATGCCCGTAACGTTAGGTATAGCATGGCGGCGCAGCCTCCCTCTTCTAGCGATGAAGTAGGGTTAGCGTTGAAGTTACTAAGGAATTCCTCATCCAGCAAACCGTAGCTGCATCTTCATATTACGGAGTAGCAAGAGGTCAGGAAAATAGCGCGCTTTGCTCCGCTCCGCAGATCATTCATTCCTCCCGTCGCTTGAACCGGGTGCGACGCCGTCCCTTACACCTTCTTATCGCCGTTCGTACATACCTGTAATCAACGCTACATCGTTAATCAAGAGGAGGCTCACAGTCCAGGCTCTGTCTGGAGTTGGTTGGTGCAAGTTATTGCCGTCCCGTCGCGCAGCAGCAGTACCGCAGCATGCAGCCACGCAAGGGACCACCAGCGTGTGTTGGATGGGTGTTGATTGCATACATATTCCGTCCTACTGTAAAACTCAGTCGTGTATTTCTGGATGTTGGCCCCAAGATCAACTCCCGCTTGGCCCTAGCGTCATGCAGAGAACATAGGGATACTGTAGCTTGGGTACCTTACCTTACCTTACCTTACCGTTATCTGTCAAAGCAATCGAGAGGTTTAGGGCCAACTTTCTTCGTCTCAACTCTCTATGCTGCAGAGAGCAAGCTCAACAGGGCTGCAGGATGCAGAGTTCTGGCCCGCGACCCTCAAATAATGTTACCGAAATTCAGTTTATCGTATAACGTTACGCCCAAGCACGAGGTCTGTACGCAAGGCTGAGAACTTTGCTTCAAATCACTTGTATACTCGGTACTCGTGCAGGTAGTACACTAACTTGCCGGCCGCCTCCTTGCTGCCCTCCCATAGCCTTGTATCACATTTCACAAGCGCGCTGGGGGGCCATCATACATAACGCCCGGCCTACTGCGGAGGCCAACTTGAGCCCCGGGGCCGACGTGGGAGGAGTTAGGTATGTACAGAGTATGTATGTATGGAAAGCCGGCCAGGCCGAGCCAGACAGACCGGGTCGGATAGGGGAACTACATCACACCACACTATTTACCTTACACAAACGTCTTCTTTAAGCGCCTATCTAGTTACATGTTGCAATGCGGAAAAAAACCAACAATTCGGCCGACCCTTGCGGCTTTCCACAGCCTTACCACCAAGTTACACCAGCCTGCCGGCAGATGACTTGGGCCGACGCAGCGGCATGTAACGTCTTGGAATGGAGCGGCGTCTCCCTCACTCCTATGCAGCACATCTATGTAGGCAGTCCGTGTCGTTTGGCTCAGGCGTGCGAGGCTCTGAGGCGTCATCCCTAAGTTAGATGAAACAAACGAAGGCCAGCTGAGACAAGCAACCAGAGCTCGAATTACTCTGCTGCATACACACAGATACCCTGCGCAACAGGGAGCATCCACTAAACATACAGCTACATGGACACCACAGTACGAGGACATGTAAACACCATCCCTACTCTCCCGAGTGCTCCTTATAACCGCTGCTATGCCGAGCTCGGTATCTAGATGCCATGCTAAACTCCAAGGTGACAATCATGATCATCATCAAAACGTTCCATCACTTCTGGACAACGTCAACTCGTTCATAGTCTTCCTTCTGTTCCCCCTTTCTGGGAAGTGGCGGGGCTGTTCTCAATCGACTCCAAAGTCCATCCGGCTCGGGCGTTCATCACGGCAATGTTTCCCCTGATCGGTGTCAGTGAGGGAGACAATTTTTGCCCCTTGGCCATCAATGGCCGGTCTGGTCTCTGGAGTCGACTGGATGCCGCTGGGCCCGCTCATATCGCTCATGGCGCAGAGCGGCCTGGCGGGGCGTGGGCCGGGTCGGCTCGGCAGGTGTCGTGCAGCGAGTACTTCCCAACCTCACCAGCCAACTTGGCCTGCTTGTGAACCCGAATTTACCGCTTGACAATTGTGACTGAGGCAAGCGGGTCAGCATCCCGAGTTGCAGGGCTTCAATCACGGTACTTTGAGCAAGAGCCACTTACCTATGTCTTCATCGGCCAATTCATGAGAGAGCCCCACACGCTGCGGTTGGTGCTTGACCGACTTGCCGTAGACGATAGCAGTCTTGAACTGTTCAACAATACTCCGATGGATAGCATTACACTAGCCGTGGTTCATGCCCGTTAGCTGCTGGTTCCGCAGAAGCCATACCAAACTCGGCACTTACAAAATCTTCAACAGTGCACCTTGTCGAACGTAGCACGACCGGTGATTCATAATCCGGCATCTTGCCCTTGGGCTTGGTGTAAACACGCACCAAGTTCAGCTTCTCCCACCTACCCGCAAGTCAGATCTCGGCCAAGTCAAACGGAAACGCAGGGGAACCAAAACTAACATGGCCTCCATCAACTCATCAATGTTCCACCCGTGTTCCGAGCTGATGGGTACCGAGTTGGGGATACGATAGAGCAGATCAAGCTCCTCGATGCTGATGCTGTCAATCTTGTTGAGAACGTAAATGACGGGTATGTAGCTGCGGCTCTTCGCTTCCAGAACGTCAATCAAGTCATCGATGGTGGCATCGCACCGGATAGCGATATCCGCCGAACTAATCTTGTACCTGTGTTTCCATCCGCGTCAACAGCCGCTGCAGGCAAATAGGAGAAGGCCTGGGAGATACTCACTCGCTCATAACCGCCTTGATCTCATCATGGTCGATATGCGTCAACGGCACCGTGCTCGTGATATTCAATCCGCCCTTATCCTTCTTCCTGAAGGTGATGTTGGGCGGCTCCTTGTTGATCCTGATGCCAAACCCTTCCAACTCGGCCTCAATGATCCTCTTATCCGTCAGAGGCTTGTTGACGTCAAGCACGATGAAAATCAGGTGGCACGTTTTGGCCACGGCAATGACCTGCCTACCCCGACCCCTGCCGTCCTTGGCGCCCTCGATGATTCCCGGCAGGTCGATCATCTGCAGCGCCGCGCCGTTGTACTTGACCTGACCCGGCACGCTGGTCAGCGTGGTGAACTCGTAGGCCGCCGCCTCGGAGTGCTGGCCCGTCAGGCGCGACATGAGCGTCGACTTGCCGACCGAGGGGAAGCCGATGAAGCCGATACTCGCGACGCCCGTCCGGGCCACGTCGAAGCCCGCCCCGCCACCGCCGCCGCCGCCCGACGGCGTGAGAAGCTCGCGCTTCAACTTGGCGAGCTTGGCTTTAAGCTGGCCGAGATGGTACGAGGTGGCCTTGTTCTTTTGCGTTCGGGCCATCTGTTTGAACAGAAGGGCTGGTTAGATCCATGCTAACGAACGGGGAGTAGGGGCCGCTGGGGGAGGGGGATTGGCAGCTCGGCCAACGTACTTCGGCCTCGATTTCCTTGATCTGTTGAATGCGCGCAGATATGGTTAGTTAATGGGTCGTGGTCGCCTTGTCGAGATAGACGCACCTTGTCCACCGTGGTCGCCATGATTTCTACGTGTCAAGTGCTGCTTTGTGTCGTGCGTGGCCGATCTCTCCGATGTGAGATTCCAGTCTCGAGCAGTCTCGAGTTTGGTGCAAGCGGCAATGGTATCTAGCGGGCTTCGGCGATAGCGTTGAGCTGCTGTCGATGTCGGTGTCGATGTGGAAGTCGATGTGGGAATTTTGATGGTGGGGCAAAACTTGAAGTGGCGGCCGTGCCAAGACCCAATGTTAGGCGGACGGGCGAGTTTGGTGCTTCAGCCATTCTTTCTCAAAGTCACAGCGGGGGCAACACCCAAATCACTTGAGTCTGCGCCAACCCGACATTAAATACAGCGAACTCATCTCGGACTATAAGGGGCTCAACATGGATTTGTCTCGCAAGTCTGAATTGCCGTCATGACATTCGTTCACAATGTTCATGCAATGCCTCGTTGGTTATATACAGTACAGTTGGCGCTCTCGACCCTAAGCCGCCCACACGAACCCCAAACTCCTCCTCCCAACACCGGTTCCAATGGCCACCACTTAGCCCCACAGACTCGCCCTTCCAGGGGAACAAAACCCAAACATGCTGTGACATGAACACTGTGTGTACTCTTTACCCATGAAGCTACATCTACTGCAAAGCCGTCAAGGCAAGTCTCCGGAATGCGAGCGCTCATAGACGAAAAATTCAAGCCCCCTGGCGCCCGCTGTTCGCTTGTGACTCCATCTCTTTCTCTGATGCGTCGGCTGCGGATGGCGGCCCAATGCAGAGTCCCAGTTGATTTCTCGCAGGTTTAGATCGCAGAAGGCACCCCGATCTATCCATGTTTCCGGCCTTGCTCTTCGAAACAAATGAGAGATAGATTTTCTTGATTTTGGGAATGGCAACCATATTGTCTTTGACCGCAGTCAGACCCGTTGTTGCAGGGCCTAGCTAGTCACTGCTGCTATTGAGCGTGCCGTGGATCCCATTGACCAATGGTCGGGCCTGTGCCGGGCCTGACTCGGAAGAGGGTGAAATCGGCTGGTTGCTGGTTCCGTTGGTCATTGCTGTCGTATTTAGCCTTGGTGAGTCCGGACCGTCGGCCGCTGCCACTGCCATATGGGAGGAGACACTCGTGGGAGACGACCGCACGCCGTTTGGCACGACTTGCGACTCAGCATCGGTCACTCGGCCGTTGAGCCCCTGCTCCTTGCAGAGCCTGCCGTATGCCGGATTGTCCCGCGGGATCGCGACGAACCCACGACGCGGGACTCGTTGTCGGCGGAAAGGTGATGAACTGGCTTGCCTGAGACTGGGCTTGTCTTCTGATACCAGTTCGCCGTTAATGAAGTGCTTATTGCTTGGTGCAAACCCGTGGAGGTCGTTGACTTCTGGGTCGCTCTTCCACTTCTGGTGCGGTGTCCAGCTTATGGGCTGCACTCCGTCTTCCGGAAGCTCGCAGTATGCCATGGTGAGTTTCACGTGGCGGAGGTGATGCGTGGTTGGGACAAGGTCCATAAAATCGGAAGCCTAGAAGTCTGTCAGGACACACAGCATCAAGCACAGGTAGACTCATCTTACCCTGACAAAGAACATGTCCATCGCAGCAAACTTCTCCCACGCCTCTGCCCGGAGTCGCTCGAGCATTCGATAGCTCATCTGCCGCGGCTCGTTCCCTCCGTAGTATTCTGGGAGCTGCTCACCGAGCTCGTAGAGACTCGGGGTTGTCAGCGCATATCGGTCTGACTCTAGCCGCCAGATGACTCGCTTTGCAACAGCTGATGCGGGTTTGCGTGGCCAGAAAGTCGTGTCTGTTTCTCCATGTTAGCTTGGTTCGGGGCCTGAGCGCAGGCGAGGGAACACACATCGCGATAGGCTCAAATCCTTCTCTCCCAGGAGGAGGGCAACTTGCGTGTTGAGCAACCACTGCTCTCTGCCGGCCGGGGTGCCGGTCGCCTCTGGGCAGATGCAGTCATATCGAACTCCCTGCATCATGCTGAACTTTTCCGCCACCTCTGGGGTCTTTGGGTTGAGAGAGCCATCAAGCCAACGCAAGAGGGGAGGGAGTTTGGCCAGGCGAGCCCGTTCCTGCTCCAGACGAGTCCGCCGCATATCGGCCTCTCTGGCCGCACGTTCAGCCTCTCTGGCCGCTCGACGGCGCTCCATCTCCTCCCTAAGTGCGCGCTCTTTACGTTCCTGCTCCCTCCGCTCCTCCTCCTCGCGTTTCCGCCGTGCTTCTTCAGCGGCTTCACGCTCAAGGCGTTCCCGCTCAAGTCGTTCTTCCTCCTCTCGCTTCTTTCGTTCTTCCTCTTCTCGCCTCTTCCGCTCCTCCTCCTCCTTTCGCTTTCGCTCCTCCTCCTCTTTTCGCTTTCGCTCCTCTTCCTCTCTCCTCCTCTCCTCCTCTTCCACCCTCTTCTTCCTCTCCTCCTCCTGCAAACGACGCCGTTCCTCTTCCTCTCGTCGCCTCCGCTCTTCTTCCTCATCGCGTCGTTTCCGCTCTTCTTCCTCTCTCCGCTGTTGAGCCTCCTCTTCTTCCCGCCGAGCCTCCGCCTCTGCAAGTCGCTTAGCTTCTTCAAGCCGAAGACGCTCTTTTTCTTTCTGCTCTTTTTCTCGACGCAGCCTTTCTTCTTCTTTTCTCTTCGCCTCCTTCGCCTCGGCCTCGAGTTCAGCCCGCCTTCTTTTCTCCTCTTCCTCTTTCTCCTTTTGTGCAGAGGACCGAGAGTCTGAGGCATCCTTTGCAAGGGGAGCGGCATCGGGCATCTCGACATCCGGATCTTCGGACTTGACATGTATGCTGCTCTCCGAAGAGACGGATTTGCCTGATTCGCGGCGACCATGTTGTAGCGATTCTGCCTTCTTCAATTTTGGCATAGGTCTTCGCTCTTCGTCCTCTCTGGTCTTGGAAGGGAGCCTACTCCCCGTTGAGGCCGAGGGAGGCCTCGGGTCCCGAGGTGTGGGTGCTTTAAGAAGTCTGTCGTCGGATTGGCTAGACTTTGGCCGTCTTTCCTTACCGTCGGCATCCACGCGTCTTCTCTTGACTGAGATTTCGTTGCCGTCTTTGTCCATAGATGCAAGGTGAGGAGGAGTTTCGCTGGATCTGATCCGCTTGCCTGTACTCTCACCGGAAACAGATAGCCTGTCACGAGATTCGTCTCTCTTGAGAGCCTTCGTCCTGTCGTGATATTTCTCTGCCTTGTGCGTCTTCTCGGATTCCTCCCGAGGGCTGGATGGTTCCTTCAATGTAGAGGCATTAGAAGTCAGACTAGGACGCCGTTGCCTCTCCCGCTCTCCCTTTAACTCCCGGCCAGAAACGAGCTTCCGCCTTGGTTTGACCGCCTCCCCCTCGGAAGACGCCACAGCGAGATCGGACTCTGCGCGCTGTGCTTTTGCAATGGGCTTTGCAGCAGGTGATGCCTCGCGGTCAGAAATGGCGATGGCTGGAATACGGTCCTCTTTCTTGGGCCTGCCGGGACCTCGTTTTGGAGAAGTCTGGTCATCCGGGCGCGCCGCAAGTGAGCTTGACCGACGCTTTTCCTTGGGGCTGGCAGTTAGTTTCGACGAAGCCGGCTTTTTGCCTTCCCGCGTAGGGCTTGAAGCTTTCCTCTTTTGGGTCGTTGAGGGCTCATCCTTTGCATCAACTCGCCGCCTGGAATCGCGATCTTGGTCTCGTCTGCCGGGGGATCGGACTTTAAAGCTCTCTTTATGCGTCTTTTTATACTCGTTATATGCATCCTTGAGCATGTGCTCTTCGTCCATCCAATTCGGACCGCGCCGTCTTCTCGCAATCTCGTAGTAAGTTTCCCCTTTGAAACGCCGGGTAGGATCGAAGTCGTTTTGATCGAGAAGAAGTCTGATTACCTTGATGTTCTCTTGCCCGATAGCAGCTAACATTGGAGTGGAATACTCTCCATCCGAGATTGGGGAGGGATCGGGATTCGCTCTGCCTAGGGCGAGCAAGAGCTGCATGACGATATCGTGGCCTCCTCGGGCGGCCGCTACCATGGATTCCGGATCGTCAAAAGTCTCTCTGACTTGGAGAATGCGCGTAACAGTTTCCTCGTCACCACGGGCGGCCGCCTGACGGAGAGTTTTGTCGTCCATGGGCATGTACAGCAGATGATTGCTGGTTTTAGTGGCGCGCACTGTGCCCGCTCTCCGTCCGCCGCCGGCGTGGATGGAGCTCGACGCTCCTGGGGACCTCCGCGGACTCTCCGGCCCGTGAGAGGAACGAGCATCGGTGTGATCCAGGTGGTGCTCCTCGGAGGTTCGCCTTCGTTCGCCCATCTTCTGCTTGGCTTCCTGAAGAGCACGCTTAATCTCATCGGCATGATCCAGCTCCTCGTTCACCCGATCAATGGGTTCTTGGCCATATGCGTTTGCCTTTCGGGGGTTCACACCAGCGTTGAGCAGTATCTTGACGACTTCTAGGTGTCCGTTCTCTACCGCGTCGAGCAGAGGGGTGTCTTTGTCATGATTGACACAATCGAGATTGCAGCCAGCGTCCACAAGCAGTTTCACGATATCGTCAAACCCATTAAGAGCAGCGATCTGGAGAGGGGTGTTGCCGGCATAGTCGGCTACATTGATGTCTTCGGGACGTTCCTGCAGTCTCTGTTTCGCCGTCTCGTACTCTCCCTTGGCGCAGGCCCTTGCAAGGAACGTCTGGCCGTGTGCATCCAGATGCTTCTTGTGCGGTGCCATTTTCGCAGGGGAAATGGTGGATTCGGCGGTTGCAGGAGTCGCCAGTCCACGCAGCTTGGAACTGCGCGGGTATGGGCTGCCGCTGGCAGATGAGTCGTCAGACTGATAATCCATCGACTGGAGCGGTGCAGGCACCCGCTTCTTCTTCTGGCTGAGTCCATTGGAAGACTGCCCAGGCAGCTGCGTCGAGATGCTCCGCCGATGGGCCCGGGAGTGAGGGGAGGTAGACCCAGCTCGGGCCAGAGATGACGGCTCATGATGCGACTTCACCGGAAGGTGTTGTTTGCGAGACGCGTCCAGTCCAGAGCCCGACGTGCGCTGGCGCCGAACCTTGCGATTCTCTGCTTCATCCTCGGAGTCTGGCCGTGGCGCTTTGCGCTTATGAGGCACTACCTTGTCCACGGATTTAGCCTTTTCCTTAGTTGAGGATCGGCTGGAGTCTACATGGGCCGCTTCGGAATCCGAACGTGCGTTTGAGGGCCGGCGACGGCGCTGGGGCTGCGGTGGTGATGTCGGGGCGGAGCTGAGACCACTGGAGCCGTCCTTTATTTTTGACTTGTCGGAGTGCTTCTTCTTCTTGGCGAGAAGAGAAGCTGCTCCATCGTTTGAGACAGTGCCAGTGACCGGCGCTGACTTGTCCGGCCTCTCACTGCGGTCGGGTCTCTCGCTTTCGCGGTCCTGCTTCAGATTAGAGGCCTTGCGACCGAGCGATACTGAAGGGGTGTCTTCTGCATCGCTCTTGTCCTCGTGTTTGATGCCCTTGCGAACTTTGGAGGGTGAGTGGCCATCCTTGCCTGGCAGCACGATTGTCTCGGCATCGGAATTTCCGTCTGCGGTACCGTCGTCGTCGTTCGAGCGCGAAGCCGGTACACTTAGCCTGCCGTCCTTGAAAGCCGGCTCGAGTTTCAGGGCGCTCGATGACTTGGTTGCGGACGAAGGCCTGGGATGATCTGTGTCGCTGCCAGGCCGCTCGGGAGAAGCAGCAGGCTTCGTAAAGGCGGGCTCAGCAGCATTCTGCGCATCCATGTCATTTAATTCGGAGAAAAATGACCGTCCTGCACCATCCTGGTCGCTGCGGGAGGCCGAGAATTGTGAACGAGACGGAATGTGATTGTGTGCAGCGATGGAACAAGTCGAGGTAATAAGTTGTGCGCTTGACGAACCCGGATGTTCGAGGGGATTGAAGAAAGTCGTTTTAGCTGGAGAGAGCGAGCCTGGGCACAGACTCACTTACGCACAGCCGCCCCGGGGACAAGTTGGCAGGAAGAAGAGGGTGCGCAGCGGCGTGCCGTAGCAGGGCGGGGGAGAAAATAATAAAAAGAGGATGTTACACGAAAGACCGGACGAAAAGCCTGCAGACTGGTTCAAACGATATACTGATACAGGCTGCCGTTAGAGATGGCTGTGGGATTTGTGGAATGTTGGTTTGGCGACAGAGTGTGATTTTCGAGGAGCCGGGACAGGTCTTCGAGCCACAGGAAGAGGTGCATTTGTTGGCCAGGGCACCAGAGGAAGGCAGCCGTGGATAGGCGGGAACCTGGAGATTCCCAGATCAAAAGTCTGATCGCCACCTCGGTGATTGGCTGGGCAGTAAGAGTACGGTAGGCGACATGATTCCTCGGCGCAGTGCGTATTCCAGCGCGTTGGACCGGGGTGTGAGGTGGGTCTCAGAGCCTGGACTGCAGTGCAGGACCACTCCGTAAGAGGCCTAGCGAGCCTAACGTTAGGTAGGTGCGCATTCCGTCGCAACCAGCGGATGCAATTTCAAGAGAGCCTTCCCTTCACCCAAGGTAAAAAAGGCTCTCAAACCCGACTTGATGTGGTTCCCGACTTCGAAATTTAAGGTAGTTACCTGTTGCCATCCGCATCCGGAGCAAAATGCTTTCGTGATCCATTCTTTTCATTGCCAACCTCCCATTCAGTGCACTGTATGTCCTATACATACATACAGCAGCATCGTTTCCGTTCGGATCGTTTCCTTTCAGGTATTGTATGTACGTACAGTACATACCTTCGTTCGTGGTGGATTGTGGAATGGATGCTTGTTTGACAAGTCTGACTTCGACCTGCCGGCCATCGATGCCTACCTAGGTGTTTCACCAAAATCTCTAGCCCGAATGCAGTGGTCCTCCTCCTTTCTCCTATATAGGTGAGGTGCTTCCAGTTTCGAACCGACTAAAACAACGGCCTCAAATGCTAGGACAACGGCCTTGTCACCCACACTAAAGATTTGCAGAGAACTACAATTTCCCCATCGTACTCCATACAGTCAAACGCCATATTGCCCACTTAAACCACACACCTATGCAAAATGTTGGGTGCACAAAGGGAAGGGAGTATACTCTCTACCTGACATGACCCTATATACTTGAATTGCTAAGTTTTACTGGGTGCATTCATGCGTTTATCCTTTGATGTAGTTCACCGCGAAAATTTGGTGTGGGTGACATGATGGAGGCCGTCGTCCTAGCATTTGAGGCCGTCGTTTTAGTCGGGTCGTCCAGTTTGCTTCTTTGGCCGGCTTTCAGTTTCCTAGTGCAACTCTAATTAGTACTAATTAGGTACCCCAACAGAGCCTTGCCCCTCACCATTTCCTGGCATTGACCCTGGAGTGTGCAGAGGCCCCTGCAAAGGACCTGCCTGACTCACACTACACCAGGTTGATCGCAAACTTCCAGTTTGTTAACCACAGTCATCTCTGCTACAGCGTCGTTTGCGTCGCACTTCCAGCTGATAGGGGCAAGGTGCGGAATTACCGTCTCGATGGATTCATACCCTTCTCAGGTCAATCTCCCGGCGAAGCTGGAGGCCAGTAGGATAAATGCGCTACCACCCGCCGCCTATTATATCGCCGACTTCATCAGTGAAGATGAAGAGCAAGCAATCCTGCACAAGGTAGCTCGGCGCGCATCTCTTGGATTAGCCGCTGCATCTGACCCTGTATCGCAAAGGTAGAAACAGCACCCAAGGCGAGATGGAGGCAGCTTACGCATCGACGGCTCCAAACCTGGCCGTCGGATCTCGTCAAAGACACGTTACTCGATGCCCGGCCGCTACCCGACTGGTTAGAGCAGCCCGTTGTGCCGCGCTTGCTCTCAATCCCGCTATCTGATAACGAGCCGAATCTCTTTGCCACGAGCCCCCATGGTCGACCGAACCACGTCCTTATCAACGAGTATCCCCCAAGCACAGGTATCATGCCGCACAAGGACGGCGGCGCGTACCATCCCGTCGTCTGCACAGTGAGCCTCGGCTCCAGCTTGTGCCTCAATCTTTACAAGAGCAAGGAGGATGGCGCGCTAGACCCGGAGCCTGTATGGAGAATTCTGCAAGAACCGCGCAGTCTCTTGGTTACGACTGCCGAACTCTATTCTGAGTATCTCCACGGCATAGAGCCGATCTCAGCCGACGTAAACATCTCGGAGCAGACCATCGCTAACTGGAGCCTGCTGCGCTCGCCGTCGCTCTACCGAGATGGGCTCAACCAGCGAAAGACGCGCATCAGCCTGACATATCGCGACGTTCTGAAGGTCTCGAAACTGGGAAGCAAGCTTGGGCCCATGTTCAAGCTGCCGTGAGTCGGGTCCGGTTGACGCATCGGAAAGCGCTCAGAAAATGAAAGGAATCATGTTCCACTTCTTCGCAACGGACCCGACCCCGAACTTATCGGCATACCACTTGCGGGTTCCCGATGCCGTAACTCCGAGATTGACTATGACGAAAACCAAGGCACACAGGAGCGTCCTGTTGCACCAGGCGCCGCGTGGAGCCGCGGCGATGGTCATCGAGAGGTATAGGAGGCACTCGCAGGTATAATGCGCGCAGATGAAGTGGCGAAACAGGCCTGCTTCCGGTAATGAATATTTCTTCAACCCAGCAAGGTGTTTGTGACACCTGTACTGGTTGATCCAGGCGTACAGAAAAACCGGCAACGCGACCATCGTTTTCCACAGAGCCCCCATTTTGTCGTTGTTAGCGGTTGTGACCTCCATGGTTGCCGCTGCACCGTGGTCAGCGATATGATCTCATGGTGTACCACGCAGATGGAAACCCTACCCGATCCTTCGACCCATATGGATACCCCAATGAAGAGGTAGAAAAGGAGGCCGAGAAGCCAGTGAACAACCCACATGGTAGATTTGGATGACTGCAGGATGAATGCATGCTCGAAGACACGTCTGGCGCCTTGGAGGAACAGCATAAGCCAACTCACCCCAACCTGCTCCAGGGTAGCCGATGGCTCCCCCGAAGCTGCCTGGCTGGAGGCAATCAGACGCCATATGGACCCGCCGGTAAGGTATTGCACAAGCCAGAAGACAGAAGACGCCACAGACACCACATAGAAGGCGTTGAACCAGGAATGTGGTACTTGTGTCGAGGATGTGAGCGTAGCGGTGAGCGAGAGCAGTCGGCCCTGGCGTAAACGGTGAGCAGGTGGAGGCCTGCCGTCAGCTGGATATTTCTGGGCTTTGCGGGCGCCATAATCAACCAGCAGCGTCTTTGCATCACAGGGCATTGCTGCCACTGCTCCTACGCCTCCAGCCGCTAGGAGGAAGAAGGCCTGGCACCATTGGGCTGGGCTGACTCCAGAAAGAATTACAAGGAAACCCTGCAGCAGCTCATGGCGTCCCATCCTCTCGTTGCTCTGTCGGGGTTGTTAGGTGGCCGGGAGCACAGATCTCGGGTGGTTGATATCGCAGCGACTGTGATGTATACTGACCTCCAAGCTCGTCGCCAATAATAGGTATTTATTTTATTTTCGGGCTCAATTTCTTCCGCGCCGCGTCCTTCCACCTAGGCACCTGGTCGACGTTCAGGTGTCAGGTGTCTCAGGCACACAACCTGCGAGACTCCGAGAAAAGAGACGAACGAACTGTGCCAATTCGCGCTCTCACTCGCTGCTCCCACCTGTTTCCCTAGTAACAGCGCAGAAAGTTGCTATATATATTCTCACTCTGAAAGTGATACTCGTTCCCCGTTTTACTCGGCGCATACAGCACTAATCGCCCTTGCTAGTAAACGTCTTCCGCAGGACCCCGCTCTTGCTATTTTCCCCTTCCTGGTTACAATGGCTCTGATGGCCAAGTAGTACGGAGTAGCGACTGGGGATTTTCTTCAGACGCAGAATAGGGTCCAGATCTTAGCTTGCCCGCATCATCATCATTCTTCACAACACTGACTGCCACCCTATCCAAACTATCAGCTGGAGTTTCAAACCGTCAATACTAACAAGTGCTGTTGCCATCCTCTCTTGCTTCCCACAGTTCGAGCTGCCAAGGGCTTTTGCTGCTTCAGCCGCCTCTGTGGCGGGACACGGCGAAGAAGGCCACAGCTACTGATTGATGCCAATGTCGGCATCTACGGCAAGATCCCGGCGTTGGACATGACGATTGCAGATAAGCGTATAGGGACCATTTCCCTTCCACGAGACGACTGCTCGGCGCTTCGTTGAGCTAGGTCTGTGCAATGGACTCTGGCGTCAGCCAAAAGATCAGCACCGGGTAGAGGTAGTGTGCTGTGGCTGGCTGGTCAAGGAGGGAAAAGGGGCATTTGTGCTGTCGCCGGGCTTCAAGGCGCTTGCGGAAACGATGCCCTATGAAGGCCAATCGTGGTGGATTTGCTGCTGTTCCCCGATACAGAGCTGGCGTCTGGAAGGAGCGGTAGTGTGATGCTGAAGGTAGATAGCCAGGCGTTTCCTCGCCCCGGAGATTGTCCTGGTGGGCCATGGACTGAGTGCCGGTGGAGTGAACCGGCATATAGCTTTCAAAGACCGCCTGACTTCTTGAGGCGTCCTGCTGGGTATGTGCCTCTTTGGTTTTGGGTCTCTCCGTTTCGGTGAGATGGTGCTTCAATAGGACGGCGTTGAAGGGCGTGCCTTGCGCATACAAGGAGTTGAATATTGGCGACCTAGCCGCCAATGGCTTCTAATTCTCTCCACGATGATGGTCAAGCATGTCCTCCATCATGTGGTGAAGAGCAGTTGACACTACCCATACTGATACCGCTGGTCCTACTTTTCCGAAGCCTACCTTAAGCCACATGCCACGTCCCCTAATTATCCCATCAGTCAGCATATCGGGTCCCCTCCTAGCCTGAGCATACCTTCCTGGCCAAGTTCAGCCTCTGAGCCAACCATATCTGACTTAAGCCATCACGAATATCCAAGCTGCAAGTGCTCGGTGGCTGGGACGGCCTGCCGTAGCAAACAGGGCAGCCCAGCCCTGCCCGCCGCTACCGCACTGAGACAGCTTAGCGTCTCGCTATCGGCACCCTCAGACTGCCTGGGTTCTCTTGTTGTCATATTTCGAGGCAAGACCAAGCATCTCAGGGGTTGTAAGAACTATGTCGGCCCATAGATATATGCTGCTAGAAACCACTACGCATGTCGGAGGAGCTATCAGTATTCCGCGACATACGTCCTCAGAGCGATGATCAAGCTGGATATCACAAGAGACATTGCCGGCTAACCACGCCAGGGGATGCATCATTAAACTGCGGTCAAAAGGAAATCGCCTGGGGTGGCGTCTCTTCAGCTGGGGAGTTTCCGGTGTATACTACAAGGTGACTTTAAGGGCATTTACACATCTATTTCAGGGCAGCCTGCAAACTCTCCAGGACCTGACCGCTGTTAGCCGTTGCAGGGATATATTATAATGCCAAACTCACCTCCAACTCGATCTTGGCCTCGGCAATGTCCTGCTCGCTGCCATTGCCGTTGGCAACCTTCTGGGCCTCGGCAATCTGCGCCCGGACGGCATCTATGCTGAAATCCTCCAGAGGGAAACCTTCAACCGCATTGATGCTCAGGGCCGACTTGGGCTGAACAACGGCAAAGCCCCCAGAAACTGCAAGCCGTTGGGCATTAGCTACAAATCTCTTTCCAAAGCTCGGTGCTCCACATCCGGGACTTACGGAAGAACCGCTTGGTGCTGCCGTTCTCCTCCATGATCTCGACCACACCGGGCTTCAGCTGCTCGATCGACGGGACGTGGTTGGCAAGGACACCCATTTCGCCAGACTCAGCAGGGATGTTGACCTGAACGGCATCGTGGGACCTGTAGATCGACTAGACGCGGCAGTAAAACAGTTAGCTTTCCCGAGCCTGGCCTTCGTCGTGTGGGTAGCTTTTTGGTTTTCGTGTCTCGGCCGCGGCAAGTCATCGAAGCAATACTGTATGGTTCACTGCAGATATTGATGCGCCGTACCTGGTGGGGAAGGGATAAGCTGAGCTTGATCTGCTTGCAATGTTAGCTGAGTGTGAAGCTGTTCGCTGTTTGCGGCAAAGAATCGCACCTTGTCCGAGACAGCCTCGGCATAGCCTCTGCGCTGGACAGTGGCGCACAGGGTAGCAGGGCGCGCCCGAAGAGCCGCACGGGCAATGCGGAGGGAATTCATGGTGGTCGCGATCTCAATTGAGTGCAATGCGTCAGCGAGGCTACTCTTCGTCGCCGTCGAAGCAGATTCGGCCGCACGCCCAAAGTCGCTTAGCCGTGGTGGATTGCCAAGGATGGCGGAAGAATGTTTGTGCGGTGGTCATGAACATGGCCAATCAGGTGTAGAGGCCTGAATCTTACATCTTGGCAGCGAATCAAACCACATACCGGTAATTTACTGTAAGCTGCTTTACAAGGATACTGTACGTTAGTCACAAATGTTACCTGGAGGTTTTCCTTTCTCAATACCCCGTACTCCGTACTGGTAATTATCACCGTTACATTAACGCTAGAAGTCCCCTATAAATTTCTACGTTTTGTTGGATAGGAATCAGAAGTGGGGAGTTGACCTTCCCAGCTATCCTTGCGAAGCCAGAGGTCAGAAACTCCCACCAGCTTCACCGCGCTCCCTGAAGCCGCTGTAATCCGCAGCTTGCTCATGATGCATAGCGCAGCTCATCAATGGCTGGCTTAAATCCCTCGTCCAAGGGAGGCTTGCAGACCGCTTCTAAGGATGCTTGTCTGGGCCAAGCCCAGGCCTGGTCTTAACGAGACCCTTCGCTATTCGATTGCTTGTTATTGGCTGAATATACAGGAAGCTTCGAGGTCGGTCTTTTGAAGATCACGAATCACTAACATCGCCTCTGGTTCACGAGTTCTCGGTTTCAGGGTACAAAATTGCGGACGTCCATGATGCGATGCATCGCATCACCTGGCAGGCCTTAGGATACGGCAGTTACTGTACCCTAGCGTTTAGGGTCAATGTCATGGCTGGCTGGCTGGCTGGCGGCTTCGGCTTCCGGTCTTAGGATCATAGGCGCTCCTGGGTCAAATGGCGCAAGCCCGTTTGCGCGGGCTAAGAGATGCGAATCGCATATCCCACGTGCCAATGCATCCGAAACGGCGACCGTCTCCCGGCCATGGAAGCATTTGAAGGGTGTCATGGCCCCCCTAGCTTGTGCATACATTAGATCTCTGAGGAAACTTTCAAGCTAACATTAGTAGGGATTGTGAAATCATAGGTAATCGTCGAGGCACTGCATCCAACAGGCAATCTCGGCATTTTGCCCACCTCCGCTAATCGGCCAAAGAGTCAGAACTCATGAGCGTCCTGGACTCCTGGACTGCCGGCTACACCCAGGAAAGAAGTCCCCATAGGCCGACGCCATAGTGTGCTTCGTACCGTATCATAGTCACTTTTGAACCTTCGCTTTCACCTTCGAACCACATCCGATCGCCAGCGATCGGCACTTGGCTTACAAAGAAACTCGGATCCTCAGAGCGACTCATCGATCCCGTCTGGTAACGCTGCGGCGGCCTGCCCCGTGGGTGTAGAAACCCCCGCACTCTTGGATGCTTGAACTGCGGGGTCATCTTGTCTGTTTCAATGCCTTGAGGGGCTTGTCTATGTTTCAATGCCATGCCTACCATAAATCGGCTTGATATTGTCCAGGGCAAAAGCTTGTTGGATGAGATGTGTACGGGTCCTCTTTGTGGCCGCTGGGACTTGCTGATACGCATCAAAACACGAAGTGACGAGAGACCACTCAATAAGCCTGCGCCATGTCGGACCCTTTGGGCTCAATCCACTTGACTCATTCCCGAGTAGCGCATATATGAACCATGCGCAACTAGCAGGTTCTGGCCAGACTCGAGCCAGACGATCAGCATTCAAAGAGGCAGTGAGGAGTGGCAAGTCTTCGAATGCGACGATTCTGACTAAAGACCACTACGAATGAAATGCGCTGAGCTCCAGTGGCTAATAAGATGTGCAGCTGCTGAACCGCACTCAAGCCGCAGTCTCTTCTCAACCGGTGGAAACATTTCAAGGATTTTTAGGTGGACTCTGTGGAGCAGCGAGAGGTAACAAATAAAGACGAATCAGATCCTCAGGACAAATTCGATATGACCGGACATCCATAGGTGGTGGGTGGGGTCCTCTCGAAATGGCGCTTTCCATCCGGTCTTCTCTCGCTCGTCTTTCACAGGTCGTGCGCCCGTAATTATGTGAGGTGAGCGCTTTGCCTCAACAGCACCGTTGCATGCAGCCAGGTAGCTGGTAGATAGCCACCGACAATTCTCTGATCCATATGTTATGGTATGCAACGCAGCAGATATGCACACACTGCCGCTCCTTACTGGCCGGGGAAAGAAGCAGTAGGATCCCCTACTCTCACAACCTGGGAGATAATGTTCGCTGCAGTCTGATCCATAGACAGGCTCCATACCACTCGACAGTTGGATTGCAAGCCGCCTGCAAGTCAGACGCTCCATCTGTCTGTCTCGCCTGGCCTGCAGGCTGCAGGGAACTCCATCTGAACAAGGAGCTTACGCATTAATATACAGTAGTGCAAGTACAATACCCATTGTAGATACACTCAGGTATGCACACTGAATACGGTGAAGCATCTTGACGCCCTCGGTGTGAAACAACTTCGTCTGCAAGTGTTCCAAGAGCACTTCAAACCTAGCAACCAATCATAAACATCCATAGATACTCAAGTAGGAGATATCAAAGCCATGCGGTACAGTACAAAATATTGAGAAGCGGTGGACATTTGACCACACTGCACCAAGATACAGGTATGGTATGTACTGTACCTGAGGTATGTATGTAATTTTTGTACTGTCCACATGTGGAGTGTCTCTGAGAATCACTGGAACGTCTGGAAACCATTGGGCCTCATGCTGCTGCGATAGAAGGGGTTGGCTACCTATCCCTTTTCAAGGAAACAGCGGTATGTATGTAGGTCCCTTCCTTGTCAATGTAAACACAGAGGAAAAGAGGAACGCGTTCGGCCCATTACCTTTAGGTTGCATCATCGCGGCATGCGCTGGACTGGACATCCGCGCTGTCTAGTAGGGCCAATAGGTATTGCTGGTTTCACTGCGCAGTAGTTTACACAGTTGGCTACACAAAGTTCGAGTCCTGCTGCAAAGTTCATTTGCATGCATGGTATGAACGTCATGTATGGAGAGTTCTAGAGTCGTCTTGTGAAGTTATACTAGCGGAGTTGGCTCGCTAACGCTCGCCCGTTGATTTTTCAAGCAAACCACCGCCGACTATACTATACTATACCCTTCGTCCTACAACTACTACAAATAGCCGATTTTACAGTAACATTTACCGTTCGAATATTCAATGCTTACCGTTCAGGATATCCAATGCTTACCGTTCAAGATATCCACTTACCGTTCAGGATATCCAGCGCTTACCGTTCAGGATATCCAACGCTTACCGTTCAGGATCAGAGGTTCTGCTAAGTCTTCTTTTAACCAATCAACATCTTTGAAATACACTAACAGCGACAGGGTACATAAGCGTTGGAGGTTTTGCAGGGAAATGGGCTTATTCTTTAAGAAATTGTTAAGATGGTCCGTGTTCTACAGCCAATTGACGGGTGTTTAGCTTAACAAAATAACCGGGTTTTTGAAAGCCAGCGGTAGTTAAACGTTCTGCTATGCTTTGCTTGCCATTGAGCAGTTGGGAAGATGGAGGGTCCAACGCCGCACCGAGGCCAGTAAAACGACGGTCTCAATCCTGTAAACGACTGTTGCACGGACTACTTTCCACACATTCTGCTCACGCCAAGCCATTTGTTTTACACCCGCTTTTGTACTCGGAAGTCGGCACCAACTTCAAGATAATATAGCAGACCCGCATGTACTGCAAAGAAAATGAATTAAGCTTGTATACTAAGGCCTAGAAAAGGCGACTTTGAGCTAAGTAGCTTAGATCGAAATAGAGTTGAATTTGATGTAAAAAGACACTTGTGGCGTGTAGGAGTTGACACAGTCGTTTTACAGGATTGAGGCCGTCGTTTTACTGGTCTCGCGCCGCACCGTTTTCGAGTGAACATCTGTTCCGTTCTAGCGTTAAGGTACTGTGTAGTGCAACCACCATTAATCCCCTATTTTCCTCCACGAAACCTCGAAGTGGGGTTCTAGGTACCTGATGTCCGTAGATCAGTTCTACATTATTGGATCGACGGGACAACAAACGTAAACTTGAATGTAAGTTAAATACAATACATCCATGCTTATGCCTCACATTGCTAGCATGAAAGGGCCTTTGTGAGATGTAGCGGAGGCTGCTAGGCAATTGGTGCAGGTGGTTTCTTTGTTCTAGCGGTGGGTGGTTAGTGGTTACCTCAGCGCTAAGGTAACACCACGAACCTGCCCAGGCGGGCTCCCCTCTTACAGTACAACCCTGGTTTGTTTGTTAGCGCGGGACTCATGACAGCGGTCCTGGTCCTAAGATCAAGAAAGATGCATCTCAACAGCCATAGGGAATGATTCAACACGAAAAAATAGAGCACCTTAGCAATGCTTAGGATGGCCGTCTTACTCGCGCGTTTTCCCCGTTGAGAAAATGGCTGTTTTGCTGTCGAGATCGAGACCTTGGGGTTGACCCTTCACTTCAAGTCAGGCGCTAACGAACAAACCAGGGGGGTATTGTAGAACTGGAACGGCCCACCGCCGATTACTGCAGCTCCACTGTCGAAGGGTTTTATTTCCGCCGTTTTGCCCCGTCAATAATTCGCCATCGGCCAGGGCAGCCAAGGCCAGCCAAGTTTAGTGTCCGTTGACCCTGACTCCCTCTCTTTTTTTGTAGAGCCAGGTTGCACCTGTGGTCCTATCCCGCTCCGAACCCTGTTCTTTCTTCCTGCATCTCACAGACTGTTAGACAACCTCATCGTGCTCTGAGTACTCCGCTGGTCTAAAAACCTGATAGTTCATTTCTCCATATTTTCCACGACATCCTGCCGAGCACACCATTTTGTGCTGCATTTTCTTCCCAGTAACGCTTTTGACCCATCACACCTCGTTTCCTCACTCCCGACGTCATCCCTCCATCTGCCATAGGCCGACTTCACTCCGACCTTCTCGAAGCCTCGTAGGTCGACGGCCACAGGCCGTACCTGGACGAAACCACCACCAAACACACTCTCCTTGAGACTCACTCTCTCCTGCCGACAATGGCGTTGCGGTTATAGCAATACGGTCCCTAGGGACACGCCACCTAGTTTGACAGGTGCAAGCTCTTAAGGTCCAAACCAGATCCACTGCCCCCTTCAAGGGCTGTCTTTTCTGGACGGACACTCTCCGGCCATCAGCCCATCACGATCTTTGTCTTAGTAGAAAAACCCCTCTTTGAGGGCGCCGCAACATCGCCGTCCATCTCAAGGGCGACTGTTGACTGGACTATTTGTCAGCCGGCCGCTGCACGCGTCGGCTGTCCGGCAAGATGGAGAACCAAGCACCTCGAGACCACGCAACGTCAAACGTACTGGCGTGGACTGCCACACATTCCGCAAATGTGGAGCCGTCAGTGGAGGAGGATGCGGGTGCTGACGCCGACGAGCCACCGGATAATATAGCATCCACGTCCATATCGAAACACTTTCAGCGCACGCCTATCCGCCGAAGCAGCGAGCAACACGAGTCTCTCTTGACCAAAGCTCTACAAGTTCAGTCGGATGACGAAGCCAACGATTCGGGATCTGTCCGCCGCCCTACGCGACGACGCTCTATCACAAGCACCACCAGTCTGGCTTCGACTGTTGAACTTACTTGCGGCACTGGCATCACTACGCCTGCTCGCACAAGCTCTCCGAGTCCACGACTATGCAGCACCGGGTTCATTCCCCTTGATGCTGCCACGGTCGGCGGAGCCAAGGATCCCGCGGTCCATGCTTTGGAGAAGAAGCGCTGCATTTCCTTCGCTTGTGCTGCGAAGCCGAGCTCTAACGACAAGCCATCAAAGGGACCGGTCTTCAAGGCTGTACGGGATAATGTGGGAATGGAAGAAACGCCGAAGAAGATATGTATCAAGTTTGCTTGTCCGCCACAACCTACCAGAGTGACGGACACACAGAAACGGGAGCTCCCTAGGCCGCTGACACCAGTCCCGAGGTTTTTGCCGAGCACCCCAAAGGGCTCACCTGCCCTTGAGAAACGGCGGTCTTCGTCAACCGTCCGTGCTCTTCGCACGTTGACCCCTCGAAAGTCACCCAGCAGCCCGGTCACGACTCGGAAGAAGTGGATAACGGCAGAGCCCCATGATCTGAAGAGTGAGTGCGTGCGGTTCCACGAGTTTGCAAGCGACGAACCACAGGAAGACGACTGGATACGGCGTGATGATACATGCCCGAAGCCCAAACTCACAATCAATGATACGCTCAAGAAGGAGAACGCCATTCGGAAGCTGGGTAAGGAAGCTGAGGAAGAGGCAGATTTCGAGGAAGAAGTTGAGGATGAGGAGGGAGAGGAGGAGGTGGAAGAAGAATACCTGATTGACGATGAAGACGCTGACGACGCCGATGATGACGACTTGGATGCCGACGATGGGGGTGATTCCGATGACGCTGCCGATGGCGAGGAGACCGTGGAGGGCTTAACCGACGATGCCGATACTGAGGAGAGATGGGACGAGGGAGCTTCTGATGGATACAAGACGGATAATGAAACTGGATTCGCCGAGTCCGACGATGAGGACGACGGCTTGGTATTGTGGACGGCCCGTGTCGGTTACTACCAGTCGCTGTCCGGTGCGGCATCCGGCTCTCGCAAGTTGTCGCCAGGCGAGAATTCGGATTCCTCTGCTTACTCTAACCGAGATGCCGGCCGCTCCCGCAGGAAGAAGCGCTCGAGAACCCCTGCCATAGATTTCCGACCACCTACTCCCGAGCTGCCCGATAGCACTGATTTTGTCTGCGGCACCTTGGACGAGGACAAGCCCTTGGAAGAGGCATACATCTCGTGCGTTGAGGCCCGGAAGCGAGACAATCAGCTGCTCATCCCCCAGGATATCGATCCCAGCTTTCCTACATCCGAACCAGAAGAAGAGGCCGAAGAGCTGTACCGGAAGGGCTACGCCGAGAGCGAAGATAATCTCTGGCTTCACGGCGAGCTTGAGGATCTTCATCACGAGCGTGATCGCAGGGGCCGCAAGAAGGGAAATGTGCCGTCTCCAAAGCGATGCCGTTCGCCACCTCCGAAGCGGCGCCCCTCGCCTGCGCCGAAAGTGCGGGGTCGCTCCCCTCGGAAGCTTCTTGATCAGCATTCCCCCCGCAGGCTGCGGTCTCCAGCACCACTTACCATGGGATCTAAGTCCCCTGTCGCCTCGCCAATGCAAGAAAGCGAGGGCATCGCTTTCAAATGCCTGGGGTTCCAGCCTGACTTGACTCAAACAAAGTCACTGCCTAGAGCGCCCGGCATGTTTCCGCATCTCAAGGCGCGTAAACCGAGGACGGGCGTTACCAGCAAGGAGACGCACATCAGAGGTGCGATTGACATCGTCAAGGGGCTCGAACAGAAACGCCAGCGACGCAAGGAAAAGTTCTATCAAAAGTACTACAACCGCGCGCGCAAGGAAAAGGCGCAGGTCAGACGCCCACCTCCCGGGCAAGGCGCAGAGCGCATGAGGGAGTTGGGCTTGTTCATGGCAGGCAAGGCCGGCGGCCATGGTAATTATGTACTCTCCATCTAAGACGGACGGGGGCTTTTCTGATTGGCATTTTCACCATGCGCGGGCATACCCGGAGATACACTATGGGTTTTGGAGCGATGGCATTTGATGACTTTGCTGATTATAGCCTGGGCGGGTACGCTCGTTCCTTCGCTTTACGGCCATGGCGCACTTTGGTTATGTTTGGTGCTTTATTGTTTGTTTGTAATTACTTGGTGTTAGACCAGGGAGGTTGCGCTGGAATTCTGTCAACGGTGCGTCGGGGAGCGCCGAGTCTAAAGTTCGCCGTACATATTGTATTCTCAATCGTTTTACTTTTCCATGCCTCGAGTTCCTCCTGTCTTTGGCCCTGTCAGGCGGGTTTTTTGAAAGAATGCCTACGCAGCAAAACAGAACAGACTCGTTTCCCCCACAGTTGTGAGTCGACGACACGGTGGTCAGGGGCTATTATTTGATTATTGCATTGCCTACAAACGCTGGTCGGACTAACAACCAAGGTAGGTATGTAATGAAAGACTAGAGAGCAGCTTGGTAGCACCGTCTCTTGCTCGAATGCCTGGATGCGACTAATACTTTGGAACCCCCGTGTTGAGCAACGGAGAGGTAAGGGGTTGACGTTGGATGAATTGAGCCTGAGAAGTAAGGTGTCAACTTTTGGTAAAGTTTGTCTGCCATCGGAGCTTGCCGCTGATGGTGGCCCTTGCGTTGTGCATGCTGGCCAATTCCTGCCAGCTATTTGGGATTCGGGGATCGACCGATTGCGATTCCCACTGCCCTTTCTCACCTGTCGTCATATCAGCACCGCCAACTCATCGAAAAGAAAGACCCTTCTATTGCTGCTCGTTTGGAACTCGGTGTGTCAAACCACCTGGTGCAGGAAATATTTTTTTTCCCGTTTTCTGGGCCACAAGCTTTATTAACAGGAGCGAGAGAGGGAAAGAGGGCGAGAGGGAAACGTGAGCTGACCATCCGCCGCCGGACGCCGAATTCAAGCAAAATCAAGACAAGATGTGGATTATCAACTGGTGTATGTTCCCTCACCGTTGTCTTTTCAATGCCGTGGATTCGAATTTGATTTCCTTGACCTGTTGGACGATGGCACGAGTTCCGGAGTGCCTCGGAAAGCGGCCGCGGCAACGAGGGAGGAGTTGGGAATCGACTGATGCTGACGCTGCATGTGTTTTATAGTCTACGACGTGCTGGCGTCTCTCGGCCTGCTGAACAAGCATGCCAAGCTGCTTTTCCTGGGTCTCGACAACGCTGGAAAGACGACGCTGCTACACATGCTCAAGAATGACCGAGTTGCGATCCTGCAGCCAACACTGCATCCGAGTGCGTTTGGCCCTTGTCATGTACTACATATGACAGATATGGACAGGGAATTGCTAACGGTTGCTGCGCCGTCGTAGCTTCGGAAGAGCTGGCGATTGGCAATGTGAGGTTTACTACTTTTGATCTGGGCGGTCATCAACAAGGTACGTTGCTGAATTCCTTTTGCGTTCACTGGGAAGTCATGTTATATTGTCTAGAGAGCTAATTAAGATATGTTTGTACCCTACCGCAGCCCGCCGTCTCTGGAAAGACTACTTCCCCGAAGTCAACGGCGTTGTCTTCCTGGTCGACGCCAAGGACTACGAGCGATTTGCCGAGGCAAAGGCCGAGCTTGATGCGCTGTTGTCGATGGAGGAGCTGGCCAAGGTACCGTTCGTCATCCTCGGCAACAAGATCGACCACCCGGATGCCGTGTCGGAGGACGAGCTCCGCCACCAGCTTGGCATGTATCAGACCACGGGCAAGGGCAAGGTGCCACTCGAGGGAATCCGGCCCATTGAGGTTTTCATGTGCTCGGTGGTCATGAGGCAGGGGTATGGTGACGCTATCCGGTGGCTGTCCCAGTACGTGTAGGATCTTGATGGTGGTTCTGGAGGCGTTAACGGAGAGGGGATGGACGGTTGAGAGAGGGTGTGGGGCCTAAACATAGGAGCAAGACTTGGGCAATGCGTCTTGGCTGTTGATGGGGCAGGCCTGCAAATTGGAGCACGCTGCTTGATCAGGCGGATTGGAAGTGACTGGGACTACAACATGGCAACTCAGTCTGTTCTACGATATGATACGACTCGGCAATTATACCTTTAGTGTTTTCTGATTACGGGGGACATTAACATTGGGTGTGTCTGTGCCATTTGTCCATTCACCGCGGAGGGATGAAGGCACACTCGCCTTGCACTATTGCGTCTAGGGAACTTCCATCCTTCGCTGTGGGAGACACCATAAACGCACCCGAGGCATAACTGAGATACGGAGTAGGCTATGGGAGTAGTCCTGAGTCCTGACAGGCCACGTATGTACAATCTGTATATGTTCTTGCGCACCTAGCCTGCGCAGTGACGTAGATGAAACTCACATCACATGCGGGTTTCTAGGTCGTCCAGATGTGTTGCACACTGTAATTACTGGGCGTAAGGATTACTGGCAGGAGTTGGAGGCTCGTAATGTACATACACTGATTGTGATTAAGGTCTTAGTAGCCTAGGCAGGTACCTCAGGCACCATAGCGTACCTTAGTGTAAGCATCTCGGGATCCACACACTTGTGTGTGGTGGCTCGGGTGGAAGGGTGGAATGACCGACCGACGTCATTCCGTCGGAAAGCAACCATCCAACTTCAACATTCCATCCACACCATCTTCTGGAAACACACCACGGGCCCAAAGTGGCCCTGGAAAGGCACCCGTCGTTACCTGAAGCCCCTTTGCCGAGGCTATTTTTCATTCTGTTATAAACTTTGATCCCATATTTTGCCTGGAAACTGTGAGGGGTTGCGTCAACGCGTGCATTTTTAGCGTCAATCAGCTTGCGGTTAGACAGATTCTCCCGCGATGTGCCGAAGCATCGCGCACATCTCGGAGAGCTATGGATGAACTGAGAAATGGCAAGGCCAAGTCCAAGGCCACACTCGGAGCAAACCGCAATGTCACCGTCCCGACCCGCACATATGGTTTCCCCCCCGAAGCCTTCGACTGGACCCGCCTTCCCGACATCGACACCGACTTCCTCCCCGCAGAACACATCGAGGCCTTCGTCCAGGCTCTCTCCGCCCCCGATCCGATCCCACAGTCCCCCGAGGACGGCGGCGGCGCCTTCTCCTCCCGCCTTACCAGCACCCCGCAGCAGGAGACGGCCCAGGCCGCCGCGGCAGCTGCCGACGTGGCCGCGCCAGGACCTCCACTTTCACCGCAGCCACCATCCAGGCGGCCGACGGGCGGGAGTCTACGTCGCAGTAGCGGCAGTAGCTCGCTGCTCTTCACGGCGAAAAACGACTGGGCGCCAGTGCATGAACGGGTGCTGCGCGACCGGGACGACCAGCAACGGGGGAATAAGAAAAAGCGGAAGAAGAGGAAGGGCGCCACTGGCAGATTATCCGGCCGCTCAAAGGATGAGACCCGCGAGGGTTACTTGTACAGCCTGCTCAAATGGCCCTTCTTGATGATTGTGTCGGCCTGGATCGCCGGGCTAGCACTCGCCTACCTCGCCATCCGCGCCTACATCTCTTTGTACGAGCACAGCGTCAGCTGGCGGGGTAAGCGGGAGCGGCTGCGCCGGGCAATGCGCGCCACGTCTAGGTATGCGGACTGGGCTGCGGCTGCGAAGGCCATGGATGATTACTTTGGGAATGACCAGTGGAAGGGGGAGGATGAATTTGCTTACTATGACAGTAAGACGGTGAGGAGGGTCCTGGATGAGATGGTGAGATCAAGGAAGAGGGCAGAGAAAGCCGAAGGCGGAGGCCAAGGTGCTGAGGAGAAGGAAAAGGGCAAGGAAGCGATTGAGGCTTTAAAGGCTCTTGTCGAGGCGTGCGTTAAGAATAACTTTGTCGGGGTCGAAAATCCAAGGCTGTATAGTCAGACGTACTTCGGGACCAAAAACCTGGTGGAGAATTTCATTGATGAAGGTGAGTTTTTGAATCCTTTCTCCCTCTTGACTAGATCAGAGGAAGCGAACTGACATTATTCACAGTCGAGAGGAGCATCAGGTTCCTGATAAGCACGAAGCAGCTCACCAAGGAGGAGAAACGCGTCATGTTCAAGGGTATCTGTGCGAACTACGGCCGCACTGCGCTCTGTCTGTCAGGAGGGGCAACGTTCGCCTACTACCATTTTGGCGTGGTAAAGGCGCTGCTGGAGGAGGATCAGCTTCCAGACATCATTACGGGCACGAGCGGCGGCGCGCTGGTTGCCGCACTCGTCGCAACGCGCACAAACGAAGAGTTGAAGCAGCTGCTCGTACCGGCACTCGCCCACCGCATCACAGCCTGCCGGGAACCAATTACAGTGTGGTTCTGGCGGTGGTGGAAAACCGGTGCACGCTTCGACTCGGTAGACTGGGCCCGCCAATGTTCTTGGTGGGCACGCGGGTCCATGACCTTCCGCGAGGCTTATGAGCTGACAGGGCGCATCCTAAACGTCTCGTGCGTCCCGGCCGACCCGCACTCGCCCACCATCCTGTGCAACTACCTCACCAGCCCGGATTGTGTCATCTGGTCGGCCGTGTTGGCCTCGGCCGCCGTGCCCGGCATCCTCAACCCGGTTGTGCTCATGATGAAGACGCGGTCGGGCCAGCTCGTCCCTTACTCGTTTGGTCACAAGTGGAAGGATGGGTCGCTGCGGACCGACATCCCCATCAAGGCGCTCAACCTGCACTTCAACGTCAACTTTACCATCGTGAGCCAGGTCAATCCGCACATCAACCTGTTCTTCTTCTCCTCGCGGGGAAGTGTGGGACAGCCTGTCACGCACCGTCGAGGGCGCGGTTGGCGCGGGGGCTATCTAGGCTCGGCGGTGGAGCAGTACATCAAGCTCGACCTGACAAAGTGGCTGCGCGTGATGAGACAGCTGGAGTTGCTGCCGCGGCCGCTAGGGCAGGACTGGTCCATGCTCTGGCTTCAGACCTTTGGCGGGACGGTGACAATTTGGCCCAAGAGCGTCCCGAGCGACTTTTGGCGAATTCTGAGCGACCCCGACGAGGCGAGGCTGGCAAGGATGATCCACGAGGGCCAGCAGAGCGCGTTTCCTAAGATACGGTTTATCGCGAACCGGTTGAGGGTGGAAAGGGCTGTCGAGAGGGGCCGACGGGAGACCAGGTTGGCTGCTAGGCGCAGCGCTGCGGCCGTCAATGCCCCTGTTGTTGGTGGGGGTGATTGTGATGGGGATACTGGCAAGTACGAGAGGAGTGGAAGTATTGAGAGTATACTAAGCGAGGACGACTTGAGGAGCCTGCTTAAGAAAAGCCAGGGGAGTATTACAGGCACGGACGACGACTCGACAGACTTTGAGGGCTACACGAGTGTCGATGGGATCAATATCGATGGTGGCGAGACCGAGGAGGAGCCAAAGGTCGCTACGCCCATGGGATTGGCAGGTGCTGAGGAGGAGTAGAAGTGAAAGGGATGTGCCTGTTAAGATGGGCTGGATATTCAGTTGGAACCCGCTTGTGTTACGGGGGGATGGCGGAGTTATGAGGGGTAGTGTCATTGGCGTGGGATGCATATAGCGGGAAGGCAATAGGGATGAATACATGTAGAGAAGTGATCGATATAGTATGGTGTTATTAGAGTGTCCGGCCGGGCTGCGAGTGGGCTGGGAGTACATAGCACGGCTACCACTGTAGTAGCACGATATGGCAGCTAGCCCGACCGACTGGGTGACGCTGTAAATTTACCAACGGAAGCAAGGCAAGCAAGCACGAGAACAAATCTAGTCTTAGATCACGCTTGACGCTCCGTTTTAGCCAGGACGGACAAGTGTCTCTCCTCTGGACAAATCGCCCAGGGGCCCAACACTTGCGTCCTGCTGTCCATACATGGCTGTATCCCAGCCATTGGGTAGTGCATGGCTCTATTTTAGGTTTTTAATTCCAGTACAGAGTGGAAGCCCTGCTCGACCTGAGGACATCGCATTCTAGCACAGAAAGCCCACATAAATTTTCCACGACGCCTCGGAAGCCCAGAACAAACGTACGAAATAACGACCAGCCGATACCAGAAACCCGCCCTTACTTTTGTAAAACCAACTCCCCTAGAAGAGTACCAACAAGAGGCCCAAGAGAATAGGGGAGAAAACTTAATTCACAATCCCCACCCCGACCCCCATCATCAGGAAGGAACCCAGCAGGAAAACCCAGAAGAGCAGGCCGTTCCTGGCCATGCTCCCCGGGGCAGCGTCGGACGACGAGGCGTCGCCGCTGGGGGTGGGGCTGGGCCCCGTCAGCAGCTCGGCGCCGTGGGTGATGGTGACGGGGGCGAAGCCGAAGCGGTCGCCGCTGGTCCAGTTGTAGCTGTAGGTGGAGAAGGTGCCGTTCCAGGCCGGGTCGCGCGTGTACCAGACGCTGCCGACGTGCGTCAGGTTGCAGGCCGCCTCGACGGTCCCGTTTAGGGAGCAGCGGTTGACTCTGTTGTTTTGGGAGGATATTCCTTTCAGTGAGTGGTGGGAGTGAATGGGAAAGGGGGAGGAGGAGGGAAAGCAAAGTTACACTGTGTGATAGGCCCCGTAGCGCGTGCCGGTGAACATGAAGGTTGCGGGCCCTTGGGTGATGGTGCTCGGCTGGCCGGTGCCGTTCAGCGGCTGCCAGTGCCGGCTGCGGGTGGATGCGAGCGTCGGGATGGCCGTCGTGATGTTGTCGGTGCGGGTTGCCGACAGGCTGGGCCGGCGGTCGACACGGGTGGTTGTGACGACGTAGGTGGTCAGGTTGTTGGCGTTGTCCACGGCCACGACGGAGCCTGAGTCGCGGTGGAACATGGTGTAAGGCAAGCCTTCATACTCGCGCTCATTGAGGAAGAAGATGTCGACGATGCGGGTCATGGTCGGGGTGGCGGTTGTCGTGGTAGTGACCGTGGCAGTTTGAGCAAGGGCTGAGGTGAGCAAAAGAGAAAGAGATGCGAGTATAACACAGAAGGGGAAATAGGGGCCTGTGAGCGCCATCTTGGTGTCTTCGTGAGACTTGCTCGATAAACCAGGCAGAGAAGAAGAGAGTGCTGAGAGTGCTCAAGTCGTAGAACATCAATCCCTTCACATGAGCGACTGAAGAACTGCCATGAATAAACCCGTCTCTCCTGGTCCCCAGGAGAGGCTTGATTCGACACAGCAAGGAGAAGCAGAGGATAAGAAACGAGCGAATGGATTCCCGGGCTGCCGCTGGAGAGAGTCGAAGAGAAAACGAGAAGAGACGGGAATGTCAGGCACCATGGTTTCTTGTCATATAACCAGTTCCTGGCTAAGCAGATGTTGCCAGATTCGATCCCATCTGCTCCCGCTTCCACAATATTCATCAACTCATTAATCCATCCTTTCAATCAGGAACCCCGAGAACGTCCCGGTGCTGCCGTCCTCGGCATTCCATTCTTCCCAATCCCAGATGGGAGAAAGCAGTAAATGGAGGAGACAAGCTGTTTTGTGGCTGGGACGAGGGCAGCCACGAGTTTAGCCGCCACGCCGACCAAGGCGACGATTTGCTGGCCGCCATGTTCCGTCATTGCTCGGATTGCGTGGCGGCCGATAGCACGACGCTGTTAAGGGCAGCTCAGCTTGTCGCCGCGGGCGTGGATATTTGTTGCGCTCCCGTTCCGTTCCCCGCATGGAAGCCCATGTTATGCGGTCCAAGCCTGCCGAGCCTGCCTCGTCGGGAGCGGAGCCGCAAGGGCTTCCCCACACCGCAGATCATATCTTTGCCTGCTGTGGTTTCATTTTGGGAATGGGACCAGAGGAAAACCGAGGCGCAGCCCCCCTTTTTTCTTCCGCACGTGGAAGGGACCGACACGGGCACACGGGCACTTGACCGTGTTTCTCGAGCCAACCCACCTCCTACCGGCTCCGCCCGTCCGGGCTCATTTTGCCATTGCCTGTGAAAGGCAAGGCCTTCCGGTCCGAGGTCGATGTGCTTGTTGCTGTAAATGGGGACAGGAAGAAGCATCACAAGCGCCGGAAGCACCAGAAGCAACACACTTCTGTGCGTCAAAAAATAAGCTTGTTTCGTCGGAGATGGCAGGGCGCAATGCGGATGAGACAGCCGTTGAAAGCTAGTTTTCACATCCAAGACAACTGTATGTATCGTAACTGTAAGGCCGCTGAATCAGTCCGTCCGTTGAAGGTTTGGCGAGAATAAGCAATATTCATGTACATAACTATCGTGGCTGGGGAAATGTACAGATTTCTGACACTCGACGTGCCTCAACCACACCTTCTCATTTGATTAGTTACCCTGTATCCGTGGTGTAGGAGGCCGATCTGAGTTCAGAGGCAGCCGATTACGACCTTACCTGCATGAATGCGCAGATGCCAGACAGACAACAATGTTGCGGTATGAGGTCTCACCGCCCTCTCCCTCCCATTGGAGGTCCCTGAATATGTAATGTTACTTCGTGCCCCAGGAATTTTCTGCGCACCATCAGCAGTCAGGACTCTGGCCGAGTCAGGTTCGCACGGTACTATACAATACCTTACATACCCCTTAGTGTAACCTACCCTCGCAGCCAACCAGACACAGCGAACCAAACGTTATTCCACCGATGAGCAGAATCGCAATCTCCGACCAGTCACCCGGCCCACACACACTGCCAGTCAGCGGGAAATGAATGAAGCAACGTTTGCTGCGGCGCACCTGCCGCTACCGTTTACACACCTTCTTCCCAAAACTCAGGGGCCGAAAACAAATCGCTCATCTTCACATTCATCGTCCTCGTTCATTTACAAGCCTTTTTGTTTTCAAACATGTGGTATCATTTCACATACAAATGGGGTAATATTTGGGGTTGAAAAAAAAGACGTTCATAAAGACCTTTTCACACGTATGAACGCCAAAAAAATACAATTAGAAGATTAAGTTACATAGAGGTATCATAGCCATTTAACCCGTGCTGCCTTCATGAAGAGCGCTTTCCCAGATTTCCCCTTAAGCCTGCCCAGCACTACCAGCCCCTGGCCTTTCCACTCTGCTATGCTACTTAACGAAAATGTTCAGTAGAAAGGCGAGAAGATTTAAGCCATGAGGGCAATGAGACCGGCGACGGCAGCGAAAGCCGCGGAGCCGCCCAGGGTGGCAGCACCGGCGGTGAAGGTGGGCTGAGGAGGCTTGGTGCCCGTGGGCTTGCCAGAGGGAGTGTAGCCGGACGGGCTGGAAGCAGGGCCCGAGGCCGTGGGGCACGGGACCTGGACCGTCTCGTAGATGACGGTCGGGATGACCGTGGTGATGGAGGTCGAGATGGTCTTGACCGAGGTGCCGGGGCAGACCGGGGCGGCAGAGGTCAGGGTGGTGCCGGGGGTCTTGGTCGGGTACGGGGGCGAAACCACGGCCGAGGTGGTGTTGGAGTAGTGGCCCGAGCCGGTGCTGGTGGTGGGCTTGACCGGGACAGAGCTGACGGGGCAGACGGTGGTGCTGACGGCAACGGTCTCGGTGACGACCTTGGTCGAGCCGGCCGGGCAGTACGTGACAGTGTCAGGGCAGTCCGTCACCGTCTTGGTGGTGGTGCTGTAGATGGTCGACGTGGTGAGAGGGACAACCGACGAGCTGACAACGGTGCTCGAGGCCGGGCAGTCGGTGACCGTCGGGGCGCACGAGGTGATGGTGTAGTACTCGGTCGAGTACACAGTGCTCTGGCTGCCCTTGTGGGCGAGAGCGGTGCCAGCGAGGGCAACGGCGGCGGCAGCGAAACGCATCTTGGCTGTTGTTTTTGGTTTGAAAAAACGGGGGTGTTTGTGAAGAGGGTGGTAAAGACCGAAAAGAGCAAAAATGCCTTTTTGTGAGTGTTGTTTAAAGAGTGGACGACCGAAGTCAAGAGAGCTTTGTGTTGGCTTGTTGCGAGCTGAGGAGAAGGAGGGAAGGAGAGGGCAGGCTCGAGGCGGACACTAGGCCATCGTTAAATACCACAGGCAACGGTAGGTTGCACCCCCCGGCAATTCGCCTGGATGCCGCTTGCGAGAGGGGGAAATTACACCTCGTCGACGGCTGCCCCATTTGGAGAACGCTAATCCAGGGGCTCGGTGGAGGGAACATTCAGGGGACCATCAGGGAACATTGGCACCCCGCCTTAGCTGTGGGTCCAACCCACCAGGCCATTTGTGTCGGTGACAAGCGCTTCATCCAATCAGCGCGCTCGGTATAGAAGAGCCGTGCTTAATACTGTGTACGTATCCCGTACCTTACCCCTATCCAGACAGCCTCGGACCAGGTCAATTAACATTGCTGTTTCCAACGTTTGGTCAGTTCCCGGGTTAGACAGTTCATGACGGATGCGGGGAGTCTATTAATCCAAAATGAACTTTACAATCACAGATCTCTGATTTGGCGGCTGTCAACACTAGTGCATGTACAGTTGCGTTTGGTGCTCACGTCAAGGGCCGGTAAACCTGGGAGCCAATTTCGTCTCGAATGCGGTTTTCGCCACCTCGACGTCGGGCGGTGGGCGATCCATCTCTCCATTTCCTTCTTTCCGGCTGGGGCAGGGCTGTAACGAGAGGCGGTGGACAGCTGCTCAGCAGGGCGCTGACTATGTACTCCGTACACCTACCTTGCACTAATAAGTTCCTGTAGCACGACAGAGTTGGCGGACAGCGGCGCACTGGTTACTCTCCACAGTTCATATGCGCAATTACCACAGCTGAGTCCTGACAGTCTGTTCTCATCAATCAAAGATTGAATCATTTAACTTACAGTAGCGGCGAGCGCGAACTAAGCGCCAACAACGCGTGATATGAACTATAGCTTTGGAGGCGCGTAACGTGCCTTTCCTGTCGCTTGGGATGCCGATAGATGGCTGCCGTCGCACAGTCCCTCGCTGATCTGCCCCACTCGTACCGTTCCGCCACTCTCATCGAGCAGGATCTTGAAATGAGTTCAAAGTCACGGTATGTGCGCTACTTGTGTGTAGCAGCATCGTTATGTACGGAGTAGACGAAGTAGCTGGTTTTTCAAGCATGTGTCTGGCGGTTGCCGAGAGCTATCGTAGATTGTTTTGTACTAAACAAGCAGAACGGACTCCTCTCCAATGGCCACGGGAACGTGAATGTGAAAGGAGAAGGCCTGGGGAAAGTGAAATTTCGCGCAGGTCTACGAGGTAATTGATTACCTACCTACCTTACAGACACACAGTACATACAGTACGATAGTTCGCCGCACATAATGTGCGCTAATGCAGGTACCGTTTGCCAAACGTTCTCTCATTCGACATTGCTCGACATCCCAGCCTTGGACAATTGACGAAACAGAACCGACATCACGGTTTTCAGCAGCAGACCAAAAGTCAACCAGGTGGCGCTCCTGGACCCTGGATCTAATTCGCTTGGCGGCTATTTGTTGCCGAGAGTGCTTGATTGATTAATTGGCAAGGTTCGGATACGCCACATGATGGATTGTTTGAATCCGGGAATTTCATGCATTTGGCGCATGTTGCAGCAAATCATTTCTGGGGCCCTGGGGTTCATCTTGCCCACTCAACCAGGCGGTGAAAAGACCTTCCGAGAACGATGTTTGCAGCGGAGCACCTCCGCTGGCTCTTACGACATGCCCCTGCGATCATCGCCCTTATCCCTACACTACTCATGCGGTTGCCTATGGCTTCATTGGCTTGCAACCACGTACTAAGGGTTCGCGCGAGTTCGCCAGGGCGTCAACTGCCAACGCCGATATGATATGTATTGATAAGAAGGTACGGACTACGGAGTAGAGTTAGTACCATGTCAAAGATTTCTGGGCGCAGTTTATAAGGAAGCGCTATCGCCGCTATCCTTCCTCCACTGCTTAAAGCACTCAAAATTCAGAAGCCATTGCGATTTACGACGTGACGGGTGCTATGCCTGATCTCCCAGCCTTTTGTCTCATCACATGTTCTACTTCATGGCAGCTTCAAAAGAGGCCATGAACTGTGGCCGTCGTCCTGCAGGCCATCTTGATGGCAGCGGTGGGCAACCACGGCATGTCATGAATCTCATTTGAGAACTCGGCTGCACAGGGTCTGCTTGATCATGGCATGGGTTTTCTCCACAGTATTCCATCAACCATCAGTTATACACGTATATCCTGATCTCCGCATCTGCCGGGCACTGAGCCTTGGATGAAACAGATATGAGTACGTCATGTCACCCACCCAGAGTCCGTTGCGACTTGCGAGCAAAACGACTACCTTTACAGTGCCTTCTTGTTCCTGCCGCAATGCCTGTTTATGGAGCTGATGACTGACAGTACACTGCAGACTTTGAGAGACAAGGAGCAGCCCTATGGGACTCTTGCGACTAACCATGCACAATTGCACATGTGTATTCCTAAGACAGCAACTACGGCAAGATTTCGAGCGCCTCACGCCGTTGAACCGGGAACGGAGCTCGAGTCATGGAATCGGCACTCCACATCACGGCATCCATCTCGGGCATTCGCCTACGTGGCAGGCGTATCTCGACCGGTCATATGCTGGATTTTCCAACCACAGTCCTGAGGCTTCTCGGCTCCCTTTTCACACTGGGCCATAGCGGACTAGGAACACGAGTCAAGTGACGGTCACGTCTCCCGCCCCGAAGCTTCGCATATCCAAGGATGCGAATGCAATCTCTTATCCCGGACCGATAGCAAATGAGATGAGCAAGCCGTCGGATTGGTCATCCTAATTGACTGCGGGCAGCCGGTTCGGCTTTGGATGCTTCGATGAACATTTGGTCCTGAAGTGAAGCAGGGCGAAGCAGACGATAGTAAGCTTCGGAACTCATCGCAATCAATACGTCTCCTAGTTTATATACCGAGATGGGTCAATCGCCCAAGTCGGTGAATTAGACGAGGCTCCGGTGATGCAACATGCATTGTCGGGCGAAACCTCGGTAGGCAGTTCAAGCCGTCCGGCTTGCTTCCCGTTTGGCCCGCCGAGGACGTCATCGGTGCAGGATACGACTTGGGATGACAGGATAGTCGGCGCTCGCCGAGGACAAGAGTTGAGTCTGGACCGGAGCGGTCCGCAGGCGCATGACGGGAAAATCATGCTGAATTAGGGATGGGCAGCCAAAACCGATCAGACTTCGGACAAACCACCGCGAGGCTTTCCGGTGGGCTGATACGGTCGCCGAGTCACGATTTCTTACCGATTGACCGGACCCACTCCTCGGCTCTGCCTTGGCCATCGCACGGGAAATGTGTGGGCCTCCCTGAACACAGCCACGGCCTCGAGATATGGTCGGCCGCCGGCGGGCTGTGGCTGCGGGGATTATACACTAGTTATCGCCAACCCGAGAACTTTTCTGGACAGCTCTGATATCATCAGCTATCGGCAAATGATTTTACAACTGTTTATTCCATTGTGACAGCCCCTAGCAGGGACCGGTTGAATAGAGCAAGCGCTCGCCCGTTGTCCTAGACGTTTCCGTTTAGGGTCCGTCGGATTGATGTCCTCAATGCAGGTCCTTGTTTGGAGGAGACAAGCAGCGGAAAACCTTCAATCATCTGGTTTGAGGACAAGGAGCCATGTACGAGGTACAGATGACGATTTTGCGGCAACCCGCTCGTCTCAGTTATCACGACCATGCCCACATCCGAATCTCCGTGATATGATTGGGCTTGAAATGTGGGAGGACCAGTTGGCCCGTGCATAGCCTACTGAGGACGTCAGGACCGTCCAGTTGGAGCGGGCCTACGGGAGAGGACGCCAAGTGGGGCCCTGTAAGGCAGGCAGGCAAGTCCCAAACAAGTCCTACCGTTGTGGAAGGCGGCCGCTGAGCCTCTGCGCAGGAAATGCGCAGCTGCCCGTCCAGCCAACTGCCAACAAGCCGATTTTGATTCGAATGAGCAATTCATCTGCAGTTGGGAAAATGGAGGCTTCCGCCTTCTTCTTCTTCTTCTTCGTTGCAGCTTGTGCAAGTGGTGCCCAAACCACTTCCTCACTTCGTGCACCAAGTGGCGCCGGTGTATGTATGCACAGATACAGATAATATCAAATTGGGGAAATCTTCACAATCTGTGGCAGGTCCTTGTCAAACTGGTCCGTCGAGACCAAGGTACAATACCGACAGTTGCAGTCGTCAGTCCTGGGGAAGTTGCTCCCTGCAGCTGCATACTGCTTGAGCTTGCAGCCCTCCGCGAGGCTGTGACCTTTGGCCTGCGTCCTGCGTCCTCATTCTTTTACCTCCCCCTGCCACACACACTCTCTCTTGGTCATATATAAACCGTTGAGCTTGCCGCCGCTGCCTAGTCCGCATTCCGTGTCTGCATTGAGCACCCGCCGAGCACGAGACGGGACCGAGCACCCATCCTCTCTCACACTTTTATTAGGCAAGGTTGATATTGGCAGCCATGTCCTAGTTTACTACAGGATCTTGAGGCCTGCCTGCTTCCTCAGGTCAAGACCGCAACGAGGCGCTAGCTACCCGTAAGCCGACCCCTCTGGACCACACCGGCGCCCTTGGCCTTACTTCCGGCACCTCGCCGCAGAGCCCTGCCTCCCCCACCCCCACATTGAGCACTCTCCTCCACCCGGAAGCCTTAAGAAGGATTGGCGTCCTCCGTTCGCATCACATCTCACTAAGTGAGTTGACTCCTCTTAGCTCTTTGCCTAAGCATTCAGTTGACAACTACTCCTTAGGCTCACCCGGTGTGGCCTGTCAATCCATCACGGCTCTTCCTATAGCGTGAGGTCGTTCTACCCACACCCTCATGGCTTCCGGCGTCGAACCAAGTCCCGGCGCTGCAGCGCTGCATGTCTGCCCCCAGTGCAATAAGGCCTTCGCTCGCAACTGTGACTTGAACAAGCATGCAAAGTCCCACAGCCGTCCATACAAGTGCAAGGTGCCTTCCTGCAAGTACGAGACGCTCGGCTGGCCGACGCAAAAAGAGCTGGAACGGCATGAGAACGACAAGCATTCGGCTTGCCCACGCACCTTTGCCTGCTGGTTCCAGCCCTGCCCATACAGGTCCAAGCGGGAATCAAACTGCAAGCAACACATGGAGAAAGCCCACCAATGGGAATATGTCAGGAGCAAATCCAAAGGCGGTCGTTCTATCGGCCAGCGGAGCCCAGCGGAGCCAGAGACCCCAGCCGATGAGCATTACACCCCTTCAGTTGCCTCTGCCTCGCTTCAACCCCCACCGGGGCCACGGCCGGGGATGGATTTCATCCTCTTTGACAGCGATCAAGCCGATGCCTTAGGCGAGGACGATGATGCTCTTTATTCTGAGTCCTATCTGCCATGGACGTCGCCCATGACTCGGTTGCGGAAGAATGAGACTTTCATCGAGATGTTCACGCAGACCTACAATGGGACTGCTGACAAGGCTGCAATTGTCGACGACATCTTGGTGGATCCGATGCTCTCAGCTCAACTGTCTCACGACATGCAGACCCAGCAAGCTATTGATGCCCCTGGTCTGTTTGTCAACGACCCAGCAATAAAGGTCGAATCGCCCACCCTCACGGCAGATGAATTCCTCGGGACCGAGCATTTCGTTTCGAAGAAACGGAAGCATGACTTTGTTGAGGTTACCTCAGCGGACGTCAAGCCGACTTCCATCCCGTCATCTGGCGGGCAATTGGCAGGAAAAAAGCAATCGGGCACAGGCCGAGGATCACGGAAACAATTCAGAGAGAATCCCAATCGACGAGACGACAATGGTGAAGGAAGCCGGCATCCAAAGAAGCCTAGGATAAGCCCTCGCGAAGACTTCAGCGATACGAGCATGCCTGACATCTTTCGATTCGCTCATCCCCATATTTAGTGAGTCAATTCAATGTGGTGTCGCCGCAATACAACGTTTCTGCATAGGACCAGCCAGCCTGGGTTGCTGACATCTGCAATCGAATAGTGACAGGGACCAGAAGGAGAAATATTCGCCGTGTCATACCCTGCACAGAGATATCTCGACACTGGTGTGAGTTGTATATCCTAGCACGAACCTTCTCGACGATGCTAATCGCCAGGCGCAGTCGGCACCTGAGCAGGCCAGCACATCGCTTCACAGTTACAGAACGATTCATATCGTCGTTTGATGTTACGGACCACGATTTCAGGCACCTAAGAGCCGGTCTTTGCCGCTGGTGCTGGCGCTCTTTCTTCGATCGCTCCTTATTCGACAATCACATATCCAACGCTTGTGAAAAGGTATCGAAAGGAAAACGAGAGAAATGGCGTGCACTTCTCGAGACCTTTACCCCATTAGCGGATTCCGAAGATTCCAGACTTCACTCAGGCGGACACGGCGACGAGTATCAATGGAAACAGCTGCCTAGCTCCACGGAAGATCTCCCTGTCTCGGACGGCGATGACAACTGTATGGATCTATGCAGGACACCGCCCACTTCAGTTCCATCCCCCGCTCTTCCTGTTGCGGGCTTGCCCGCCTCGAATCCGAAGGAAGGGCTCTTCGTGCCTGCAGATGAACATATGAAGCTTCAGAAGGAGCACCAGGACCTTCGCGAAAGCCACCAGCAGCTCAAGCAAATGACCCAGGTCCTTCTTGTGCCGTATCTTTTCCAACAGGCTGTGGGGCAGACCTCCAACACCATGCCGAAATCACAGACGTCAGCGCCTGAAGCATCCAAGGATACCACTGTCACCTCAGACCCGGAAGACATCAAACCTAATGCCTCGTACCGAGACAACCTCGTCCAACATATGGACTCGCAATCCACTGACGTCGATGTATATGCCCTGATGGAGGAAATGGAAACTGCCCGACAATCTTTATCAAGGATGAACTCGGGATTCAGCACAGTGTCCCGTGTATCGACCATCCACCACGTCCCGAACAGTCCGCCTCCTAGGCCCGCTGAGCTTCCAGACCTTCCAAGCAGCGGTTGCCAGGAACAACAACGACAGGGCAAACACTCTCTCACACACCGTCCCCCGCCAGAGTCAATTCCCGACTCGGGCTATGGCACCGAACCCCGGCGCGGAAGTCTCGACCATGTAATATACGTCGCCGAAGGAAGACGGAAAGATGGGAACGAGCTTTCCACCCCACCACCAACCCTTGATAGGCCCACGGACGGTTACAACAAAACACTCCCCGGCATTGAGGACGACGGCGTCGTAGGACCGGCACACTGGGCAGAGGGCGAACGCACGCCGAAAGGAAGGATGGCGCTATCCACGCCCTCACAACATAGCCAGATGGCTGACACATCGCTCTTTGAGGACGCTGCATATGGCATTTTCGGTGCGGAGCAGGAGGATTCTATCATGCCACCTCGCTCGCCGGAGTACGTGTTCAACTTTTAAAATGCAGGTGAATTAGTACTTTATTGTACAACATGCTTTAGACGGGATCGGCGTTTTGGATATACTACTGAGCGCGACTTGGTTTCTTGGATATCCTATGTGGGGTTTCACTACATAAAAAGATTTCTCCTTCCGGGTCCCCTCAAGTTGAGAGGAGCTCTTTGCCCATATCTGCTGGCTCAGACGTTTCCTTCTCTCTTCCCTTCCGACTTTCTCCTTTTTTCTTTTCTTTTCCTTCCCGCTTCCTCGGTTCGGATTCAGCTGGGCCTGGGGTGAATGGTACTAGTACTTTGCAACTGGCGGAACGAGACGACGATGGCACACGCCACTCGCAAATAACAGGCACCACGCAACGAAAAACGGCTTAATGAATGGATGGCATTGTAGCGGGCAGAATATGGACTCAATCTGGACTGAATCTGGATCAAATCTGGACTGAATATATAGATTGCGATGTAGACTGCTACTTAGGTCTGAATAGTTGGGTTCGGTTCGACAGCTTCTCAACCTTTCCCCCTTTCTTTCTCACCCTTTCTATACCCTCTCCCTTTCCCGCAAACATAGAGGGACGCAGCTAATCACTGAACATGTCTAAATTTCCATCCAGATTCATTTACACTGCTTACCCCTCCTAGGATATCGGTCTCTTTTTCAGTCACGATAGCCCCTTCCCTTTCCTAAGCCTTGCAAATTTCAGTCCATGCCTTGCAGTTCAAGCTAGCTCACCCCTTAGACACCCAGTGTGCACTCTCCATAGTTCCTTTGGCAACCCAAAATAGCCAGGCACTCAAGGACGCTAGAGGTGCACCTTCCTTCGCTGCTGCAACAGCTTCCAAACGTACTGCCCTTGCACGTCTGCCTCACCGCAGCGCCACAGCGTCCATCGCGGCTTACGGCGAGACCGGTCGAGGTTGGCTGGACCACTGTTGTTCTGGTAGGTATTATCACCGTTGATCTGGTGGGTGTTGCGGCCGTTGAGCTGGGGGGTATTATGACCGTTGATCTGGTGGGTATGATCACGGTTGATCTGGTAGGTATTGTTGACCTCGTGGATATCACTGTCGACCTGGTAGGTATTGCTGGAGAAGAGAGAGGGGTCAGCTGCATTCAGGAAATCCTCATAGAATGAAGTTCCGTCTCGGGTATTGTAGTGCGATACCAAGTAGAAAAGGGGAGAAGAGATGAGGAAGGCATGTGAGACTTACAAGTTGAGGATGCCCTGGTCGTCGGCTGGGCGCTCGTACGGGAACTTGACACGGGCGAGTCCATGCAGCTTCCCCATTCAGGCTGGCACCCATTTTCGAGCGAGCAAAACTCTGCACCTCTGCCGCAGTAGCCAAAGATGGAGCAGCAATTTCCCCATCTGGTGCCGGCACAGGTCGCGCCGTTTCCACAGGTGCCGTCAGTGCTGGGACCGTTGACGCCCGTGGGACCGACGGGAATGGTAGTCCTCGTGCTAACCCCTGGTTGCGATGTACCAGGGGCAATGCTGGTGCGAGTACTGGTAGAGCCGCTTCCTGCTGGTCCTGCGCGGTACCAGTTTTCTCGGGGATCGCCCAGACACTCACCCACCGTCACCGACTTGTACCCCGAATAGAAGAGGGAGGTGAGTATGTAGTCGGTGAGGTTGTAGACCACCTGAGAGTGGATGTCGTGTTCGATTTGGAGGAAGCTGTCTCTTGATGGGTCGGTGTCGGCAATGGTATCGTCCCAGATGTCCTTGCTGGTTTGGATTTGTGTCGGGCTGTCGTGCAAATAGCCCTCGGTGTCAAGGTCGAAATATATTACGTGGTAGCCGAGGGTCGAGAGTATGTTCTGGCAATTCCTCTCGCAGATGGAATAAGGGGGTCTGGGGAAGGGCCGAGATTTAATGGACACGAATCGGAGAGGGCCAAGTTGGTTTTCTTACCTCATATACGTTGGGAAAAAGCCAAGAATAGAGTTGAGTGCGATCTCGTTCCAGACCATCTGGTTCGTGAATTGCGAATTGGTCAGCTGGCTGGCGTTCTGATGAGACCAGGTATGGCTAGCAATCTGATGTCCCTCGGCATGCATTCTCTGTCGTTGCATCTTAGCAAATGGTCTGTCACATTATGGTATATGACTTGCCTTGATGATAGCAGGATAAGGGGTCGAGGGGTCATTGATATGCCCCTTGCCCAGATTGTTCCCTGTGATAAAGAAGGTTGCCTTTGCTCCGTAACTCTGTCTCCGTATTAGTTGGTGCATTGGGGGCTGACTGAGATGCCATGCCAAACCTTTAGCTTGTCAAGGAGGTCGTTTGTGTATAGGTAAGGCCCATCGTCAAAAGTCAACGCGATTTCACCCGGGTTGATGCAGTCGTAAATGCCAGCTCCTCCATAGAGAACGCTCCCAAGTTTGGGCCGAGCAATCCCTGCAGTATCAGCACCGCTTGGCTTTTGGTTCTGTGTATCTTTGTCAGTGTAGAGAGGAGGCATCTGAGCGCAGTACATACTGCATCACAAGCAGAGGCATAGTTCATCTGGCAGTCGGGCGCGGAGCAATAGTCCTTTCCTTTGCCACACCAACTGTACGCCCACGTTAGCCCGCCGGCGCATCAACTTCACGGGAAGCATACCCTTCAGCAGAGCAACAGTAACCGGAGGGGCAAATTCCGATTCCCGGTCCGCATTCGCCGTCTACATCCTCATCTTGGCGTCCCTGTAAGCTACCTCGTGGGTTGCCTGGAGCAAACTGCCTTCTGGCGACAGAAGGTCCAAAGGTTGCTGGCTTCGCTCTGGACTCTAACCCAGAGAACAACTTCCTTCCTCCCAGGATTTTGGGGAGGTGTCGGCCCGAGCGGTCATCATGAGCGAACGTAAAGCCTAAGTAGGCGGCCAGCAGGGCGGACGATAGCTTCATGGTTTATCAGTGGTATCGGGGATGTAATATATTATATCCGCCACAAGGGATGTGGGAGCGCCATATGTATGCTCAGGCGTAAACATGTAAAGGAGTGACGAGCTCGGCCGGCTTGGTTTCAAAGCAGAGAGGGTAGATCCGGGCAAGATAAATAGAAGAGCGTCGAGAATATCAAGACGGCAAACTTCTGTTCCTGAAGGTGAACAGGTAGGGTTGCAGACGAGACGCCGGAAGACCGATGGAAGGGTACACGGCCTACATAAATGAATTGGCCAGATCCTACCCTGGTAGGAGACGCGGCCCTCCGTTGGAGCGACTTTTATATTGCGGTCCCTCTCCATCCAAACCACGCAAATTCAGACAGTCGGGTCTTCAACGTCTCTTCGTTACTGACATTGGCATACTCGTTCAGCCTAGCCCGACCGGGACTACAAGGCTTCCCAAGGAATAGGCCGCTGAAGTGAAGAGCAAGAGACGATGCGGGATGAGCAGTAGAGTTCTCGTTTTGGTCTCGTGCACCACTCTGCAAGTCTTGGGTAACGCAAGCTCAATATCAGGAGATGCACAATGGCCGGCTCCAGCAACAGTAACATGACATTGAGCCAGGTTCTGGGAGAGGTAAGGAAGGGCGAGCGGCAGCTAACAGCGGAAGTCTTCAAGCCGCAAATTCAGGGATCGACGGCAGCGCTGGTCGCCTGCAACGTACAGCTCCATGGCTGATGTTCGCTTCCCGGCAGATCTCGGCGTTCGAGCATTCTTCTGTGAAAAGCTTGGTATTTCCGCAGAAGAGGATGACGCGGCAAAATAAATCAGATTGGAAGTCGCGGCCATCGTATTTTGGCTGAAGTCAGAGTCGATGGTAACTGTGGATCTGCGGGAGAAGCGGCTGCGTGCGGACCGGAACCCGAAGCAAGCAGTGCGTCTTATCCGAGTTAAGAATGTAGTGTTGCAAGAAGCTGCATCGGAGGAGAGGTGGTTGTTCAACTGCATTAGAGTTGTTGTGGTTGCATGTAAGCTTGGCAGTGTATGTACAACGCAACTTGAAGTACTCTAGAACGAACGGATGGCTGATTCAACTAGCCTGGGACATCGCAGGAAACCGCGAGGTGTGTTCTTATGTCTGTTGAGGAAGGAGAACCCGGGAGCACCTGAATGGAACTTCCCTACGCGGAAGAAGTCGTGCCAGCTTGAGCCAGATAACATACCTTACTTGACTTCAACAAACACCAGGCTCAATTCTTCTTACTGTCAGAATAGTGTTTTTGAATAGATGGATGCAACGCACAAAACTGGCCGACGTTCTTGCAGACGCCAGCTGTTCTCTGCCGAATTGCTGCTGGTAATAACTTGGAAAGAATCAGGTCATCAGACACGCTTGCGTCAACCGAAGCAATTACGAGAATGAATGGGACGACGACAGGAAGGTTACGTCGTCAAGTCTGCGACGATAACAAAGACAATAAACACCAAGCTACCTGCAATTGTGCTGATAGCACGCAACCAGTTGAGGCCATGGTAACGTGGCATGCAGGTCCGAGTCAGCGGTACAGCCGACAGGCCGTTTCCCGTCCTCGTCTTGGTTAAAGGACGCGAGTTTCACGGGCGGCTGCAGACTTCAGTGCCGACTCCCGTTGTATGACCAAAACGTTTTCGCTGCTTCTCGGTGCAACCAAACTCTAGACCCCGGCCATTCGCATGGCAGTTGTCTCCTGTATCCAGACAGGTCTTGGACTTTGCTCGAGAATCAGGAGTAAACAATAAACCGTTACCCGCAACGTTCTGACAACAACTTATCAAGGAGGCGAGATGGGGAGGTCGGCGTCGAGGCGGAGGCGGTTGAATCTACAGCTGAGAAAGGGGGTTACATACATAAGATCATGAGTTCTGAACGCCCGTCTCACTCTCCGTCATTGCCGACCCAACGGAGTTCTAAGACGTAGCAACAGGTTTCTGTGAGATCTGGAGATGGACGCCGCATACACGGGAGAAAAGGGCGTTGGGTGTTGCGGTGCCCACGGTTGTACTAGTAGAAAACTTGCAAGCAGCCCTTCAGTTTCCCAATTGCCTTTTGGGATCTCACCCAAGAATGGGAATGGAAGAATAGTACAAGCTCACCCACCCACTGGCAGTCCCTGCCCATCCTTCCAAGCAGCCAAAGCCGCCAGGCCGTATACCGTTAGACCAATTCATACACATAGCCTCTGCCTCATCGCACCATAGCTCCCACGACCCCAGCAATCTCCCCAAACAGCACTCCCTTGAACACAGCCTCCCCCATCTCCTCGCCCCAGTGTCCAGCCTTCTTCAGCCTCTCCTTCCAAGCCTCCTTCTGAGCACGGCCCATGTCGTCCCAACGCCTCGCCTGCCCATGCTTTTCCTCGTCATGCACGTGGACACTCACTGAATCATCACCATCACCCTCACCGCCAGCATGCAACACCACCAACCCGCCGTCCCCATCCTCCTGCCCCTTGGTAGTAGCCAACTGCGCCGACCTCGCCCGATAGTCAGCAAACAGGGAGCCATCCTTCCCCTTCTCGCTTATTAGCCTATCATGATGCGATCGATAAGCAGGCTCGGCGTGCCAAGAGACGGGCGTGAAGTTGCGCGCGCCGATGAGCGGCCGGGCCAGGCCCTTGACCTCAAGCAAGCCCTGCAGGAGCAGGGCAAGGGTGGCAAAGACGACCGCTGAGAAGATGATCAGGTCCCGCGGGGACGGGCCGTGGCTCTTCAGACCCAGGACGTAGCGGGGTGGGCGGGGCGGGCCGCGCGGTAGGTTGGCGGGTGTGACTTTTTTCAGAGGAAGGGAGTGCACGACTAGGGTGTTTGCCATGGAGCCGACCGAGGCCAGTTTTAGGTGCGGAGCGCGGGTGGGCGGCGCCGACGAGGATGAGGAAGGTTTTGGCGGTGGGATGAAGTGGGAGAATGCGATGCCCGAGATGGGGCCTTGGTGTACTGCCTTGAGGGTTGTTACGGGGTGGAGTTTGGTGATGAGGTTGACATCCGAAACGGACGAGGTCTGGTGCTCGACCGTGTACACGGTGATGGAGCTGTCCTGGCCTGTTACGGCGACGACGAACTGCGTGTCGCCTTGTCTTGCGGAGGGGCTAGGCGGCGGCGAGAGGTTGCGGACGGCCAAGCCGGTGGCCCGGGTAATGCTTCTGGGTAGGTGGGCAGATATGGCGAGGCGCGCCTTGCCTCTTTTTCCGGCCGCCGCTTCCTCCTCTTTACCCATGTCGGAGGGCCTGGGCAGGCGGAATCCCTGGAGGACGGCGCCGCCTGCATTGGGAAGGTTTGCGACGGCGAGCACAAAGGTTGTGGTGAGGTAGCGGATGCAACGGAAGGATGGGCGAGCTTTTGCGCCGCTTGACTCGTCATGCGGCATTGTGAATATGCAATGCGGGCCAGTGGTGTCGGTCTTGCTAATGTTCATGGCGTAGATGTCGTAGTCATCGCAATATATTAGTTGATAATCCTCGTCCGACGTCTGTAAGACGTCCACATCCATTGCCTCCTTCACCAGCTCCACCTTTCCTCGCAGGCTCGGTGCTGGATTGTTGCTGCCCGCCGGCGGCACATCAAAGATGGCAATCTGCGCATCCTTGGCACGGCCAATTGTCCCAGTTGCGACAGCGCCAACCTGTTTTGACCCGGTAAATGGCGGGGATATCCTGAGCACCCTTTGATATGCCTCGAGATCTGTCGACGAGAGTAAGGCGGATCGCGAGAGTTCGGTGATGTTGGGCCCGGCGGCGCCAGCCTTGGCCTTCGAGGGCAGCTCGGCAGCAAGGACGCGGAAATGCTCGTTCTTGCCCTTCTTGATGTCCGCCTCGGCCGAGTTGATGCCAGCGTAGAGGAGGATCGAGTTTCTCCTGCGGGAACCGACGGCGAGGGTGTTGACGCTGTCCTCATCGCGGCTGAGTTCGATCTCGGAGACGATCTGCAGCGAGTCCTCACGCGAAGTGTCCAAGAGGGTAATCTTGTTACCAACACCACTCCTGGCGGGGCCGCCGCCTCCACCTACCGCGAGTCGATTTGCATCCTGAGGGTCAAAGTCGACGGCGTAGAGGGGATAAGACAGTCGTAGTTCGGCCGAGGGAATGGCGGGAGCCATCGGTCAGGCTGAAGTGGGCAGGCGGGTGTCTGGGCGCTTGACAAGTTGAGCAGAGGTTCAGCTAGAAAACGGTTTCAGGCTCCAGGCATTCTCGTGTCTTGAAGAAGTTGCGACGAGGAAGAGTAAATAATGGTTGTCTGGCGTGGTAGGTATCATGTACGGATATGAGGATGGAGTTGTCGTGGACGACGGACGTGGAGCCAACTCAGGACCATGGTTTGCTATCTTTTAGCTTGGCCAATCAAAACGGAGAAAGGTCTCCAGCTTGAGCATTTTTGGGCTTGGCATGGCAGGGTTACCCGTTGGCTCTACTTCGGCCCCACTTAAGGGGCTAACTCTAAAGAGTTGGGCGCAGAATCCAGAGACGGCACGAAATCTAGAGACGATTCA